AACTATTTAAGCCTACTTAAATAGCTTAACTAATAGTACTCTACTTAGATAAATCCACCTCTAATAATAAGAAAGGATCTAATAATATAGTATTCTAATTAATTATATTTATATAACCTAAAGACTATACTTAGATAGTAGCTTCTAATAAAGTCCATTCTAACTTATCTAGTTTATTAAGTAACTAAAGGCTATAACTAACTATAGTAGAACTATAAGTTATAAGAGACTTACACTATTTATATAGGCGGTCTAGCCTAGTAAGGGCCTTAGAGGATTCCTACTAAAGACGTTATAGTAAAGTAGTAGCCTCTTCCTCCTCCTAATATAGATATTAAGATTTAGAAATTATTTAATTAAAAGATAATATAAGCACACTTAAACTATTATATAAATAACCTTAATAAATATACTCTTTATAATAAGAAACACTCTTTATTATCTTATAAGAAAGCTTTTATAAATAATAAAAAGAGTAAAGTATAATAATAACACTAAACTCTTTAATAGTAGTAGTAAGTTTAGAACGTTACTTAGCTTTATTAGAATAAGGCTTAGACACTTAGTTAGGCATTATAGGAAAGAAGATATAGAAGGAAGGAGGAACTTATAAGGTAAGACTATAGGTCTTAGGATAAGACTAATAGAGAGGAGGAATAATATTATAGATGCACTAAGGTACTATAGATAAGGGGTAGGGCGGCCTAAGGAAGTAACTATAGGGCGCTTATAGGGGCGTAGGAATAAAGGAACTAGTCACGTGACTAGATTACTAGGGATTATAGTGATCTAGTGTTAATCTAGGATTACTAGGATTATAGAGTAAGCTAAGTAATCTAGGTAACACAGTAGAGGATAGGATGGATATATAAGGAAGGGGATTTCTAGTAGATAGCTAGACTAGATCTCTACTAATTAATCTAAGTAATAGTTCTACTATTAGGAGTAAACTCCTAATGTGACTTATATAATAATATCTACTTATATACACACTAGGTGTATACTTATCTAACTCTCTACCTAAGAAACAGACTTACTATAGATTAGGGTTAAGCCACTATTATAAGTAGATATTTTATATATATTTATTGGTTTTTTTCTTTTATTTTCTTTTATTTAAATATTTTTAAAAGTATAGTTAATTACTAATTAAGTTTATTTTCTCTTTTTTAGTCTATTTTATTAGTTTATTTTAAATTATAGAATTCTATTTTATTTTACTCTCTTCTATAATATTTTAAATTTATATAGTATAGTTATTATTAAATAGTAAACTTATGTTTATTTAATAAGTATCCTTAAATATAGCCTTATAACTTGCTCCTAGAGAGTAAAAAAAAGCTTAAAAGAAAAAAAGAAACAAAAGAGCGTCGTACATCATGGTTAGATCTCCGATGCGGGGAATTGAACCCCGGCCACTGCGGCACTCAAGCAACATGAAAGCGCAGGATCCTAACCACTAGACGACATCGGATGCACTAGTGCTGGAATAGCCCATCGACTCGTTATTTCAAATTGTAAAGTATAGTTCGACTTGAAGACCGGCACCTGTGGTAGACTTGTGCCAGAAATTTGCCTTGAGAAAACGACGGATGTCTTGTAATGACGACTGGGCTGAAAATTTAAGACGACGGATTTGTTGGTACTTGTTGTCTGGGCAGGTGTATTGAGTGAGGTTCACCTTAGTTAGGTGTTGGTTGCTGCTACGTCATAGAAGGTTTCGTGCGGCCCATGGTTCAGTTTACCGCCGCAATTGCTCGGGAGTTTATTCGACTATGACAGTCCAAGAGATGAAAATTCGATTCTTTGACCATATAGAATAGTTTTCCAGATACAATTATGTGGAATTAAGGAAATCCCACACTAAGCTGGTATAGGGTAACCTTACCATGGCGATATCTTCTGGGGCTGCCGCCCTCTACGGATCCTGATCTACAGCGCATTCATAACATCATAAACTTGAAACCACCGTAATGAACTCGTCCAATTCCCATGCTGGCCATTATACTTGTGGAGACGCCTGTATTTGCGGCGCACGAGGCAGCGGTGATCAAGTTGCGAGGTACGGAAATTGACAAGCGATCTGTTGACGCCCCTTCTATCTTGTCCGAGTAAGGGGGCAGGGCTGGCAGGGCTTGACAGGTATCAGTCGTTTGGAGCACAAGGAGCGCCATCCGAACTTGTTTCCTGTTTTTGCTTCTCCGAGTACGGGGCTGTCCTGTTGGGCGTTTTGCCAGCACTGGAAACAACTCTCTTGCTTTGGAGTCAACGTGCGCGGTCTGACACGGTACTGTGCTGCTGTTTTTGTAGTGCATGCCACAATCAGATATACCATACCGTAGAAGGCAAAAGCATTTTCGTATAGAAACAAAATAGTCGTGTAATCAGCTTCGAAGAAAAACGGACCTCTGGTTATCATTCAGGGCAGTTAGCCTATGTAGTAAGCCGCTGATAATAGGGACATTGAAGTCAGGTGGGTTTGGCGACTGGTCGTTGCCAGGTACTGTACTAGCAAAACAATAGGCGCGCGCGACCCAGCAAGTGGGCACACTCGCACCTTCATCCACATCAACAACAGAAGTGCTTTCTGCTGCGCATCACACAGCAACCTTTTTCAGCCCTGGACGCAGAAATCCAAAACCCACGGCCATTCCACTGCCAGGGTAGCAATTTCGCTGCCATGCGCCCGTCAACAGGCTGCGGAAGAGGATGTTCTTTGCGGAACGAACACGGCCGACGTTTGCGCCATGTCGAGCAGTGACCACGACGCAGCGTCGCGAACGTCGCATCGGGACACTCCTTACAACCGATATACTATGCAGCGCTTTTCCGGGCCGTCCTACAGTCAACCACAAACCGCAGACCCCCCTCTGTCCTCTATACCTACGACCAATGGACCGCCTTCCCGCTTGGCCAGCGGAGCTACCGCATCCTTTGCTCTCAGACCTCACACATCCACCACTTCGACTACTTTCATCAGAGATACGCTACAAAGCGTGGGGGAGATTAGCCCTCCGCCGCTTCGACGCTCCCGAGGACCAGCCGATTCTCAGTCATCGACTACAGGAAACACTGACCCCTCCGTACCACTGCGCCATCACGCCTCTTCGATGCAGATGGCGCAACCCACGACGCCGCCTCCGCGATCCTCTCGTCCAACTGTTCCGCAACGAAACTGGAACCAGCCCGATCTCACAAAGGCCCTGCAAGATCTTCTAAGAGCTGTGCGACAAGACCACTCACGACTTGTCGCCCATGCAATTGAGAGCACAACGCCTACAGAGTGGCGCGTGCATCACGGAGCGAATCTCTTCGAGGGAATGGGCCCTGGGCCTGTTCCGCAGAAGCAAGAGGAGACCATGAGAGTAAAGTTTAAGGTATGCCCAGCTCCAAGGCATCGGGCCACCAAACCCACGCTAATGCAAAGAAACAGCAACATTTAAAAGCCCGCAAGGATGCGCGCGAGGAGCACCATGATATTATTTCGATCCGTACACTAAAGGACCGCGTCCCGCGATATCGGTTCCATCATGTCGGCATACGAAAGAACGTCCTCACTCCTAACACGATGCTGACTTTTGTCCCGCACTTGCGCGATCTGGAAAGCAGCGAGGAGTCGAAATATAATGTATGGCTCAAAGAACTCGAGGAAATCGACACTAAATCTGGATTCAAACCAATGAATCGAGAGGAAAAGGTCATACTCACAATACAAACAGAGCGCGCAGCAACCGTGTCACTATACCTAGACACCTGGCTAGAGAAGCTCGGCATGGCTTCCTGTACCAAGTCTGCTTTGGTTGCTTGCATGACCAGTCAGGAATCCGATGATAATGTCACGCCTCAAAGAGGGATTGCTGTGATGCGATCCAGTCGTGAATTGATTGATGGCAATCCGACTGTTGGGGATTCGAGCAAAGCTGCCGCGTTGTTTACAGCCGCATTCAGCCGAGCTTTTGATAACAAAGATATGCCACTAGCCAGCAGAATCCAACTTCGGAGGGTTTTGCTACTCGAGCAGTCCACTGATGGTCTTTTGGACTCTAAGTCGGTCGCAAGAGATGCAGGGGATCCTGATGACGTCGCCGAAGCATACGTGGGTACGTATAGTCTGTTTGGCTGTCTAATCTGCTTCAGTAATTCTTGCGAGCATGGCGAGTATGATAGCAAGAACTTCAAGCGCACGTTTTCCATGATGATGGTGATGTCTCTGGCCGAGATTCTGAGGCAACGGCGTGGGAGGGTAGCGGGAGAGGACACGAGTGCTTGCGGAAACGGGCTGCCATATCGACGAGGATACTATCCATGTGGACAAGGATGCTATCTATCATCGTCCTCGCCACACGGCCAGACACAGGAGGCAAAACCTTGGGAACAAGAAGAAGATGTCATGCTTCTGAAGTCGATATTTGCAACCGTCAACCGAAACAAGCTAGAGTTGGACCCAATTTGCTTTACGGCGCACATTTTAGGTCGAAATTGCTGTACCGTCTATGCCAAGTTTGAGTCACTGGCTCTCCCACCGCTACAAGCAACAAGCCCAGGGCCACCGCGACTCAAAACGCTGCCCTGGTATGACAACCGCCGAAAGGTCCTCAGTGGCGATTGGCAAGATCACACAGTAACACATGAGCATCAACGCCGCGACATCGTCGAACCCTGCGCGCACGACGGCGCTTGCAACTCACTGAATTGTCCTTGTGTCAAGTCGGGCATCCTGTGTGAGAAGTGGTGCAGATGTACTTCCGATACATGCTCATACAAGTTCACTGGCTGCTCATGCCACTCTATAGGCAAAACCTGCCAAGCGAAGCAGAAAGAAAAGCCGTGCATCTGCGTTCAGCTCAACCGCGAATGCGATCCAGACCTATGTGGCACTTGCGGTGTTTTGGAGAGAACGGATCCGCTGAACGCTGATTTTGAGATGTTGCATGAAACCGGTTGTCAGAATTGCGAGCTCCAGCGCGGATGCGGCAAACAGCTCGTACTGGGACAGAGTCAATTAGACGGGGTCGGGTATGGACTGTTTACGGCCGAGAACATCGCGCAGGACGATTTCGTCATTGAATATGTCGGTGAGCTCATTACTCACGACGAAGGTGTTCGCAGAGAAGCTCGCCGCGGCGATGTCTTTGACCAAGGTTCCAACATATCTTACATTTTCACTTTGCTGGACAATGAAGGCATCTGGGTCGATGCTGCCATTTACGGGAATCTCAGTCGGTACATCAATCATGCGTCTGAACACGATCAAGCCGGCTCAAACATCACTCCGCGGATTCTCTATGTCAACGGCGACTATCGAATCAAGTTTACGGCCCTGCGAGACATTCGAGCTGGGGAAGAATTGTTCTTTAACTATGGCGAAAACTTCCCGAACCTCACAAAGAAGCTTCTCAAGAATAGGACGAGCGAGAAACCGGCAGTTCCGCGGAAACCGGGGCGACCGGCGCAGTCGGCTGCCCGCAAGGACGTTGCACGAAAGGCACCGAGGCCTGAGCAGAAGAAAATCGGGCGTAAAAAGCCTGCGGTGAGGGGCAGAGTGCAGCGGATAGTTGTTAAGGACGACGACTATGACGACGCCGACGACGGAGGAGGAGGTCTGCGGGCGCCGCATGCCTCGCTACTGACCCGACCAGTGAAACGCAAGCGGGCATTAGCAGGGATGGATTCAGACGATGACGGCTACCGCGCTCCCCAATCTATGGTGCAAAACAAGTGGATGGACTGTGCGGCAGAGGACGAGGAAGGCGTAGAAGAAGAGGTAACTCCTAATGGCGGTGCGACAACTAGGCGTAGCCTACGCAACAGAGCCCCCGAAACGCCAACGAAAGCCAAGGCCAAGGTCACGGGAAGACGCGGTGGTGCTCGGCCGGGTAGTGGACGGCCTAGAAAACACCCGCTACGCGTGCCAAAAGCAGTACTCGAGACGACCGAAGCTTCGCGAAGCTTACAGGAATCGCCAAAGAAGTCCACTTGGAATGAGGAGAGTTTGAGAAAATCCCCGCTGCCAGCGTATCAGAGCCGAACTGAACAAGCCCGGGCGGAGGAGATTCAAGACAGTGAAGAGTGGTCTACTGGAGGCGAAGATAATGCGCTAAGATCTTATGGGCTAAAAGCAGAAGGCGCGGCAGTCAGGGAGAGTGATGGACAAGCGGAAGTGGAAGAAGAAGAGGAAGAGGAAGAAGAAGAGGAAGAAGAAGAAGAAGAGGAAGAAGAAGAAGAAGAAGAAGACCAAGACGTGGTCGTGCGAAGGCGATTGGTCCGGGCGACAAGAAACAGGCGACCGCCGGCTAAATTCCGCGGAGACGATTTTTTTTACTAGCAGGGCAGTACCGCGCACAAGTTTTACGAGAAGTCTTGCAGAAAAACTGCGACAGGGTAGTTTCGTCGTTTCAAAATACTGGGATACTGGGCGTTGGGAGTGTGTTGCCTGTCCTTACTAGGGGGAACGAATTGGATGATTGGGGCTTGGCGGCGGACCATTGGCGAGGCTACAGCAGTGTCAATGAGCGCGTCTGGATAGGTAGATTCGCTAATTGGGAAGAATTACTATGAATTGTAGCCGATGAATGAGGGAACGCATGTCTTGCCCGTGGTGAATTTTCCCGAGTGTATTGTTGAGAATTCATGTTAGAATGCCGCTGTGTTGCTTTGGTGTTGATGACCCAGCCCCACATCCGCGTAAGCCACGGACAGCCATCGGTAGCTTCAGCCACAGCCACAGGTAAACCCTGGCAGCGCTGAAAACGATGACGTCGCCAGGTCGTCAGTTAAGCTTGCACAGGACCAGCTTCTAGGCCCAATCCAGCGGCAAGCTTCCAGTCACTGCACTGCCTTGCCCCTCGGCTAGAAAAACAGACCACCTTTCCAAACCAGCAGCTTTCCTTTCTTCTCAACGCTCAACTATCACGAGGTTCGATTGTATCAGCAGACAACCCGCGCGCTGCCTTCCATCTGCGGCTTGCAATTTCACAACACCGGATTCAATTCCAGCCCCCCCCCTCCCTTACCAATCCCAATCCCGCCAGACCCCCGCAAAGCTCGTCAAGCACAGTACAACACACAACAACAGTCACCATGACGCTCTACTACACGCTTGTGCGTTTACTCTCCCTGACAGGCTGCGAATAATTGCTGGCAGAGATCGTGATTGTGCTGACTAGAACTCACTAGGTGTTCGCCCTTCTCATGTTTGAGATGGCGCTCTTCATGTTCCTCATCGTCCCGCTGCCTCACAACGCCCGCCGCACCATCCTTACGTATGCATTAGCCCCCCCGTCCCTCCTCGGACCGCAGAACCGCATTTGGCCACCGAGACTAACAAACTGTCCCAGCTTCATCTCCGAGAACAAGACCGTCGGCCAGATTCAGCATGGCCTCAAGATTACCTTCATCTTCATCCTCGTCCTCTTCATCGACTCCGTGAACCGCGTCTACCGTGTCCAGATGGAGCTCTCCGACACCATGGAAAAGGCTGCCCGCAGCGGCGGAACGTATGCACACCCCCCCCTCCTCCGCACTATACTGCGTCTCTATTCAAAGCTAACCTCGTCTCCCTCCCCGCAGCGTCGTCCTCGGCCACGAGCGCACCGAAGTCCAGGCCCGCAAGTTTTACGCCCAGCGCAACATGTACCTCTGCGGCTTCACCCTCTTCCTCTCCCTGATCCTCAACCGCACCTATGCCATGATCAAGGATATCGTCCGCCTCGAGGAGCGGCTGCGCGCCTACGACGGCGACAAGAGCTCGTCTGCCAAGGCCTCCTCGACTGAGGTCGCCGCTCTCAAGAAGCAGCTTGAACTCAAGGAGCAGGACCTTCAGACCCTGAAGAAGCAGAGCGAGCAGCTGCATAAGAGCTACAATGACCTCAGTGATCAGTATGACGCCAACCAGGTCAAGGAGAGCAAGAAGGAGAAATAGTATGTCGTTGAACATCCGCTCCTAAATTAAGCGCAATACGGTCCCGAAGTAACGGATGTGCTTCAATGGTCTGATGTGGAGGAGGAATGCAAGAAACAGACGTGAAAAAACGGCACTGGGACAATGGCTGGTGCAAGGAGAAGGACCGTCGGGACGTGGTCGGCTGTTGGGGAGCGACGCGCCTGCAAAGTACAGCGATTGATAGTTCTACACTAGCTCAGTAAATTATCTGTTTTATTTCTTGGCCCGTTTTGCCCGTTTCGTGCTCGCCGCCGTTTCCTCTTCGGCCGGCACTGTCTTCCTCTTTGGCGGAGTTTCTTTGCTTTTGCTAATCTGCCGAGGCAGCTCTGCATCTTTTGACTTTTTTGTAGACTTTACGGGCTTTTTATCCTTTGCCAGCTTGAGCGTGCCCTCCTCCTCCTCTTCATCCTCCTCCTCTTCATCCTCTTCCTCTTCATCCTCTTCCTCTCCCTCCTTCTCCGCTGCCTCGGCCGCCTGCTTCGCTGCCTCGGCCGCCTCCTTCGCTGCCTCGGCCGCTTTCTCCGCATCAGCGGCCGCTTGCCGCTTCATCAGCACGTACGCCACCTTCTCCACGTCCGTCGCGCCGACGCCCAGCCTCTTTGTCAGGTTCTCCATGTTCCTCCTCAGCATCGCGTACTCCTCCTTGTTGTACTTGATCGTCATCTGCTTCTTCTTCCGCTGCGCCTTCTTGGACGTGCCGCGCTCGCGGAGGCTGTCCCCGCACAGCCACAGGAACGCCTCGTCGGAGAAGAAGATGACGCGCTCCGGGTCGTGCACGCTCAGCAGCAGCGAGGCGGTGGCCGGGCCGATGCCGCGCAGCTTGGCGAGCGCGGCGAGCGCGGCGTCGACGTCGGAGGAGGCGCGGTAGTTGCGGATGGCGGCGGCGATGGTGCGGCGGGCGAGCTTGGGGTTGTTGGAGCCGGCGAGGCCGAGGAGCATGGGGCGGAACTTGCCGTGGCGAAGCTTCCACTCGACAAGGCAGCGCACATCCTCGAGGGTCATCTCCTGGGGGGAGGCAGCGGTGGGCGAGAAGGCGGCGGGGGCTTGGGTGTAGCGGTACTCGACGAGCTGCTGGAGCGTCTTTTGGCTGTATTTGGCTGCTGCAGTGGGGGAAAGAAGAAGTTAGAAAGTAGCTGGGGAGAGGGGAGAAATGATGGGAGGGCATACGTCTTTTGGAATTGTTAGACATCGAGTCAATTAGGCGAGGGTATTCATCGAGCGCAGTGGTGAACTCGTCGTGCGTGATGGCGTCGGGCGACGGCACCACGGTGAACTCCATGGTGAGTTGTCGCGCGCGCGGGCAAGTGCTGAAGAAGACCTTGAGGGGAGGGAGTTGTCAGGGGATTGGCAAGAATGAACCGGTCGACGGTGGCTGAGGATGTGGGAGGTGGAAAAGGGTTGCTGGTGAGGCGAGGTAGCGAGATACGGGAAAAAAAAAGAAGCTGAGGCGCGCGCGTGAAAGCGTTCTGGCGCAAAAGCTTGTGTTCTGGCGCCACACTGCTGATCTTGGATTGTACGTTCTGTCGTCACCGCTCTGGCTTTCTACACTATTCAGTGTACTAATAACTAAAAAATAAGAGAAAGAAGCCAACTCTAATTAAAAAGCCATTTTCGATTGGGCATGGTTGTCCTTTTACTAATACAGCCGAGGCGGCTCGCAGTCAATGCGACACAGCCACTCCAACCGTCACTGCCACACTTGATCACTTGATCGCAAATCATGACAAGAACTTGTCTAAACCCGACAAAAACAGAGAATCTAAATTCGATTTTTAATCGTAAATTAGCTCCTCTGAGGCCATCGAATTCGGCAACGCCCAGCCCCCCAGTTAGTGCCCTATATGTAAGGCCGCTAATTTAGGTAGCATCGCTTTTCTTACCTTGACCATCATCGATCTTGACTTTGATCTTGTCCACCAGTTTGTCCAGCTACATCCTGCTTAAGCCTACAAAGAGTCTTGCTTGCTATGGCTCCGGACTGAATCTCCAAAAGCTCAAGCCCTATTAGTTGCGATGTTTTGATCGCTCGAGAGACATGCCCGCAAACACCACCCGCGCGCCCAGTGACTCCTCCCGTCAGCGCCGGGCCCATCTAAAGTCCAGGAATGGCTGCGTGCGATGCAAGAGGCTGAGGAAAAAGGTCGGTGATGGTTTTCACGAGCTTGACGAAGGTACCTGTGCTTAATTGACCCCTCTGGATTCTAGTGTGATGAGGGACAGCCCAGATGCGCGCGATGTGTGAAGCAGGGCACGGATTGCGAGTACGCCAATGCTACGGACGGTGGCGATGAGGCGACCAGCAGCGGCGGCGGCGTTTCTGAGCTGCATGGCCGGCGGGCGGTGGTGGCCAGCGATTCGGACGTGGAGATGAGGGACTCTCTATCTACGGACCCTACGTCGGCCCACAGGCCGGCGAGCTCGCACCTCCACGCAGCACGCAGCCACGCCGACTCTGCTATGCCGCCGGCTGCTCCCTCGCGCACGGGGTCCGGCGGCAGCGGCCTGCCCATGCTTAGCGCGCGCGAGCTGGAGCTCTTCAGCCACTACATCACGCACACCAGCCGTGTGATCCCGCACGGGCGTGAGGACATGTTCCCGCTGCAAGTCGGCATGCCGAACCTGGCCTTTTCCAACCCGGCAGTCATGGACTCGATCCTCGCGCTGGCCGCGTCCTGCAAGTGCCACGACATGCTACTCGGGGGCGATGGCGCCGCATCCTCGGATAGGAGGCTGGGGGGCATTTGCGAGCTGCTCCGGCTGGCGGACCGCCACCACCAGGCCGCGCTGGGCCAGCTGCAGAGCGACATCTGCGAGCGGCAATTCCGGTCGGTCCTGCCCAACGCCGCGCTGATGGTGCTGTACGCGCTCTCATGCCACTACGTGCGCGTGCTGCTGGCGAGGCGGGCCGCGCGGCTGGGCGCGCGGCTCGCCAAGGACGTGCTGCCCTTCCAGTCGCAGTGGATCACGTCGATCCGGGCGGCGCACGTCGCGTTTGTCGGGCTTCTGCAGCCCGGGCTGCGCTCCTCCTCCGCATCCTCCAGCAGCGCTGCTTCGCCGGGCTTGAACTCGGAGGAGGACGAGGACGGGGACAACGGGGAGGAGGCGGCGCTGCTCGTGTCGCCGCTTGGCCTGTCGGAGGCCGACAGGAGCGGCGCGGACAAGTTCCAGGACGGCCCTGCGGAGGAGACTAGGCGCCTTTTGCTGCCCATCGTGGCCAGCACGTACGAGTCTGCGTTGAGGAAGCTGAGGGTCCGGAACGCGGCCGACCTGGAGGGCGATGCCAAGCTCGAAGCGTGCGGCGCCGCTCTCGGGCTGCTCGAGGAGCTCTTCCAAGTCATCGTGGGCGGCGGCGACGCGGTGCCACCGCCCCGGAAGGACGCTCCGAGGCCGCACGACTTTGGGGCGCTGGACGATGTGCCCCCGTGGCTGGTGCGGTACCTGGCGCGGGTGACGTCGGCCACGCCGTCGCGGCTCTGGCGGCGGCGCATCATGGCGTTCCTGAACCAGGTACCGTTTGAATTCTTGCACCTCGTGCAGTTGGCGCTCGACTGCATGCCGGTGGAGGAGAGCCGGCATCATGAGCCGTCCTCTCCCTCGCTGGGAGACAGTGGCGTGAGCTCATCGGCGCCGCAACCGCTGCCGCTCGAGGCGGCGCACAAGCCGGCTATGGACATCTTCGCGCACTGGCTGGTGCTGGTGATGCTGCTCGACGGCGTGTGGTGGATCGGGGACGTCGGCCACTGGGAGCTGGGCCGCATCGCGCGCTTCATCGAGGCGCAGGGCTTCGCGCTCGACCTGGCTGAGGGGGAGACGTGGTGGCCCGAGACTATGCACGCGGTCAAGTCCACGCTCGGTGGCGGCGCGGCGTGAGGGGGAGGAAGGAGTCCATCTCTAGCGACCAATGGTAAAACTCCCCGCGCTTCCGTGATGTGGTGCCGTCGCTTGAAAAATTCATGGCTGCAAAAAACAGAAGCTGATGCTGAGATGAAAATTCCAAATTCGCAGTTGTTGAACGGCCGTTGTGTTGGTGTCTGTGCGATACGCCTGCGAATACGCCGCATTTCGACAACATGCATCATCAGGTTACACAAACAAGAACGGAAGAAGAATATTCCAACCCCGGAAGTACCCGGCATACGAATAAAAAAAATCCTATCCATTTTCTCACCTCTCCCATCTTCATATGCGCGTCTTCAATTCATTAGCACTGGCATATTTACGCCGGGCACTCTAAGACTGGAGGAATACGCCAGCGGGGCGGCGATACGACAGTGCTGATGGCGAATACGCCAGTCGCCCGGCTTGCGGCGTATTGCACCAGCAGCGCCATCTGCATGCACAGCCTTGAAATTTAGTTGGCCATTTCGATAGAGAGGGAGATGGTCTTGGCTAAAAGACCCTTGCCTGAATGCTGTCAGAAACGGTAATGTTCAACCGTTATTTGGAATGGCTTCACTCTACCTTACTCGCCTGATGAAGAGAAGAGCGAGCATATGGATATCACGATGGGCCTGTCAAGGCTGTGCTGCTTACTGGCTGTCATGAATTGATTCACTTACAAGAATCATCTTTATAGGTATTTGAAATAAGACATTTCCTTGTCGAATATATAAAGACGTTGGAATCCCGGCATTCAAGGAACAAGAAACAGACATCATCACCCACAATATACAGAATAACCTGCTCCTCACTCTCATCCCCAACTTTGAATTAACTCATCATCATCATGCTCAACGCGGCCGCCTTCCTCGCAACCGTTTTGGCTCTGTCATTGACTGCAGTCTCTGCGCCGACCAACCAGACGCAGCCCGACGCTGGACTCAGCAAGGCTGCTCGCCTGCGCCTGGCCGATAGGTAGGCTCTCGATCCTTACTTTTCACAGTACATATGAGGCTAACCCGACCTTTTCGTGCAGCTTCGCCGAGCGCTATAGCATCTTGACCGATGACAAGGACTTTGTCTTTGACCTTGGCCAGAACAACTTTCAGTCCATCGCGAACCCGCAGACGTTCCCAGCCATGGTCGGTACGGGCACTAGCATCGCAGCTGCCAGGTTTCCCGGTACGTTTTCTGCTAAAATAATCAACAACGCTTTGCCTCGCTCTTAGTTCTGACAATGCTCTTTTTCTTCCCAGGCTGCTCTATCAGCAAGCTGCACATCCACCCGCGCGCCGCCGAGATGCTCGTGCTCCTCTCCGGATACCTCGTCACTGAGACGATCCCCGAGCTCGGCGCCGGCGGCAGCAGCGGTGGACAGCGGGTGATTCGCACCGAGATGGCCTCGCCCGGCGCGCTGACCGTCTTTGACCAGGGCGCGCTGCACACGCAGATCAACCCGGACTGCGGCGACGCGACGGCGCTGACCGTCTTCTCCGCCGAGGACGGCGGCTTCGGGTTCGTCGCCGACCAGGCGTTTGCGCTGCCCGACGACGTGCTGGCGACGCAGCTGGGTGACGCCATCTCGGGGGCGGACATTGACCGCATCCGCGCGGCGCTGCCGGCGGGCGTGGCGGCGATGGTGGACGCGTGCGTGGAAAAGTGCAAGATCCCGAAGCGCAGTCTGAGTCTGGGAGGCACTGGAGGTGCGCGAAGTTGATCAGCTCCTCTGGACTTCACGGCTGAGACTAAGCAAGACTCGAACCCCGCGATAGTTGTCCTCAGGATTTTGTGTAAATTTCCCCATCGCTTAAATAGAGAGACTCTAATATAGAGATAGAAACAAGGTGGTATAGCTTATAGAAAATTTTGGTATTTTTTTATTCTTTGCTTCTTATCGTGCTTCGGTGTCAAGGTGATTGTCAAGTCCTGATCAACGCGACAGCCCAGCTGTGGCTTCCCCAGTGGCGCTCAGGCAATCACCACAAAACATCCTTCTTCACCTTGACAAACCACCACACAACCATCAATTATCAAAGTCAGGGAGGCTTTGAAGTATAATGATCAAGGCGCCTCGAAATCTTCAGGCCTGTCAAGAATGGTACGCGCTTCTTCTGGCTCCTACTACCTGCCGAACGATCCGCTAATGATAAATCCAGCCGCAGCCGCAAAGTTCGATGTGATGGGGCCAGGCCGCGTTGTCTCGCGTGCTCAAGGAAAAACCAGATTTGCCATTGGCCGGATAGTCTCGCGCCAGGGAACTATCAATTTGTCTTTGTTGACGAGGCAGTCCCTGAGCAGACAAGGGGGCCTGGGAACGATGCCTCCGACTGCAGTGGCGCCGGGCTGGACGAGAGCCTCCCCATGCCTCTGCGGCAGCGGCTCCTTCAAATATTCACGCAGACTCACCACATGCTGGAGCTTTGCGCCTGCGTTGATATGGACCTTGTTCAAGGGACCGCTGCTCCAGACAAGGACTCTTTCCTTCTCCAGTCAATTCTGGCGCTCTCTGCCTTGTACTTGACAGACGTCGAAGCTACCTCCGATACCCGCTTCGCCAACTCAAAAAGCCTCATGTTCTTTTTTAGGTCCAAGGCACAAGAGCTGTCTCGCTCGCTATCAGATGAACCTTCTGGTAAATTTCCCCACGCCCCTGACATGCACCCTCCATATCCCAGTCTGACCTGTCCACCCACAGTTGTTACGATCCAGGCCAACCTCGTTCTGGGGCTCTGCGAGCTCCTGACCATGGCCACCTCCAAGGCGTGGCTGCACATTGGCCTAGCCATTCGCATGGCGCAGACACTGCGCATGAGGCGTGAGTACAACCGTCGACTGGTGCCTCGTCAACGCGAGGTCAGGAGACGCACCTTTTGGGCGTGCGTCATGCTCGACCGCCTAGTTGCCTATTGCACGCACCGAACGCAGACCATAGATCTCTCCTTAATACAGCTCCATCTCCCGTGCAGCGAGGTTGCCTTTGCGTTTGGCCACGAAAGTCCCGGGCCGACAATATCGGAATTGGCCGACGGAGCTAGCGACATGGCAGCGGATAGAATTGCGTTGGCATATTTTGTCAGGACGTTCTTGCTGTGGTCACCGGTGGCGCAAATCTATGTGGATGGTGGCCGAGGGTCCCAACAGTCGGGTCAACGTAAGCCGGTTGTCGGCTCAGCAGAATACGAAGCGGCCATGTCAGCTTGGCGAGACTCGCTGCCTAGCGAGATGCAATGGTCGCTTCGCAATCTTCGTGCGCATCGATCACTGGGACAGATGTCACACTTTGCAAGCATGCATTTGCTCATCCAACACACCGCGTTTCTTTCACACCACGAGTACCTGCCACATGCTGGGGAAGGGCGTGATGCGAATACATTTGCTGTGGCTATCCCGCCAAGTGACAGCGACGCGGTGACCATTAGCATCTGTATTGAGGGCGCTAACCAAGTTGTCGCCATGCTGAGACTTATTGATAGTATCACAGCAGGGCTTTGCTACACACAGCTGGGGGTCTGCGCTGGGATACCGATGGTCACAGCGGCCAGCGTCCTGCTCTGGGCTCACCACTGCAGTCGTGATGCTACGTCCTCAGTGCAGCTTTCTGATGACCAGATATCACAAGCCAAACACGATGTAGACTATCTCGTCAACGTACTAGACTCCTGGGCCAAGACGTGGCGGCTGGCTCGCGCATGGTCAAATTGCATCCGCCTTTTGGACGAATTCTACCAATCCAGATACCGCCGCGGCAACAAGCATCTCAAAAACGGTAGCGCCGAGGCTGCCGAATTACGAACGGAGAGCGAGTCGGTGCCGGTGTCTCCAACGCCCCTCCGCGACGGCGACGGATACCCGGATGTCACGATGATTCCTACTGAGACCTATTACAAGGTCCGTCTCATAACCGGCCTCATTCTTGAGCAACCAGAACTTTGCAAAAAGTTTCTGCAGGCGTCTATCGAACAACCGTTCAGTGATGGTGGACCAGAAGAGTCCTCAGGTCTATGGGGTTTCGATATCGAGGACTTTTCATGGATGAATGACCCAGACTTGGTCATGGCCGCTTCAGCGTTATGGAATGACTTTACGTTATAGGCAATTCGAAAACCATTACTGGACCGAAGCAATAAACAAAGAACACACGCTGGTGTTATCGTCTAGTATACATATCTGAAGCTACCGATCTCCTTGTCAGTCTTGTCCATCATAGCCATCACGGCTTGCACCTGCATATTCTCTTCACCAGCCATCTCGGTGCTGTCGTCGTGCCGATCTCGCATGTTGTTCACCCACATGAGATAGAATCGCATCCCGAGACATGGGAAAAAGCAGGTTGTCTGGCAGAAGATGAGCGCAGCAAAGCCGAAGCTGTATGACGGCGCTTCCCGCTGAAAGAATAGCTGCGGCCCGATGATGTTGCCTGCACAGTACGCAATGAATCTCTACAACAACATTAGTACGGCTCGTGTTGGTTTTGGTGGAATGCCTACAATGGCATTGACGGTTGTCTTCTTGGTGAATCCGCCAACGTTACCGGACATCAGAGACATGAGCAGCGGGAAGGCGGCCGAGTTTGCGCCCATCAAACAAGTACCCACGTATCTACCCCATTTGTCAGGCTCAGGTAGTTGCCGCACGAGGGCCGCTCCGACGAGAGTGATGGCAAATGTGAGCATCATCCAGTATGTCCGGGTGTTTTTGAGGTAGCTGCTGCCTCCTGTGCACAGGACGACAAGGACAAACTGGACCAGATATGGGACGCATTGAAGCAACAGGGTATTGAATGTGCTGAATCCAATACCATGCAGAATTATGGAGCGAAACTACTCCAAGTTAGATGATGCTACTCGGAAGGGCCGTTTTACTTGCCGTTGTGACTCCGCCGTTGGGGGTGCTCGACGAAAGCTGGATCAGCACCAAAAACCACGTGCTTATGTCCAGCAACGCCCCTCGGACTTGGTACCATTTCAGTTCATTGCTTTTAGTCCCGGTCAAGTTCTCTTGTACACGAATGATAACCTTTTCCCGGTCGGTTTTATTGAAGAAGTGTGCATTGGAGGGCTCGTCTGGCAGGAGAAAGAAATTGGCGCACGACCAGGCAACAGTGATGCTGCCAAGAATCAGAAATGGAGGCTTCTATGTCAAGGTCAGCTCAACTCCTCAACGCGTCATTGATGGAGGGCCAAAACTTACCTTCCAGGGTGCAATGCTACCGACATGGCCGATGCCGTAGTTGAGGAGACCGCCAAACACCCCGGCACAAGTGTTACCGAGGAACCAGGCGGCGTGTCGGAGGGGCTGCTCCGACTTTTTGTAAAACATAGAGATGAGGATGGTCAGGCCCGGGGCAATGGCCGACTCGGCGACGCCGAGAAAGAAGCGCGTGGTGAGGAGACCAGCTGCGTCGTGGCAGACGGCCGTGATCATCAGGATGGCTCCCCAGACGAGGCTGTGCCCCAAGGTCAATATGGAGGAGGCCCTAGACAACGTAGTTGCAGCAGCAGCGGGCAACCGACTCAAATAGATATTGTGATTGCCTTGCCGACCCTCCAGCGGATCATCAAGACGCCGGCAGGGTACGAGGCGGCGAGGTAGCCAAAGTAGTAGACGCCACCCGGCATTGATACCGCGTTCGTGCTTACCACAAGTCCAGCTTGCGCAGGATACGCCTGTCTTCTTCTGGTGACAGGCGAATGCCAGTATCGATCATGGTTTTAGCATCCTCGGTGGTGGCGACGTCGGTGCCAACAGTCTTTTCGATGTGTTGGTCCATTCTTACTGTAAGTAACCTGCGGTGGTTGAAACCTTGGAGAGTAAATGGACATGTAAGTTGATCAGACCGGACATACAATGGAGGCAACGAGCCTTATAACCCCGTGCGGGACAAATGCCGAGACTCGGCCGCAGTGGACTGATTCATCCTCAAAGTTTCCTAATCGTCGCCATGAGCGGCGAAGCGTCTTGCTTGTTCTTTGTGAAGAGACGAGGACCCGCCGGGGAGTCTGGGGTATTGCGGGGAGAACGGTTCCAGCCCAGCTCGGCAACTAGCCGCATTTGTCTTTTACAATTCGGAGTTTAACCTAATATTGCTCCTTCTGATGTCGGAAACTAGCTTGTTTCGGCTCTGAAATCCGGGCTGCTGTCCGCGGCGACCGCTGGATGCTTCTTGCCTTGCGCTTGTTAAAAGGCCATGGCGTCTTGCTCTTTCTCAGACGAGTCGCTCATGGAAGAACTCGATCCTTTCAAAGATTGAAGAAGATTCGGCTAGAAATCTCCAGGATGTTGGAAATTACTTGCTCTGGAACTCCGTATGAGGTACGCAACCGTTCCATCGCACACCACTTACACCATTGAGGCCTGTTAACAAAATTTCCCAGATTGGCTTCCACCACGGAAGCAAAGCCAGGACACTGGTGCATGGAAGTGTGGAATATTATGCCCAATATTTCCAGAAGAATAGCAAGATGAGCTGGGAGGCTGCCGAAGATGCGGCGAATGGATTCTATCCGTTCCTTGAGCACCATGTTCCTCATCTTGTCGAGGAGATGCGAGGTCGGCCTATTCGTCGTTTTCTTCGACAATCGATTGAGGATACTACTAACCAGATTTTATAGGCATCGCCGATGGCGCTGAGCTCCCCTTCGCGGCCATATTGGCGCTGAATGCGCGGACGGAAATCTCGATGGGCATGATGAACGACGGTTGCACGTCTCTGTCCTGGGCGACGGATACGTTTAGCGTCGCCGGTCAGAACTGGGATGTAAGTCTACGCTGACTACTCGATCAAACAAAAGAGATATTCTGGAAGCTGAGTGTCGTATCAGTGGGATATACCGCAGAAAGCCCGGCTCGTCCTGATGCACGTCAGGCCCGCCGCCGCCGCCGACGGCGCCGTTCAACGACCACCCGCCAGCCTCGTCACCGAGGCCGGACTCCTCTGCAAGAGCGGCCTCAACGCAGCCGGCGTCGGAGTCTTCGTCAACGCCATCAAGGCCCGGGGCGTCAAGTTCGATGCGCTCCCGATCCACGTGGCCCTGCGCGCGGCGCTCGAGTGCGAGAGTCGGCCCAAGGCGGTCGCGCGGCTGCGCGCCCTCACCCTCGGCACGTCGGGCCACATCCTCGTCGCGGACCGCACCGGCGGCGCGTCGCTGGAATTCAGCCACCTCGACGTTCTGACGCTGGACGCGGACGCGGACGGGCAGCTTGCGCATACGAACCACTTCCTGGCTGCGCACGACCCCGCGGTGCGGGACGTGCACACCTTCCCGGACTCGCTGGCGAGGATGCAGCGGATCGGCGTGCTGCTGGGGCGAGGCAGGAGGGACGTCACGGAGGGCGGCGGCGCGTTGTCGCCGGTGGAGTGCTGCGAGCGGATGCTGGAGGACGAGGACGGGTTCCCAACGGCGATCAATCGGAAGAGCAGCTCGGTCCGGGAGAGCGAGACGCTGTTCAGCATCATGATGGACTTGCGGGCCAAGGTGGCGCGTGTGAGGCTGGGTCGGCCGACCGAGCCGGAGGGTTGCTGGACGCTGAAACCCGCTGAGCTGTAGTGGTCGCGAAGGAAGACCGTGTGACAAACACATAGAGTAGGAATTGAATAAGGGTAGATTATTTCACTAATTCTTTTCTTGTTCCCCACACCAGCAGCCTTGTCGCGGACACGGAGAAGCGGCACGGTGAAGCGGGCGGCGCTGCTCCGGCCACTGCCTCTTTGGGAATGGCCGAGTTGGCCGCCGTCGTTTAAAGGAAAGTCACTCATCAGCCATGGGTGAGTTGGTCAGACTCTCGCGTGGAAAGCCTACAAACAGTCCGTTCATCCCACCTTCGTGGGCATAGGACGACGACTCAATTTCTCCCTAGCCCTCGACGAATTTCTCGCAAGGCCACCTTCTTCCAAGACTCACATCACCCACCTAAAGCCCTTTGCGCTCGAGATGGTTGGTCCAGTGCTCTACGAGGCCACGGTGCCATATTTCCGCAAGGCGCTTGAGAATCAGGTCAAGCTTCTGAAGAAAGGGCAAGAATGGTGCCAGGAGACTGGGCGCGATGCCGCGACTCTCTCCAGCGCTCGCCTGGTGGACGACATGTTTGTAGGAGCACCTCTCTGCTCCCCCTACATTTTTCGCAGTTTGTTTCCCCGATTTAATTTATTCTAACGCAGCTCAGTAGCCTCTCCCGTTCCATGTGACGTTCTGCACCTTCAACGTCGTTCAATTCCTCGTCGACGTGGGCGTCACCACCGCCGCGCCCGAGGCCATCGTCACCGACGACCGCCTCTCGCTGGACGAGCTCATGGCGAGGGTGGAGCGGACGCTCACGGTGCTGGACGGCGTGGAGGCTGGCAAGCTCGCGGCGAAGGAGGAGGATGCGGTCAAGATCAATCTGGGCAATTTTTCCGTCGAGAGACCTGCGCTGCAGTATGCGCAGCAAATCGCCGGACCGAGCTTGTATGTAGTGCTGCTTGTTCCCTCTGGTATTTCTCGTTCAACTAACAAGGTGTGCGCAGCTGGTTTCACCACACCATGGTGTATAGCATATTGCGAGTAGCTGGTGTGCCGCTGGAGAAAAGATTCTTCTTATCTGCCTTTTAAAGATAAAATAGATAAGAAATAGAAAGAAGAAAAAAATAGACAAGACAGGCAAGACAGGCAAGATAGGCAAAACAGGCAAGACAGGTAGGATATAGGTAGGATAGGTATAAGTAGGATAGGTATAAGTAGGATAGGTAGGGTAGGTATAGGTAGGATAGGAAAGACAGGCAAGATTAGAAGAAGTGACGGGGAGAAGAACTGCAAGATCCACGGAGGCAACTTTTTAAAACTTTCAAGTATATAGTAGAACTTTTTAAAGCTTTGAACTATATATTAGTAGATGGACATCGTGTTAAGTTGTTCACAGGCTTGGCGGTCAGGCATAAGTAGTTGTTAGTAGGCACCCACGCTTATAAGCAGCTATCTGTACATATCTTTCCTGTCTTTCCTATATCTCCTGTCTTTGTTATATTTCCGTGATGGACTCTCTAAGAGTCTTGCTTCTTACGTACTGAAACTTGGTGTCCTGGAGATGGATACGGTGTCTCACAGATCCCAAGTTACAGTTGCTTGTAAGCACTAACCAACATACGAATACGCTGTGTTTATGTACGGTGCGGACATGGCAACAAAACCGGCATCTATTTAATTTAGAAACAAATAAAAATTTGATTTAATAACGATGATCTGCAATCCGAAATTGGCTGTCTACTCAGAAGCAAGTGCGCATATCTTTTCTCTATATTTATTGGGCGGACGGGTAGGACGGCAACTAGTGGCAGAGTGGCACTGCTCCGCCCCGCGACAGACAGACAGCAGATAGAAGGACAAACGGACATGTGCCGCAGCCTTCCACCTCCATCTTACTCTCTACATCTTCATATGCCTCCACACATCTTGTTTAGAGGTCTCGATAAAATTAATGAGCATGGATGACTTGACTCTGCTGCAATGTGTCGCATACAGCTCCGCCCTGGCCACCTGGCTAGCTGGTGTTGGTGGTCCACCAGCCAAGCATACCAGCGACACCGATACCGACACAGAGACAGACACCGATTCGAATGAACCCAGTCCAGACCAGCGGATTAGGTGCTTGGAAGAGAGATTGAATGAATTACAGGCTTCTTTGGAGGCCTTTACAGGTGATGCGACCCAGAGCCGACGACAACATGATGCCTCTGCCATCAAAGAGCTCGCCACGAGCTGCAAATCACTATGCAACCGTGTGCTGTCTGCCGTTCAGACCACTCGAGGACCCAAGCGTATCAGTACATCTTTGAATACATGGAGGTCGTCGCGTCCTGCTCTAGGGAGCTCACGTCAGGCATTCGAGCTGCGAAAACTCTCCGAGAGACTGCAGGACTTGCAAGTCAGCCTGGCTTCACAACTAGCCAAGACCTTGAGGTGAGGCGAGCATCGTAGGCAATCTTGTTACAAGACTGACATGCAGTAGTGGCTACATAACTGCATCAAAGCACCAGGTACGCCAGCTGCAGCTAGACAGTCGCAGATTCCAATGCCACAAGTCCGACAGGCTCAGAACCTTGTCCAGCTTGCTGCGCAGTCTAGAAGTGACGGTGCACTCGTTACAACAAAGCACACCCAACAACAGCATGCTCTCTCCCAATGACATTACCCTCTACCAAACTCAAATACAACAATCAAGAGACCAGACACGTTACCTTCAGCGCGACCATGCCGTGTTGAGGAGTCTCGCTTTCCGGAGCAACGTCGCCCGCCACGACACCATCCCCGAGGCACACCAAAAGACGTTTTCCTGGGTCTTTTCCGTACCCCGATCCCAAAATGAAGATGAGCCACCGCCACCTTCTTCTTCTTCTTCTTCTTCTTCTCTTTTTTCTCCCAATCTCAGTCTACATACCTGGCTGGAGCGTGGCCACGGCATCTTCTGGGTCTCCGGCAAGCCCGGCGCCGGCAAGTCGACGCTCGTCAAGTTCATCGCCGACCACGAACGCACCCGCACGGCCCTCGCCAGATGGTCCGCACCCAAGCAGGCGGCCGTCGTCAGTCACTACTTCTGGTGCGCGGGCACGCCCATGCAGCGCTCGCACGCCGGGCTCCTGCAGACCCTGCTCTTCGAGATGCTGCGGCAGCTGCCCGACGACATCGAGCACCTGCTGCCGGAGCGCTGGGGCTCTTCGGGTGGCACTTGGTCGATACCGGAGCTATACCGCGCGATTTATGACATTGTTGGGCGCGATGACCTGCCGGTCAGGTTCTGCTTCTTCGTCGACGGGCTGGACGAGTTTGACGGCGATCACGAGGCTCTGTGTCGTGAGCTGCTCGCGCTGGCGCGGTCGGAGAATGTCAAGCTGTGCCTGTCGAGCAGGCCCTGGAGCGTGTTCGAGGAGGCGTTTGGGGCCAACAAGATGGGTCACCTGCGCTTGCACGATGTCACCAAGAACGACATTGTAGACTTTGTCCTGGATCACTTCGCTCAACATCCAGAGACGACGATGCACTTGAAACCGAGCGATGTGCAGACTATAGCCTTGGAGATTAGCCAAAGATCGCAAGGCGTTTTTCTCTGGGTGTCCCTCGCCACCAAGAGTCTTCTCGAAGCTCTCACCCAAGACCATTCGCCGTCCGATCTGCTCGATCGGCTGCGCGAATACCCACCCGAGCTGGATGACTTGTTCACGTACAACCTCGACGCCGTTCCGACAAGCGATCAAGCCACGATGGCTACGTCTCTTCTCATCACCGAAGCTGCCGAGAAACCCCTACATGTCGGCATTTACCACTTCCACGCCATGGAGCGTGCCGACCCCGACTACGTCCTGGCCCTTTCCCCGGAGCCCCCCGGCCGGCTCGAGTACCGGCGGCAGCTCGCGCACGCCGCGCAGCAGCTCAGGGGCGTCTGCCGCGGCCTGCTCGCCGTCGACCCAAAGACGAGCGTCGTCAGCTGCATCCATCGCACCGTGCGGGACTACCTGGACCAGCCCGCGACCAAGGCCATGCTAAGCAGCAGGGCACCGCCTGGCTTCTCGCCGAGCTTGTGCCTCGTCCGGGCTGCTGCCGCGTGGACAAAGACGAGCCGAGCCGCCGTGTCGGACGAGCCGAGGGCGGAGTATTTGTCCAGCGTCACAACTCTGTTAGCAGCTGCGGCGCAAATTCACCTCCCGGAGGATGCGGAAGCGTGTCGTCGTCTCGTCGACGATCTCGACGACTGCCTGGTCTCCAAGGGTCCTGGTGCGGAAGAGAGCCTGCAGATACTCCGCACGCAAGTCGTCGGCCACAGGCTGTGGTGGTATCTATCCGACGTTCAGGCCCGCCGGCCAGGATACCTCGACGTGCTCATCGAAGTCCCGCCGCTGGTCCTGGCCCTCTTCCCGGACTACCAGATTGGCGAGGTCGCGCGCGAGCGACGCCGACCTCCGTGGGACGAGGCCGCGAAGAAGACTGTCTTGTGCCTGCTAGATCAAGGGCAGGACCCTAACCAGCCCTTCTCGACAGCAGAGACGCTGGCCGCCAAGACGGAGAAGACGCCATGGGTCGTCCTCTGCGAGCACGTCCTGCCGCACCACGACGACAACGCCCCGCACGCGGGCAAGAAGGCACAGCAGGCGCAGCTCAAGTCAGCGCTAGAGACGGGCATCCTGGGCGCGTTCCTATCACGCGGGGCCGACGCCCGCGCGCGGTGCGAGCGGCCGGGGAAGCCGGTCAGCGTGGTGGCGACGGACTACCTGCTGCACGCGTTTCGTCTCTGCGGGGACGAGGACGACGAGGTTTTGCAGGAGCTGTATCTGCAGCACGTGCATTGGTTTGCGCCCAAGGACCCGGAGCATTTGAATGCGGTGATGGGTGACTTTTTGCGTCTCGTGGAGAGGGCACGGGGACAAGGTGAAGGGCCACCAAGGTTTCTGCAGCAAGTGTCAAAGAAGCTGCTAGAGGTTTCTACCCAGCTTAAGAAGGCATAGATAAATTTGAACGGAGCGTCATGCCCGTATCGGCTAGATGTAATATCTAATTATACATCGGTATGCCAATTCGCTTCTATGGTAAAATGATGACCCATTTGGTCTTCTTCCTTCAGCTTCCTGTCAAGATCTTGGGGGTGTGGCAGCCCATCCTGGCAGAGAAGATGAGTACCCAGACTATACTAATCATTCTACATCACGGAAGACGATTTCGGGTCCCTCCTCTTCCAAGATGGCCTTGTTGAACCCGTACAAGATAGCCGTCTTGTACATTGTCACGGCGTGTAGCGACCAATATCGCCGCCCCACGAGCCGGTAAAGTCTGGATGGGTGACTATGTGTCGGGAGTGTGCACCGACGTCAAGAACGCGTCGGAGGACGAGTTGGTCACGGTGCCGTCGATGATTCCGACGAACGGGGCGTCGCCGTCATGCACCACGGACCGCCCCGACGCCGTCAAACGTCGGCGCCACCAGCGTCGCCGTCTTGCGCCCCCCCCGTTCTTCAGCGCCACCGCAAAGGACGTCTCGCCGGCCTCGCCCTAGCCCTGGAGGAGCACGGAGGGGGGGGAGGGGCCTAAGCCGGGCGCGGCGCGGAGAACGGGCAGGCTGGTGGCGTCGCCGAGGAGGACGGTGTCGGTCTTGAGGGAGAGGATGTCGCGCAGGGTGTAGGTGCCGGGCGGGGGGGTAGATGACGCGCGGCTGGGAGGCGAGCCAGGTGCGGTGGGCGGAGTCGCCCGTGCCGGCGGCGTCGATGGCGGCTTGGATGCCGTCAGCGTCGCCGGGCTGGACGGCTTGGTAGACGGGGTAGGTGTAGTCGCCGTCCAGGTCCGGCGCGTAGCCGCGGACGGCGCTCGTGTGGTCCATGTTGGGGTACCAGAAGGCGGTGCCCCCGGAGGCGGCGGCCAGGTCCGGAGCGGTGGTCTGGTTCCGGGAGGTGGTAGGGCTGGCTGAGGCCAGGCCCAGCAGCATGTGAGGCCACGTTGAGTTTGACCATGGTTGGCTTAGGTGATGGTTGGGGTTTGCTGCTATCGAGATGAAGAATAACTCACGATTAGCGAACAATACAGCTCGAGTGAGACTGCTGGTACTGATAGTTGCTCGGGTCTGGATAGGTAATATGCCAGGAGTGTCTGAACACAATTGGGGATATTAATGACCTGAGTCTCCATTGTGTGCTTACTCCAACCTTGAAAGTCTCCGAGAACCTGATATTAGTCGCGTTATTCGTGCTGGAGTATGCAATTGATGAATTCTTACTCTAGTCTCCGTGCTCGTAAGGCATTGTGTCACATTGAAGCCGGGTTCATTATAGTCTTCTCCGGAGCTCCGGTCTTCGCCGGGTCGATCCGCTCCTCGCTCTGCGTGTTGCCTGTTTAGGCACCTCTTTCAGGGGCCGATTTGAGATTGATCGCACATCTAGTAACACAGCCGTGGATGCGGGGATAGTAAGGGCGGAAGGCGGGATCGTCCGCGTCCAAGCGGCAGATCCCCTTCCCGTATTGCAGATCACAGGGACACCGCCATTGTCTCGCACTTTCGCTTTTGATCTACTGATTAGAAAGCGTGAATGGAAGTCTAGAGATGGCGTCAAATCACCCGCACTAGTTTGCCCAGATGGCTCTAGTTGGGGTCACATCACCGGCATGCAGGCTGATGATGGATTGAGTAATCGCAGACAAGGCGCAAGTGTCGGTCGTATGATGGTCTTCAAAACATTTTCATAAGCTGTCTAGAAAAGAAAATGCTGCTGTGCCAGGGCAAGCCGAGAGCATGGCTCAGCCTTGCACAGCACTCCGTCCGCCTCAACCTCCTACACAAGTTGCTTTAGCAAACCGTCTTCGAAATAGTGGCAACAACTTACAAATGTCTCAGGATCAATATTCAGGCTCGGCATTGAGTCGTTAAACTTCATGTCGTGCTTGCTGACCTTGCGCGTGTCCTTGACCGTCTCGATCCTCTTTGCCAGGTTGTACGACTTGATGGCGCCGTTGGCGACGCTGGCCTTGGAAACGAACATGGCGCTGGCAGAGGGCACCAACGGCTGATGAAGGCAAAATATTAGAGAGACAGACTTACAAGAGAGGATATGGGGTCGTCGTCCCTCACCGAGAACATGGGCCTGCCGATGATGGGCTGCACAGTAGATACGCTTCCGTTGGGGTCACCCTGACATACAGTCAGTCAGGAATTAAGTCGACCCGGATCTGATCTGATGTCTCATCAGACTCACCATCTGCGCATAAGCGACGAAACCGCTCTTCATCACCAGAGAGGGCTTGGTGCCGAAGCGAGCAGGCTCCCAGAGCACCAAGTCGGCCAGCTTGCCAACCTCGACGCTCCCCACGACATGACCAACACCCTGCGCGATGGCCGGGTTAATCGTGTACTTGCTCACATACCTCTTCACCCTGTAATTATCCGCCCCCGTGCCCTCATCCTCCCGCAGCGCCCCGAAGCGCCTCTTATTCGCGTCCGCCACATCCCACGTCCTCGCCACCACCTCGCCGCACCTCCCCATCGCCTGCCCGTCCGACGCCATCATGCTGATCGCCCCCGTATCATGCAGCACGTCCTCCGCCGCGATGGTCTCGCGGCGAACGCGCGACTCGGCAAAGGCCACGTCCTCGGGCACGTCCTTGTTGAGGTGGTGGCACGACATGGCCATGTCGAGGTGCTCGTCGACCGTGTCCGGCGTGTACGGGTTGGTCGGCGTGGTGCTGCTCGGGAGCACGTGGGCGCGGCCGACGAGCCGCATCAGGTCCGGCGCGTGCCCGCCGCCGGCGCCCTCGATGTGGTAGGCGTGCACGGTGCGGTGCCGGAGCGCCGCGGCGGTCTGCTCGACGAAGCCGGCCTCGTTGAGGGAGTCGCTGTGCAGCTCGCACTGGATGTCGTGCTCATCACAGACTCTGTGAGCAGGCAAGACTGGTAGTGAGTAGGGTTTCTGCAAGATAAAAGACAAGAAAAGACAAGAAAAGACAAGGAGACTCACGTCAGGCACGTGTCGATGGTGGCTGGCGTGCAGCCCCAGTCCTCGTGTACTTTGAGGCCGACGACGCCGGCTTCCACCTGGTCGCGCAGGCCCTGCGGTCCGGAGTCGCTCCCCTTGCCGATGATGCCGTAATTCAGCGGCAGCGAGTCACACGCCTGCATCATCATCCTGATGTGGCTCACCCCCGGCGTGCAGTTTGCCGCCACCGTCCCTGTGCTACTCTCGCAGGTCAGCAGATCCCTTCCTCTCCTCCTCATCCTCCGGTGCAAATACATACCTCGGTCCCGTGCCGCCCGAGAACTGCGTCGTAATCCCCGACGCCAGCGCCTCCTCCGCCTGCTGCGGACACACAAAGTGGCCGTGCGTGTCCACCCCGCCCGCCGTCAAGATCCGGCCCTCCGCAGCCACCACGTCCGTGTTCGACCCGACCACCATCCCCGGCGGCCACACGCCGTCCATCACGTCCGGGTTTCCCGCCTTGCCGATCCCAACGATGCGCCCGTCGCGCACCCCCACGTCCGCCTTGAAGATGCCGCTCCAGTCCACCACCAGCGCGCCCACGACCACCAGGGCCAGGCACGCCGACGCCGGCCGGCCGCTCGCCTGCCCGATGCCATCGCGCAGCGTCTTGCCCCCGCCGAACGTGCACTCGTCTCCCGGCACGGTCAGGTCCCGCTCGACTTTGATCCACAGCTCCGTCGTGGACAGCCGGACGAGGTCGCCGGTCGTCGGGCCGTACATGCCCGCGTAGTCTGCCCGCTCCATCGTCGCCGGCGCAACCTTCTCCTCCTCTGGCATACGGATCTTCTCCGGCGTGTGGTGGAAGCCCCCGGCCTGGAGCCGGTCGAGGATGGTGCGGGCCATGGACGGGTCGACCTTGCCGGGCGCGATGGAGCTGCCGCCGTGCGGAGTCTTGAGGCCGCCGACCTCGACCAGCGTCACCGTCTTGAGCTCGCCGGGCTCGAAGCGCGCAGAAGTCCCGGCGGCAATGTCCAGGTGAAACCCGTACGACTTGAGCCGGTCAAAGTCTAGGTACGGGTTCGTTTCGAGAAAGTGGTAGTGAGAGCCAACCTAAGCACGGCAAGTTAGTTGACGCTCTATGCATGCATTCGTTTTTCCTTTGCAAGACTCCAGAAGCCGTACTTGGATCGGTCTGTCGCCCCTGTTGGTGACTTCTAGGCGAGTTCTCTTGCGGCCCTTGCTCAGCGTAATGTTCTCGCCTTGAGCTGCAATGATGCATCCAGGCATCTTCTCAGGAGCAAAGCCCTCCGCTTTTACCTCGGGGAACAAATCTTGGCTCGGAGTCGCAACGCAGCTTCCGTACATGGCCATTTCCAAGTCGCCGTCGTCTGTCGCGAGGGGCTGATCGATGGTGACGAGGTGTGTTCCCGTCCGAAAGGTGCCCTCGACTTGCAAGCCTTTGACCATGACCACGGCGGATGGATCGACGTGTCTTCGTCCCAAAATTTGCTGTCCAAGGTCCATGAGCTGGGCCACGCTGTGGTTTCCATCGCGGATGAGCTGTCGCAGTTAGCCGAGCATGTCTGCGGTGCACGAGGCTGGAACTGACCTCCTGAATAACATTCGTGATCAATGCCTAACAATGTTATCATTAATGAACAAATTTCCATTCTTTCTCGCTCGACATACCGTTGCCTCGGTCCCGTTTAGCTTGATGCCTCGCGCGAGTCTTCTCTGCGCTAGGAAGCCTGTCTGCGAGATGAGCAGCCTGTCAATCTACATCAGGTGTGAATAAGCAGCTCATGTACAGTGTTAGACTGCGACCTGCTTACCTCTCGTGGGACCAAATGCATTTTACCACGAGCATACGAACTGGGTGTGCAATTGTCTTTGCTTCTATCAGCCGAAAATCCGCAGCGCAACTACCGCTATTTAACTAAACAGTAAACCGGCATACACCATGGCGTGCACTTGCCAAGTCAACCTCGTATACAGGAATGCAAAAACAAAAAAAAAAAAAAAAAGGTCTTCAAGCCACCCAAAGGCCGTCATTTTGGGCGATAAGGCAAAATAATCGGCGAAAGCTTCAATAGCGTCGCGCTACGGCTCACCACGCCCTTGGAGCCAAAAGACGGACGGGTTCTCCCCGAGAGAACTGCGGACAACTTCAGTCCCGAGACATGCTAAAATCCCCGTTACCCTTTCCGCTGATGTGGCAAAGAAGTTGGGCGAGATATGAGCCTTTCTCGGGGAGATGACGATGGGCGAGGGTGGCCTCCTTCGGCCGCTGTCGGAGGCCGGCCAAGTAAGTCGGTGACACCAACAGGGTTTCTATCCGGATGCAAACTCCCAAGAAACGCAATGCACTCAATGTGCGAAATTGAACAACTTCCCAAGCTGGTCAAAAAAAAATGGCCATTCAAGCTACCCCCATGGCCACCACGGCCAAGACGACGCTGCAGCCCGGCTCCGCCGTCATCGCCGTGCAGGCCGCCCCCGACCAACGCTCCCGCCTCCGCCATCTCTCCTCCGCCTACCCCATCAAGCTCATCTCCCCCCTCTCCCCGCCCTCCTCCTCCTCCTCCCGCGCCGTCCTCGCCTTCCTCCTCTCCTACGGCGGCGGCCTCGTCGCCGGCGACCGTCTCGCCCTCTCCGTCACCGTCGACCCCTCCGCGCGCCTCGGCCTGCTCACCCAAGGCAGCACCAAGCTCTACCGCGGCCTGCCGCCCTCCCGCACCGCCACCGTCGCCACCGTGCGCGACGCCGCCGCGCTGCTGCTCCTGCCGGACCCGCTGCAGCCGTTTTGCGGTAGCGCCCACGAGCAGCGCCAGACGCTGCGCTTACATCACCGTGCGAGCGCGCTGCTGCTGGACTGGGTTTCCGAGGGGAGGCCGGGCTGCGACGGGGTCGTGTGGGCGCCGGCGGAGCTCCGGTCCGTCACGGAGGTGTGGCGGCTGCCGGAGGATGAGGGGGCGCCGCCGAGGCTGCTGGTCCGCGACAACTTGATCCTCCGCGGCGGGTCGGTGCGGGAGTGCGTAGCCGGGCTGGGCGTGGTCGGGACGGTCATCGTCGGCGGGCCGCTCTTCGACGGCCTGGCGCGCTTCTTCCGAGACGAGTTCGCGGGTCTGCCGCGCGTGGGCGAGGTTGACTGGGCTCGCGACGACGACGACGACAACGACAGCGACAGCGCGAGGAGGCGAGGCGGCGGCCCGGAGGTGCTCTGGAGCGCGGCGGCCGTTCGGGGATTCACCGTCGTCAAGTTTGGCGCCGGCAGCGTCGACGGGGCCCGGCGCTGGCTGCGCGGGATGCTGGAGAGGGAGGGTACGGTGGCTCGGGAGTTTGGAACGCGATTTTTGATGTGTCTGCAAGATAGATAGGGGTGACTTTCATAAAGAAATGGCATCTTGGTAGGAGCGTGTAAGTGACGATGAATTAATCGACTGCCAGAATAGGCAAGTATAGCACAACGGTGTGGCGCGATCCCTGGTATCAGTGTGGCGCAGCTGGTTCCGCCATCTTGACACTTGTCCGCGAGAAAACTGCCATGAAAATGCAATTAAAATGTCATGAACTTAATTATTTTTCACCAGTAAAATTCTCAATAAACTTAAAGCATATAATTCAGCTGAAGCCTTCCCAAAATACTACCCTCCCAGCTGTTTGTGTTGGTCTTTAGCGCCAACGGCCTTTTACGAGCCTGCAGCCAACCAAAAGTTCTCAGACTGGCCACCGGCACTCCCCGCAATTTTTTTTTCCCTTTCCCATCTTCCCATCGTAATTTTTCAACCTGTCACTTTGAACAACTGCACCAGAACCCCAGAAACTCACCCTCCCCGAACTGAATATCCAAAATGGGCAACGTAAGTCCCGGCCGACCTCTCATCCCGCCTCCCGTTCCGGCAAAGGCGACCCCGCCAGATTCTGACCAAAACTACCAGGGAGCCAAGGCACAGCAGAAGCGCGAGCGCAACGCCAAGGACAAGGCCGGCGCGGCCAAGTCCCAGCTCAAGGTGGTATGTAGACGACATTCGAGATGTTGCTCTCCTTCGACTTGGACTTGACTACTGACTGTTGTGTGCAGAACGCCGCCGCCTGCGACATTATCTGCACCGTCTGCCGATCCACCTTCCTCAAGACCACCAAGCCTCCTCAGTACGTCCGCCCGAATCGTCCTGGCTTGCCTTGCCCATGTATTGTGAGAATGCGCAGGATAGAGAGAAAACTAACATGCGAATAGGCTGCTTGAGCACGCCCAAAACAAGCACAATAAGGGCATGGCCGACTGCTTCCCCTCTGTGAGCGTTTAAACCTGCCGCGCCCCGACGACACGATTCAGCACGATAATACGATGATACACGGAGTTTTACGGGATTGCGAAAAGACAAAGGGGACGAAGTGGTTTTCTTTTATACTCATTTTTTAGACTTGCGAGTTGAGCGAGGCACGGGGAGAAAGGCGTTGCGTAGAGAAAGAATAGAAGCTGGAGCATTTTGGTGAATCTGAAACTAACACTGAACATAAAAATAAGGACCCTGACCCCCTCACACTTCCATCGTGTTTAATGCGCCTCCACCTTGGCCGCTGGAAGAGACGACCCATGAGTAATACCATCCCCGCGCACCACCTCATCGGCCTGCGGCTTCTGCTCCGCCTTCGCCGCCTGCTCCGCGCGGATCTCCCGTAGGATGTCCGGGTACCAGCGCTCGCCCACATCCGGATGACTCTTCACGCGGTTCCTCAGCGTCGCCTCCCCCAACGTCCTCGCCGCGCCGCCCGCCCTGAACGTGAACTCGACGTCATCCCCCACCGCCCGCCGCTCCCTCCGCACCTCCCCCCCGCCGCCAACCTCGAGGTCCGCAAAGGCCGCGTCGGCCTTGACGCCCTGGAAGAACGGCACCGACAGGCGCGCGCCCTCCCCCGCCCCCGGCGAGAGCACGCGGTGCGTCGTGCTCACGCAGGCGCCTCGCGTCAGCGCCTCCAGCCCCTGCCCGATCGCCACCACCAGCGTGCCCGCCACCGGCGGGCAGTCCACCCACGCGCCGCCCAGGTTCTGCACCTGCAGGCCGCGGTGCGCCGTCGCCTGCAGCAGGTAGCTCGTCAGCATGCTGTCCTTGTGCGGGTTGAGCTTGTGCTGCTGGTCCTCGTCAAAGTAGGCGTCGAACGCCGTGGCGGGCAGGTGGATGGCCTCGGCGACGAGGGAGGTGAAGACGCGCGAGACGGCGCCCATGCGGGTCAGGTAGTCGGAGAGGACGGGGCGGAAGCGCGGGAGGGCGCCGGCGGACGGCCATTGGTTGGGCGCGCGCAGGTTGTGGTGAAGAGGCGCGGAGGGGGAGGGGAGCGGGTGCTCGGTGGAGAGATCGAGCTGCTCGCGGTGGTCGGCGGCGCCGGCGGTGATCTCGGCGGCGAGCCGGGAGTAGCCCAGGAACGACGGCGCGTTCTTCATCTCAATCTTGAGCCTGGTCGATTTTTTGTCAGTTCCTTTTACGCACCGCAACGGAGCTCAGGATGGGACAGACAAAAACTCACTTTTCTTCCTCAGGCAGGTCGAAAAAGGCCTTTGCCTGCTCAATCACATCCGCAAACAGGCTCTCCGGGATGCCGACGTTCTTGATGTACAGGAAGCCCACCTCCATCAGCGCGTGGCGCAGCTGCTTAAGGAACTCGGGCTTGGTCGCCGGCTCCTGGGCCTCGGCCAGGTCCAGGATGGGGATCGAGGTGAACGACATGGTGATGAAATGTTGCGCGCCTCGAGGGAAAGCGGCTCAAGTAGAGACGCGGTCAGGCAGAACGCTTCGAGGTTGGGCCTTGTCAAGTATGCAAGTCGCTCAACGATGAAGTCGTGGGGAAAATCAATGTTAATCTTTTCTCGCTTCTTATGTACAATGTCGTTTTAGTATATGTCCCATGATAATTCAAGATCCAAGTTCTAACATGGCAGTCCGTCGTGCCGATAGAATGCCTATGAATGGCGCCATCGCTCTAGTCGCAACTCTATTGCGCCGGTTGTCGCGTCCCCGCACCCGGATCAGCTTCCCCTCGTCAGTCGTCGCGGAATGAATGCGGTGGAGTATCTCCGAGCTAATTCCGCACATCCAATATGCTCAGATTCAATGCCTCTTCTTCAACTCTTCTTTTTATACAAAATATTGCTTCCCGCAGATCGTAGTCTCGTCCCTCAAGAAGTCAGCGGCTTGCTTCCCAAGAGTCCGGTAACCTTGTAAAACATGTCCTCCACCGACGACCCCGCAAATGCCGGCGCGGCGTTGAATATATCGGCCAGGCTTTGCTGTGAGATGACGCTGGTGGGCACATCGTCCAGGTCAATATCCATGTCGTCGTCGGCGACACCGTTCGCTGCGGTTGTCTCTTCCTCATCATCGCTAGCCATCACCACGTCATCGTCGGCGATCGCTGGAGCCTCACCGTTCGCAGCGCCATCGTCCACTTTGCCGTCTAGGTGAATGTCCTGGAGCGGCTGCGCCGTGACTATTGATGACGGATCCGAGCCCTCCGTCACCGTCCATATTTGTGCGGCGTCGTCGAGGGCGAGGAATCCGCTCGTGCCCGGGGCCGTCGTCAGGCTGACGATGCGGTGAGGGGTGCTCCGCACCAGCAACGGTTCGGGATCCTCGGGGCTGAAGATGCCAATGCTAGAGATGTCGCCAATGGGCAGCGTAACGGCAAAGTGGCCCGAAGCGTGGTCGACCGCAAGCTGCTGCAAGTCTTCCATGCCGGGGAGCTGAGGTACTTCAATGCCATATCGGAGCTCGTCACTTACAATGTCGTAGACATAGAGCGAGTCTGATAGAACCACAACAAACTGCGAGAGTGCGCGGACCGCATGCAGGTTGCCCTCCCAGAGACCTTCGAGGATGCGCACCACCTTGCCAGAAGCTGCATCAATCACGTAGACGGAGCCGAGCTCGGAGAAGCCAAAGGCGGCAAATATTGTAGACCCATCTTCGGAAAACGAGATCTTGCCCTGAGGCGTAGACGACGAAGCCACGTCCGTCAAATCTCCTACTCCATACCCTTCGCCGACTGGGATGATCTGTGCACAGCCCCAAGAGACGGCGTCCTTTCCGTTGGCGCCCTTTGATACAATGCCGTTAGCTTGTCTCGTTCTTGGGCGCCACAGTCGCACAATGCCATCGCCTCCAATCGTGGCAAAGCATGTCGATGAGGGATCTGCGGCGAGATCAAGCACAGGCTCGGAGGATGACGTCGCGTGGGGTCCGTTAATTCGTGAAACTAACGCGACAGGCTCGTCACCCTCTTGCACCTCCCAAAACTTCAGGTAGATTTCACGACGCTCTCGGATGAACTGGTCTCTTAGCTCAGCGCTGACGTTGTCGATATCCCTAGCGGCAGGCTGCCAGTCATCAATACTGGCGAGCCACTTGCCGTCGCCGGAAAATTCGACATGAGTAACGAGAGGCTCGTCAATGGCGTGACCGGTTGTCGTCATATTGATATGTGTGGGATTCGTTCGGGCCAGCGCTTGTTTGGAAACGCTGGTGAAGGTCTCGAGATCAAATGCTTGAAGCAGGGGCGCGGAAAAGCGGCCAGACATGGTGGACTGTCTCCCAGCGCCAACACAGACATGGAGACGAGATGATGCGTTAGAGCGGATCGCGGCAGGAATGCGCTGACGGACGTGTTCTTGGACCTCCCACACACGCTTCACGAGCTGGTCCTTGGGGGTCTGGACATTGGCGGCGGCGGACTGGACTCCCGATACGTATGCGGAAGGTTTCAATTCAGAGGTAGAAAGGATCATTGTGGAGTTGTCATCAAGATGAACGACATAAGAAGCCCCGTCCGAAGACACCACAATGTTCTCTACACTTCCGGAGAGATGTGGGAGAAAGTCCTTTTTGGACGTGTCCATCTGCCACAGCACCAGCGTGTTCTCTGATCCACCAGAAATCATGTAGTTGCCATCTTTGGACCACTTCACCGAATGTACAGCCTTGCGGTGCCAGTGGTACTTCTGAGCATGTATTGTGTTTTCATTGGGCTTGCCAGACTCGGTCGCCTGGCACCGGGCGATGACGTCGTGGTAGAGGTAGATGCCGCCTCGGGCGCCACCAACGAGGACGTCCACCACCTTTTCGGTGTCGCCGCGGGCGTGCTTAGATGTGCGCTTGTACGCGCGCAGGTCCAGTGTGGTGATGAGATCCGGCGTGTCGAAGGCGTAGAACTCGTACTGCAGCTCATCCGCCTTGGTGGGCGACTGCTTGGAGACGCCCAGAAACAAGAGGTCGTTGATGGCGCCCACGAGGAAGCGACCATCCTTGGTGGATTCAAGGAGTCGCAGCGCCGTTCCCGGGCGCTTGAGTGACACGAGAGGTTTGGGCTTGGGCTTGGACGAGAGGTCCGATTCGTAGGCCACCAGCTCGATGTGCGTCGGCTTGTCCGATTCGGCGACAATGACGATCTCTTTGGAGCGACCCTTGCCGGCCAGAGGCACAATAGACATGGCGTGCGCGGTCTTAGACGCAGTCTGGAAGCTTTCTAAGGTCTTGGATTCCTGTGTCCAGTTGATGCGGTACACCCGGCCGTTTGCGCAAGCAACCCAGACCAAGCTGGCGTCTTGTGTCGACAGGCGAGTAGCGACGATCGGAGAGGGGGTCGAGCCTTGTTTCGCGGAGGCATCGATGGTGCTGACTGGTATGCGTCTCACCAGCAGAGAGTCGACGGCAGAAAAGACTTGGATTGATGTGTTGTAAGCCAGAATTAAGTATCTGCACAATGCATCAGTACTGGCTGCGATCGTGGAATGTTCAACGGGGAAATAGATGCAACTTACTCTCCGTTGTCGGTCAGAATAGGATCGATATCCAACATTCGCCCTCCCATGGGCTTGGAGATCTTCCAAGCGGTATCTGAACGATCAAGCCTCTTGGCCAGATCCTTGGTCGAGGTCGGCTCGGCGAGCACTCCGTTTGCATCCTGAGGCCGAGCCCTCTTGGCCGTTATTTCGCTGTCATTGCCGTCCCTCTTGCGCTTTTTTGGTTCATCGACCTTGAATCGGTGTGTCTTGTTCTTAGCCATCGTGGTGTTACGCATGGAATATTATATGCACCGCGATTGGCGTTGGTAACAAGGTTGGACTCAATGCTAGAAAAAGTCGGTTTACAGCCCGCCATGAAATTTTGGTGAACTTTTGCTGCACCGATAAGATAAGGCCGCCGCTTTTTTTTTCTTTAGCGCTGCCGGCCAAACCTCGGGCGCGGAGAAAATCATAGTGCCACCCTTCGTTTGACGAATCTCCTAACGTGAACTTTCCCAGCAGCCAAAGCTTCTCGGATTGACTTAAAAAGAGCCCTCTTCGCGTTTTTATTGTCGCCAAAATGATTATTCCTATTCGCTGCTTCTCTTGTGGCAAGGTACGAGGGCGCCGATGCCAGACCGCGATGCGCACGACCGGCTAACCTATTGACAGGTCACTGGCGACCTCTGGGAGCGCTACCTGCAGCTCATTGCCGACCCCAGGAAGACTGACGGGTACGTGTTGGAGAAGCGCGCTCGAGAATAACTCTCTCACCTGTCCTCATAGTGATGCCATGGACGAACTGGGACTGAAGCGCTACTGCTGCCGCCGCATGATCATGACCCACGTCGATCTTATCGAGAAGCTCCTCAAGTACGACGACCCTCGCATCCTTTTACCGACATGAAATGCGGATCGCTAACGCATACTTTTTTTTTTACTTCTTTAGGTATACCCCCGACGGCCGAAGCGAGATTAAGCAGAAGCTCAACGAACTAGCATAAAACAACACAGCTCGCTTCAATGCGACGCGCAGGCTTCATGGGATGGCGTTTCTTGGGTACTTTCTTTTCTCGCTCCACTAGATGGTATGGCGTACAATAGGGGAACTTTTGCAATAGTCATATGACAAGACACATTTACATCTTGGAATGAAAATTTCATGTATGATGACCGAATGCCAATCGTGAAGGCAGCGCGTCCGACGGCAGCAGAGTGAGAGGGAGGCTTGCACAGCGTTGATCCTGCGCTAAAGGAATGGAAGCGTTCTGCGGTCAGCACGGAATATCTCGCGCCGGTCTTGCTATTAAAAGAGCCATGCAAAGCCGGCAGCGAAGTGTGGCGGGGCCTTGGCTGGCTGCGAGTCCTCTTCTCACGCCGCAGCTTTGACGTTGCACAACAGAAAGGCGTCAGCCATGGACAAGTACGCATGTCATAGAATGAATGCATGCTGCAGGAATGTCCATGTGAGAAGCCTCGCCGGTATAACACGTCCACAGATGGCAGGCTTTGCTCTTCCAGGTTAAGCGATGATGAGTTGTGTAACGCGACGCAGCGCCATCATCTAAGCCGGGCAGTCCAGCCTGCGGCGGTGCGGATACGACAACCCAAAAGGCTGTCATCAGGATTTACATGCAGTAAATCCATGGGTCAGCCATGCTACGGTCGAGGGGCCATACTGACCGTATCTGCCCGACGGCAAGGGTTGTCTGGAGAAGCAGTAGTGCAGGTCGCCAGAGACGCAACCAGGCGGTATAACTGTGAGGACCGGATGGAGGCCCGGGGCTGACACGGCGAACGTGAATTCATGGCTCAAGGGGGGATTCATTTACGATCCAGCCGGGAATAATCACCACTGGATCCAGACTCACACTGCTATTCATGGTACTGGGTGTTAATGGCATCCAGATAGCAGGGATATCAAGGCCAAAAGAGGTGGATCTAGGCTCAAGTGATGAAAGCATCGATTCCAACAAAATTGGCAGTCGGCTACAAATTCCAGTGTAGCAAAACCAACCAGAGAGCGGTGTCGTAAACGCGGCAACTGCAGTTAGGGCGGCGCTGGAAAGCGACAAGAATTGCGGCTGGGCCTGCCATGTCGCCTCTCGGGATAAGACCGTAGCGAGCGCTTTCAATCCTTCCGGTGCTCCTTACCATCCAGAATAAGCAGTTATCGGCAGTCATTTTTGTGCAACCATGAAGGGATCGCCGTTCAAGGCCAGCCAGGGTGGGTGGTAAATTGTGGTGGCGTGTGGAGGCCCCAGCAAAGTTGGGTATTTTGTTCTGTCAAAGTGCAAGGAAAAGCCAGCACAATGGACAGGAAGCCGCCGGGCCCAGATTGTCGGGACCAAGCAGCCAGTCATCCTGAGGCTGCGGAGCAAGACAGGTTGTCTTGTCTGAGTTGTCTCACGAAGGTGACTTGTAAGTTGGGCCTAGAGCAGCCCGGCGACGCTAGAAGACGACATGGGTGCTGGAATGATGGCAGCCGGCCAGCAGGGTGGTATCCAGCCGGGTGGTGGGTGTGCAGTACAGAGCAGACCAGGCTGTGTCATTGGAAGCTGAATATACCTACACAGTATAATCTACCAAAAAAATAGTAATCATGGCGGCTGTTGCGGGTTGCGATCCGGCAGAGGCTGGCCTCAGCTGGTTCGGATATTGACCTGTTCGGGAGCGCAAGCGGCGTCGACTGATAGACAGGCGCTGTCAAAGTGGTGGTGAGCAGGGACCGGGCTGGGGCTGGTAAGAGAGGTGGGCTCAATAAGGAAGGAAAAGGGCAAAGGAAAAATCACAAGGGTGTTGAGAAGCAAGCAGCTTGCAGACCTCGTCCACACCATCTCGCAGAAATGGCGAACAACCGTTGGCTGATGAAAAGCCACTCTCTTGAAGTTAAGCGCCGAAGCCTGTCGCCTTGCATGGAGGGGCCCACGGGAGCGGACCAGACTGGCCAGTCAAGGCGGACACGACCTGCAGTAGGCCCTGTTGCAGAAGTGTTCTGACTGGTAGGCCGGGCGAGAGAATCACTCGAGAGGGGAGGGGATATGCCCCAGTCGAGATGGCGTTGCAGCCTTGTGGCGTGGCTACCAGGACGGAAAGGTAGCGGTGCGTTTTGAATGACTGGTACTGGTAGCCATGGAACTACCGAGGTATGCAGGATGCGCTGATTCTTGATGGTCGAGCCTGAAATGAAGTTGGGTCGGCAAGTCGCGCATTAATCTGTGAAGGAGTGTGAGAAGAAAAGGTGATTGAGCTTGGTGCTCTCTCTGGTCGGCCTACCTGCCTGTCAGTGATGGTTGAGGGCGGGCCTGTCAAGAAAGAGCAAGCCCTCGGCGGCTACCCAGTGGCTGTCTGCAGGGGACCGAGACATGGCTTTGCACGTCGGTAGTCAGATGGCCACATAGAAGTGGCCAGGGTTCGTTATGATGATAAATACCAAGACTCAAGCATAAGCAGGGATATGAGAAGAGAGAAGAATCCGATAAAACTGCGAGCAGTACAACCCGTTCATTGCGTATTGCGTTGAGCTCTAGTGACACCAACGCCGCTGTAACACATCAGCATAACTGGTGGACTCCGAGGAGACGCTGGAGGCTGCAGAGAGCGGACAAGGGTGCTGACGGCTAACTAACTTGGTGAGCTCCCTGCTACTGGGTATCTTCAGCAAGAGACGAGCTAGAGGATGAGCAGAACATTGTGAGCAGAACATTGTGAGGGCCCAGAGCTGTGGGTGGGTGGGCGCTAGCAAAACGAGGCTATCTCTAGTAATCTGTAACAGCCTCTGTGGCGGGGTTCGTCTCAGGCCCAACGTTGAGGACCCGGACGAACAGGTGCTACAGCCGGGGAATCTGGGTGTACGAATTCAGCTGTATAATACAATGACCTAGAACAAGGTAGATTTCTACTTGAGAATACAAAGTCCAATCGATACAGTGATGGACTACATGCATACCGACAGACCTGGCTGAATCGAGGCCGCAGGGGAGGGGGAGACCGCCGTATAAACCAAATTGCTGCATGCTTGTGCAGCAGCGCAAAACAAAACACACAGTTGCATCAATAGCTGGACTTTGCTATTCTGTTGTTCTCTTATATCTCTCAAATTCCAGCCACACATCTGGGTATCCTTCCAGTACCTTGGCCAGCCTGGCGCTACTGGAAGAACAAAAATGATAAAAATATAAACTGACATGGGAGAAAAAGCAATCTAAGAATGGGAGAAAAGGCAACCTGAGAATGGGAGAAAAGAGGCGCATCTGCAGGACCCAGTCGACAGGGGTTTCTATCCCTCCCTTGTCCCACGGCCAACATAGGTAGGCAGGTAGGGGCACAGTACATACATACATACATAGGTGCAGTGTAGAGAGCATGTCGCGCAACTGCACAGACTGGTCGCAACACTACTTGTTAGGTACCTGCCTACCTGACCCTTCTTAACCCCCATGTGAAGCCATCCATCCATTGTCGTCCCCCATATCTGCAAGTCGCTTTGATTCTGGATTCTGTGATTCTACCTCGCTCACACCCTCTCTCGTCCTCGTCGCGCTGTCATGTTATTTCCTCCTCGGTCGGGCAATTGAGCCGCCGTTGCCGTCGCCGCACGCTGCAAACCTGCGGCCTGCCACCTCACACCTTACATCATTCTCACACACACAACACACACACACACACACACACACACACACACACACACACAAGCGGCGCGCTCAGCAGCTCCTCTCTCACCCTCCGCTGCCTGTTTGCCCTTGTCGTCTCTTTTAAGCCGCCGCTCTCCATCCACCACCCATCCATCCCTCACTCATCAACCATCCTGTCAGCCTGGCCACCAGCAATCGCGACCTCTCTCTGCTTTCCACTTCCCCTCCAAAAATCAAGGCCTGGCTCGCCGCCAGTCCAAGGCTCCCATCCCATCTGCAACCGCACTGTTGCACCACATCCGCCGCTGGCCTGTCCTCTCTCCTCTTTGCATGGCCTTGCTTGGCTAAGCTTGCCGCGCCTCCCCCACCAGGCCTCCTCGCACGACCAGGCACTCTGCCATACCTCGGTGCCTTGAATCCGATATTGTCTTCTCTGCGCCGCCTCCAGCCTCCCGCCTCGTTGGTCGCGAGATTATATATATAGGGCAAGCCATTACCTACAATCCCGCCCCCCCATCCAAAGTTGCCCATCTCTTGGCGAATATTTACTGCCCCCCATTCCCCTTCGTTTGCTGACGCCTGCCCGCCTCAACTATTGCTTCGCCATGTCACTTGAAGCTCTCTTGCCACGCCCCATCTCTAACAGTCGGTCCTTCACCATGTCTCATCAAGGCGACTTGTCTGCTAGCACGAGCTCCCCTTTATCACCTCTTCTTTTCAGACCTCGGTAGGTCTCTCCTCGACTCGTGGCCCGGGCGAGTCGCTACTAACACCCGCGCCACAGCTCATCTCCTCCAGCTACTGGCTCCAGCTCTCTCCAGCCAAGCTCCGCCAACCGCATATCCTCAAACCCAAACCTTAACCAGTTACTCAGTCCCAGTGACTTAGTTGGCCCGTCTCCTGTCACTTCAAACGGCACAGAAGCCACCGAAATCGAGGATGATGTCGCCGATGATCTACTGAGTCCTCAAGACGGTGACCCCACACAGCACACTGAGGTACCACCCCCTCATGTTTTGCCATTTCCAAATCCCATACTAACAACCCTCAGCTTTTGCCTCTCAAGACTACTCTTCCCGATAGCATCCGTCAAAAGGGCCCCGAGGAGGCAGACTCCGTCATCCACGCGCCCGAGAGCTTCCGAAGCTGGGTATGCTAGCAGCATCTGCCCTTTCCATGGCAACACCGCCGCTGACATTTACCACAGACCGCCAGCGACTCTACCACTCGCGCAAGTCAAAGTCAAACCAGCGAAAAATCCTCACCGCAAATGGACGACGCCAGCTTGCCCTCCAGTCCGCCCAACGTAGGATAGCACCTTGCCTAGATGTTGTCAGGACGCTGACTCTAACCTTCTCTAGGCCTATCATGATCTCCCTCCAGTCAAGACCGATCTCAAACCAGCGAGGTTCACCCTCGATAATTCCACCCCGCGGGCTCAGGACCTCCAAGATATGTTGGCCGAAAGCAACCGCTTGCGTTCAAGCAGTACAAGCAGCCTAGAAAGTAAGTCTCTGATGGCAAACACTGCGGATCAAGTGACTCATTCCGTAGAAATTGAGGAGCAGACAGAGGCCGAAGATGATGACGATGACGACCTTTATTCCGATGGCGAGGGACTTTTCGGCAGAGCGCAGCTAAGCGGACAGCATAATGAAATCGAGCGACTCAAGCTTTTATTCAACACAGCATGGGCATGCTGTCTCGAGTTCGGCAGCTACAACGCGCGGCGTAAGAAGCGAGATCTAGGCAGCTCTTCAGTTTCCGATACCCATGTGTATGCTTGGCAGACGTGCTGGAAGCTCTGCGAGCGACTGTACAATGACGAAACCAGTGACAAGGACTCCCTCAATGTCCGCGACGGCTTGAATTTGTGCCGAAAGTTCTGCCAAGCGTTATTCGAACTCAGGCCAAGGAAGGATGAGAATTTCGACTCAACGCTTCGTGTCAGCTTTGAGCTTAACAACCAGTAAGCAGGCTTCAGGCTTCGCTTTTGACAGTGCTCCCTGGTCGCAATGCTTACCTGCTCTAGTCTGTATAGTGGTCAGGATAATCGAAACCTTCCAGAAGAATTCAGAGAACGCACCCTTGACTTTTACGTCACCCTCTGCCACCGCCTCATGAAGCAACGAAGCGTTTTGCAAGACGAGTCGGACAGAATCTTGAAAGCTTGCTGGTCCTTGACAGAAGTACTCTTCAGCGTTCGTCAGAACCGACGGGAAGGGAACCCACCGGATGAGAATCTCTTCGTCGCTGCTATTGAGGCTACTTATAATCTCAGCGACTTATTTCGCGAAGGTCTCAGTGCATCCAGATCAGAGAGAAGCACGCCTCGACCCAGCCAAACAAGCTTCTCCTACCACTCTCCACCGCAAACGGGCAGGGAAAGCCGTTCTTCGAACCACTCCTCGCGGTCCAAAAGAGAGGGCAGCAGCAAAGGTTCATACCAAGAGGAGCGACCAAGAAACCCCCCTCATGTACCCGAAACTCCAGTGACCGAGTTCGAAGACACACCAGTCTCGCCGGAAAGCCGATCCCCTCAGATGCCCAACATCATGATCCTTGGTCCCACCAGCGACGGTGGCCGTGGCAGCCGCTGGCCAAGCAGCGCGTCCAACTTGTCCAACTACTCGCACAACAGCAACCGAACCTCGAGCACGACCACAACGACCACCGCCACCGAAGACCTAAATGTGACCCGCGCCAAGATTCTCGTTTTGCGCGCTGCTGTCCAGCTTGGATTCAACAAGGAGGCCATTATAGACATCAAGACAGGTGCCACGGCACTGCAGAAGTTTGTATCCGAGCTGCAGCCCGGTGCATTTGGATCTCTTGCTACGCATGCCACGTTGTTGCAGCAGTACAAGGAATCGATTCTCACCGATGTCTTCGTTCCGCGAAGCAGCTTTGTGCTCTCCTCACGGATGAAGAGAGTGTCAGTGCAAGACTTGGCCAAGTCGGTGCAGGCTATGATAAGCACGTCCCAGGCTCGATATGGCTACCTGCGGGAGCTGTTCAAATTTGTGTGCAGCTTTCCGCTCGAGGAGGCCGATTCTCGAAGGAACCTCATCATCCAAGTTTAACCGAAACCTCCACAATACCTCTCTGATATACCTTGCCATATACCTTGGCACACCTTGACATACCCTGACATGCATTCACATACCTTTGCAGGTCTTCGCCATGCCTTGATACTACCAATCAAAAGAAATTGATATTCAACGCACCGGAATGAGGCGGAGCTTTTTGCCAAAATTTACTGCAGCTTGCCACCACGGGACCCTGCACACCAACTACATATTTGTATTGGCTGATTCGCATCATTCTGACGGTCATTCGCGCGCAGGCAATCTCCCGCGCCTTAAACATGCCGGCCGGGATAGGCTCACCTGCTTTTTCTTGGTGCGACATCGGGCTGGACGTTCAGCCTGTTGGGCGCGCCTTTGCCGCTGCCCCCAGCTTTTTTGCCGTCATGTCTGTTTTTATTGTCTTATGCGCTTTTATTATCCTGTCGTTTTTTGTTGTTATATCTGTTTTGTTCTCCTGTCGCGCTCATACTCACGCACACGTCACTCTTCCATGCATCATTACACCACCACACAACGCAGACATCGCAAAAGATACCCCCACCAATTTCTTTCCCATGAGACATGACATGATTTTTTTTTCTCTTCATCTTTCTTTACTTGCGCCCCTGGACGGTTATGCAAATGGTGTGTTTATTTATGTAGCGTAGCGTAATCTATCACAGATATACGACCAAATACAGAATTTGTGGAGGCAAAAACAAAAGTCATATATTTTGTAGCAGTATTTATATAAAAGATGCTATGCTAGCCATATAAACAAGAGAAGCCGTGTATAATAATAGGCATAGGGTATCTTGGCAACGAAATGTGATGCGCTTCGTAAATCGTTCATATGTAAAGCATCCAAGAGCTGAGAAAAGGACTGCCAGCGCAATAAACATGAAAGAAGAAATGGGGTATCATGTAGAGAAAAAAGAAATCAAAACCCATCTTGCCAAACCCAATAAAAACCATTTGTCCAGCCCAATGTGTAACGCCAAACAAAAGAGGCAACCAGCTCCCCAGCCGCATGTCGCCTCACTGGTGCTTTTTGATAGGTAAAGCACGAAAGCATCAACGCCCGACGCCAATTCGCCAAGATATGTCGCGACCACCAACCCTTTGGAGACCAGAAACCCAGAACAGACGAATCAGAAAACTTACCAAGCCACACGGCCAAGCGCTTTCCCGCCCCCGCCCCCGTCGGGCCTCATTTCGCCCCCCTCCCGTTGAATGTCCAAGGAGGGTGCCAGCTCCCGAGACAGAGCAGATCATATCTTTCAGCCCAATTCACGGAAAGGGGGGAGGCAAGGGGGGAGGGAGGGTTGGAGTTTTTTCAAAGTATAAAAGCCCACGCTTCGGCTCGAGGAGAGAAACTTCACCTTGTCCTTCTTCTGCATGCTCTCCCCGGGGTCGAGAGTAAGAAGAATTTCCCTAGGTGAGTGAAAAGAGCAAATCCGGCAACGCTAAACTTACCAACGACAATGACGAGCAGGATATATCCTACCAGTTTCCCCATGCATTCATTCCCCTTTTGGGAAACAACCCTTGGCAAGAACAACAACAACGCGCGGAGGTCTCGAGAGTTTCTTAGACCTTGGCTGACAAGATGTCCTTTGGTCCAACCCCATCGACGGTGTTGCTCCGACGGCCCTCCACGTTAGACTCCCTCCTCGCTCGGTGGGGGGTCTTCGTTCAGGTCCGTCGGCGACGTCGGAAATGGGCCGTACCATTCACCATCTTGGCCGTGATCTCTTAGAAACTTCTCAAAGCTGAAATCGTCCGGCGCACCGTCCGGCTCCTCGGGCACCTGGGACTCACCCGAGTGCTCGACCGCAGACTCCTCAACCGCGGTGTTGAGGAAGTCGAAGTCGAACTCCGGGCAGTCCGTGAGGAACTCGTCGGTGGCGCCGTTGAGGAACGCCTGCACTGGACTCACGAAATTGCCGCCCCCCTCTGTAGCAGCCACTGTGTTTTCCTGCGGTGGCTCTACCGGTGCGGGTGTTGAGGGGGGTGCTGGCTCCTCGCTGGTCTCCTTGCGCAGCGTTCCTGCTTCTTGCTCGGTTGCTTCCGGTTCCGCGGCCGCGACCTGCTCGACCACGCCTTCTGTTTCGGGACCTCCGTAAAGATCCTCGTCGTCGGCGTGGGCGCCAGCGCTTTGGACGGCCTGGGGCTCTCCCATCACCGCGGGACCCGTCTCCGGCAAGTGCGGTGTCTGATTGTCACCCCAGTTGGGAACCCACGCCTCGGGCTTGGGTTCCGGACCGGGGTTGACTCCGTTCGGCACTTGCTGGGGAAAACTCTCGCGGGGGGGTTGGCCCGGGTTCGGGTTGGCCGTCCAGACTGGTGTGCCGCCGACGACGGGCTCCGGGTAGGTAATAAGCCCCGAATTCTGGAGCATGGGCTGGTCGAGCGGTGCGTGCGGCATGGGAACGGGGTTGTTGGTCTGATGACCGAATGCGGGAAACTGTGAACGTGGAAGGATTAGCAGCTGGTTTGGATTAACATTCGCAGGTGGCACCGATTCCGGAGACATGGTCAGGAAGCGTTTGGGTTGACTTACCTGGTAGGTGGGATGCTGTGGCGGTTGCATCCCGTGAGCTTGGAGCGGCTGCGGCGGCGCTTGCCAGATTTGTGGTTGCAGCCTCTGCTGCAGATCCCACAAGACCCGCTGCTGCCGCTCCAGCTCTATCTGCTCGACTGCCTGGGAGTATACCTGCATTTCTGCATGTGCCTGTTGCCAAGCGTGGTCTCGAGAGATGTCGTCCCTGCGTCGTCCCCGAGCCAGTCTCGAGTTCGTTGGCACTCTAGGCACATGCATCGGTGCGGAAGGTCGTGGTCCCGGCTGGTCGTTTTGTCTAGCGTTGCCGAACGCTTCTCTCGGTTGGATGGCTTGGTGTGTCGTCTGTTTGGGTATGTATGTCTGGGTCGTTGGGTTGGTCGGATGGATCCCTACGAGTGGCAACAGTTTGGTAGCTGGTCCTAACGGGATACCTTCCAGCTCGCTGCCACTGTCAGCCTTCGGGTGAGGCCGGGTTTGTGTGAGAGCAGGGCACCTGTGTTCACAGTGATTAGCCGCCACCAGCGCCACGGAGTTGTTCATAGCCGCCGGAAGGAGAGGGCAGGGCACTAATTGTTTCTCTAGCACTTACCCATACTCAGGATCCTTTCCATACTTGGTCACGACATATCTTAGTTGGTTCATGGCAAGTGGTCGGCCCCATATAGCCTCAAATCTCGGGCCTACGACGTCGATCTGTCGGCTATGGTGCACGAACCACTGCAGCAGGATCCAGTAGATTTGGGCGGCAGTGTATTGCATCGTGCCGGCCATGGTTTTTCTGCTGAACTGGATTCGATAGATTGTCGATTAACTGTGTGTAGACAGAGAGAGTTAGCATTGGTGCTTTGTTCGCGATGGATGCCGTTTGTAATACCACTTGAGGATGCGGTTTGTGTGGCAGGCGAAGAGGAAAGAGGAGGCAAGCGACCAAGGAGGGATTGGATAGGGATAACTAACAAGGTTGAATGCAAATTAAGACTTATTTTGAATCAAACAAGCCGCGGATGTTTTGAATATTATTGCCAAAGGCTGATTTTGATAGGCTGTTGGAGGTGAAAGCAGGTGAGCAGGCAGTGGGCCACCAAGGGAAGCCTGCGCCGCGAAGGACACAAAGAAGTGTAAGAAGTTGTAAAGGAGGACAAGAGTCAAAGAGAAGATATGTATATGATGACAAATTATTATTTTCAATACTTGTTTATTGTGTTTTGAAACAATAATGCATTTGGAAACAGTGCGGAAGGCGTGTAGTGTTTGTGTGTGCAAAGTAGAAACGATGCAAACGACCGCGCGATAGTTGGAAGGGCTGGCCTCTTTATAGTCGTCTCGACCTTTATGCATCCGCGTTACATACTTCTTCTTTCTTTTTCCAATCTTTTGGAATGGCCAGGCTTTTTACCGCCCTTTCCTTCATGTTCTCCTCACCGGAGGGCGTTCTGTTGGGGAATCAGAATCACCCGGAATGCAGTCGACCATATGCAAGTCTCTCCTCGCCATCAGACTGATTCACAGTCTGGCTTCAACACCTTGGCCTCCTCGTGTTATTCTCTTCAGAAAAAAAGAAAGCCTCTCGTGTTCATATCGACAAAAAGTGAGGCGTATATGGCGTGGTTCTCCGTATCTCTGCCTCGTCATCCGCCAGATGCAAGAAAGAAACCATCTCCGCACCGGTGTAGTCTTGTTACGAAGCACCGCTTACGCCGTCCTTCCCAGATGATAACACGAAATCTCTGCCACGGGGTACGATCCGCGCAGCACAAGGGCGAACTTGCTCTTGCCCCGTGTCGCTATCGCTCTTGTCACTGACTGACAGACCGCCCAAGCCAGAAGGAACACCGCCGGACCAGCACACTTGTGTTATCTTGGACCATAGTTGCAGCGCCTCGCCTCTGTCTCCCTCTCCTCTTCCCGGTTGTGTCTCCGTTGTCGCCCTTCCCATGCTGCTCTGCCGCTGGTTAGCAGTTCGTGTTGCGGCGGCCGGACAACAAAGCCGTATTAGAGTATCACGGCAGCAGAGGGGGCTTCCTTTGCTTGTAATACGCATTACCACTTTGTACGCCATGCTTAATTGCTCTTCTCTTGTCCATAGTGCCATCTGTTTGCCATTTCACGCCTCATCGATCGTCGCAGCCCCTGTCGTCCCCCCCGAACGGTTCCCAGCGGGTATGCTTCAGTCCTTGCTGAAAGGAAATCGTAAGCTGTCGCGGTTGTGCAAGTTGCACGACGCGAAACTATCTGTTGTTTTACTGGCAATGTAATATGGGGGCCGTGTGCTGAATAACGGTAAAGGTATGGGTCAGTGGCCGCTCGCACGGCGGGCAGAATGAGGCGAGGAGGCAGCGTTTGCCATTGATGAAGTGATACTGAGCCAATATTGATACTCTACGGAATGACTTTGAATTAAGAGCCTTGAGGATTGCTGCTGTGAGTCCTGAGTCTTGGGAAGAGGGTGGGTAGCAAGCAATCTTCATTGGCAGGCAGCCGACAGCATGCCACGGGGAGGGGAAGAGGGTTACGTCTACCAGGCGGTGTACCTCAGCCATGTTTACCCTTAGCTGGACATTATGCAACCTTTTCAATGGCCAGACGAAGCTCCTCGTTTTCAATTTTGATTCTGTTGGGAATTCGAAGCGTACAACGGATGCGGCGCAAGCGTTGCGTGGCCATGAGGGCAGCTGGTACAAGCATTATCGGTGAATCAGAGCTTGAAACCGGTCAACGAGCGTCCCCTTCGCTTTCTGACCCTTCTCCAGCCACTCTATGCCCTCTATTACCCTGAATCTTTTGTCTGTAGGCTGTAGTCCATCGTCCAGACTCGCTATCGTGAACGGCTTGTGGTGGAAGTCTTGTAGCAGCTGGCAAAATCTTTGGCCAAAGCTTTCCCATTCGTCAGTGGAGACCCTCCTCGCGAGAAAATTCCTAGCCAGCATCGCACATTCCCGCTATTTGCTTTTTCTTCATCGTCTTCATCGTCCGCCCCCGCCCAGTCATCATTGCCCACAAACTCGTCCTCCTCCTCGCAGACTAGCGGTGGCTTCAAGTCGAGCATCATCTGCTTGAATTTATCTATCAGGTGGAGTGTAACGTTGTCTCGCATCGGAGACATAATCAAAGCTCGGGCTTCGGGTCCAAGCGCCAAGTTGCGAGAGATGGCCGACGCCAGCAGCTCAGGGTGATCGTCATTGTAGAGAGCGTCGGCGGCCAACACAATCTAGAACACACAAATAAGTCTCTCGCTGGGGATGTTTTTTCGTTCTTGTACCGGCTCCATCAAATAAACACCAAAAACTTACCGGAAACTGAAAAGGTTGGCCAAAGAGCTCCTGGTCCGACCGCGCCGCGTCCTCCTCGCCTCCCCACGTCAAGCAGCCAACACGCACGAGCCCGCCTCGCGCCGCCACCACGCGCTCGTTGGCCGCTACATTATGTCTCAAGTTGTGGACGACGTCCGGGAGGTCGCTCAGCGTGACGGGCGCGGCCCAGAGCGCCGCCGCCGCGAGCCCCAGCAAGCCCGTGCCGGCCCCGAGCTCGAGCACCGCCGGCGGCGACTGCCCGAGCGACTCGTCGAACAGGGGAAACAGCGCCGACGAGGCGGACAGCCGCGGCAGCTCCCGCGCCAGCACGTACGCGCTGGCCCACGTCTTGAAGCCGAGGCCGGCGGCGCCCGCCACCGCCGGCTCTCGAATCACCAGCTCGAAGGACTCGCCTGCCGCCGCATCAGGCGGCGCAAAAAGCCACCGCCGCACGAGGTCCCCGACGGCCATGCGGCCGCAGCGTTCGGAGACGCACCGGGCGGCGGCTGCCCAGACGGCTTCGCGCTGCGCGTCGTCGGTGAGCCAGGTGAGCGGGCTGCGCACGACCGAGGCCAGGTACCGCGACTCGGCGCTCCGCATGGCGGCCGTCTGGCCCTGGAGGCGGCGAGCCCAGATGGCCGGGCCCAGCTCCAGACCGGCCAGCGCGGCGACGAGCGCCTCGAAGCTGGGCCGCTGCCACATCTGCGGCAGGTCTTCCACGGCCACAGCCATACGAGCGAGGCAGGGGTTGCCAGAAGGGAGGACCAAGGTGAGGAAGGTTTCTTTGTCTCCCTTTGAAACGTGCGAGGTGGAGGGACACGGCCGGGCAGGGACACGGCGGCTACTTATGTGTTGGTTCTCTGTAGGCTGTTTGTTCTCGCTCCGTCGAGTTCTTCTTCTTCTTTGTTCTTGGCGCGGAAAGGACAGACAGTAAGTCTCGCAAAGGGGAAAGCCGTCCGAGTTGCAAAGATCCCGTGTAAGTCGACCAACCAAAAGCCCAACTTTGAGCAAGTAAGCCACACAAGAGACCCAGCAACCGGGGCAACACGAGGAGGGAGGCAAGAATTTACAGGGAAAAAAAGTGCCAGAATATCCCTCCATTCAGCGGATGGCATTTTTTTTTCTCACGATTATTTTTCGCCTTGGATGGGGGCGCCCCAGTGCGGGAAGGACGGGGACCCGTGGTCGAGATCCCGTCAACGTGGGGCTCTCTTGGACCCTAGAATGGCTCGTCCAGGCGGGAGACAAAAAAAGCCCTCATCTCGTCTCCTGTTAATCTATGGGATGACGGGGGACATCCAGACAGACCGCCCCAATGGGTTCGGAGCGGGTTGCGGGAGGCATCGTCACCTCAAGTTTATTCCCTCGGCATGGAACGCGAGACGAGAGGAACTTTGGTATATGATGTTGCCGGTGCGCAGGCGCGCGGCAAAAAATATGTAGATGAAGTGCAATCTAAATAATAAATACAGTAAGCCTCCGTCAGTTCATCGTCCACGCGGCTCGGCGCTCCCACGTTGGCAGTGTTGCATGCGTGCCAAAGACAATCGGATTACCTGTGTACGAGTCATATCTCGCGCAAGGTGATGGGACATGTGCAAGCTACAAAATCATTATTCCAAGTTGCTCCATTTAAACTTCTTGTTATATATCATCGTGGTATCTGTTAAAAAAAATAAACTAGAAAATCATCAAAGAGCCTCCAAAAACCTTTGGCTATAATTGCTGCCGTGAGGATGCAGTATTCTGCTCCCAAAAAAATAACTCCGTTGATATGCTACAAATTTTTTTTCCAAAATCCAACAAGGAAAAAATATCATCAAGATCCATTCTCAAAACGCTGTGCGCCGTCAGAAGGGATCGACATCCCTCGATGCACCCCAAATAAGGTTAAACCAACAAAAAAAAGCAAAAACAGAAAAGCGCCAATACACCTGATGCGCAGAAAATCGCATCAGCGATTTCTGTAAAAGTCTCTCTTCATTTCCAGCAGCCTGACTCGCATGGTGATCAGGTTATCGACCTTGTCCTGCGGCGGGCGGGCCATCTCCTCAATCTGGTAGTGCAAAGCTTCGTACTTGGCGTAGTACTCCTTGAACTTTGTCGCTCTGTCCAACACTTCTGGCGTCACCTTCACCGTTGCCGGGCGCTTCGCGGCTCTCGCCCTATCATCCAACTCCGCCTTGCGCTTCCTAGCCGGCGGAGGGTGGTCCGACTCGATATCAGAGGCGTTGGTGGGCGGTGAAGTGGCTAGCGGCGATGACTTGATTGGTGACGTATTCTTCGGCCGAGTCGCGGTGGTCTTTGCAGCAGGACGACCGGGGTTCTGCATGGCCGGCACACGTTCCTTGAGCCTCGAGCCAGTCTGTGGCGGAGGCTTTTGCTTCAGCCTCTTTGACAGCGGAGTTCCCGAACTGGAACTCGACTCGTCGTCATCGTAGTGAGGTCGCTTTGCAGGAGCAGGCTTGGCGATAGGCTTGGCAGCAGGCTTCGGTGCAGGACGTGCCAGAGGTTCCTTGGTGACAGCAGGCACTGGCTTCGGCTTCGGTTTCGACTGCGCGAGTGGCGCTTCATCCCCAGATGAGTCCGAGTTTTCGATAATGGCTTGCGACAAGACACGTGCACCATTGGTCTTGACGCCGGCAACCTTGGACTTGGTTGATAAAGTTTTGGGTACGACGGCCTTCGACTTGGTGGCTGGAACAGCCCGCTTTGCCTCCGGCTCTTTGACTGGCTTTTTTGGCTTCGCAGCACTGCCGGTGGAATTCGTACGTGACATTGTCTCACCGCCAACCCTGCTTCGGTCACTGGAGACGTCCCCATCATCCTTGGAAGTGGTAGAACTGTCGTCGGCTTTCTGCACCTTGATTTTGGGAGTAGGTTGGGCTGGTCCCTTTGCCAAGGATGCTTGGAGTCGGCTCAGGCATTTGCCCTTGCCACGCTCCTCCTTCTTGAGCAGTTTCTGCCATTCGGGTTCCGAGGCAGACAGCCGCTGCTTGTCATATTGCCGGATAGCGCTATCGATGGCGGTTTGTCGTTCTTCCTGACTGTCGTAGGCGTATTTCCAGACGTCGAGTTCCTTCCAGTAGGGTTTCTTCATACTCCAACACTTGGTGTCGGAGTTGTACTCGGCCATCTTTTCCAACGTATTCTTAAAGTCCTCTGGCCGACCAACCCATTTTTGCTGGAGGTGATCTATTGACTTTTCGCCAGTTGCCAGTTCATGAACTAAGGGTACCCTCTGTTCCTTGGCTTTCTCCACGGCCTGTTTCGCTGCTGAAGGTGCTGGAGGGGTCGCCGGAGACTGGTTGTGGCTTGGTGACGTCGCTATCGATCGAGGAACGGCATTATAACCTGAGAGAAGCTTACTCCTAGCCTTTATGGATTTACCAGCCTTGGGGGCTCGCTCGATCATTTGCGTCCTAGTAGTAAGTCAGTTAGCTGAGCGAATGCACTTGGCACGTGAACACGACATACCTTTCCTTGGCCGCTTCGCGAGCCGCTATCCCATTTTGAAGCGCCTCCATGTCAGAATCCAGCCCAGAGTCTGCGCCCTTGTTCGAAGACGTCGTTTTTTGCTTCGTCTTAGGCTGGGGGGGTTTGGTGAATAGGTTGGTCGTGTTGGGAAGTCTCGTGGCCACACGAGTAGAGTCGTAGGGGCGTGTTAAATAGAGTTCGTACGGCGACGAGTTATCGGGGCGTGGTATGCGATGAGATTTGTTGCCATATTGGAGGGTCTAGATACCGAGCGTTAGCATTACAAGGGCTACTCCCAAAGTCGGGTCAAGGACCAGGCTGGACTGCCCAGTGGTCGAGGCTTCGAAGGTGCAAGGTACATTGGAGTAGGCGGAAGGACAGTGCATGAAGCAGTAGCAATATACTTACAGGAGTCTTTCCAAGAGCAAGATTAATAGAGCTTCCGTTACGATTGGCTTGGAGGAGACCGTCAATGACGCTGCGGCTGAGGGAGAGGCTGAAAGCTTGGAGCGGAGGAGGAGCGTCCTGGCTGGAGGGGCGCTGCAAGAGCAGGCCGGCCTCGGGAACCTTGAGGCAGTCCATTGTGAGGGATCTTGTGGTGTTTTGATAGTCGTGGAGTGTCGGGAATGAGGAAGCGGAAGCTGTTTACTTGGAGCAGGGCGTGGTCTGTGGTGACGATAGGTTCAGGTTCGTTCGGGTTGGAGCAAGTAGAGCAGCGAGAGAGCGAGAGGAAACGTTGAGGGCGAGAGGAGCGAAAGGAAGCAAGTAGATAAAATATCAACGGGTCGGTCGAAATTTTATAGAGTTCGCATAGTGTCTCGTTCAGGGCCGGCCGAAGTTAAGTCGAGGTGGTAGAGCAGAAAACGAGGGACGGTTTGGCGACGGACAGCCGGCGATGGCTTTCAAGCGGTGCGGACCCCACGGGGCCAGCAATGGGAGGGAAGCGAATCACAAGCCAAGCGGTGCGACGTAACGAAGCCAATGTTGCTGTTGTACAGGATACGAGAGGCGTAGGGCAACCTGGCGGGAGGAGAGGGGGGTCGAGAGGGTGGTGAGCGGAATAGGTGAGAGAGTGAGATACAAGCTTGGAGGTTCGAGATGGAGGACGAGGCGAAGAGGCAAGGCAGGCACAGGCAAAGCGGTCCAGTGGGCACGTACTGGGTCTGGGTCAATGGTCTGGTCTGGTTAGTACTGGCGACACTGGCACTGGCACTGGCACTGGCACTGGCACTGGCACTGGCACTGACACTGACCGCAGGAAGGGCGGCGAGACTGGGCCTGCCTGCAACCACTGGGCTGGGCTGGGCTGGCTGGGCTGGGCGGAGCTAAAGGTAGGAGGTACGCGGGTAGCAGGTGGGGATGGAGCCGCAGGTAAGGGGGTACTTCAGGTGAGGTACGCTTATTGGCGAGGGAGCAAGTACATCTCGACAAGCTGGGCCTTGGGGACTAGCTCAACAGGTATCCGTACCCAGGTATCAGTAGCGTGGGCGCCGTGGTAAATAGTGTGGAGCAAAGCGTGGAGCGGCGAGTGTGGCAGCCGGGCTGGGCCTTGGGCGGCGTCTGAATGTTGAAACACAAAACTATAACTTCTTTGAAGGAAAGGTAGGTAAGCGCGCACTACAAAGAATAGGGTTCGGATAAAGTAAAAAGCACAAACACTATTCTTTTCCCCGTTTCTTCTAGTGAAAGTCCAGCACTTCATTGTACATTTACCAAGCTGACATTTCTCTCGTCACGCCCTTGGGTGGGAGGCGCAAGCAGGTGGAGATGACCTGGGATTGAGGCTGGTGCTTGTTACCCAGGTTGCCAGGCAAATCGAGGTAAATACAAAGTACCATCCGTGGTCGTGCCCTTACTTTGTAATATGCTACGAAATGGTCTGTCATGGTCGAATGCGGTTGCAAAATGGTTCGGATGGCCCATTCTCAACGGCCCATAGGCATGGGTGTGGCGGTCCATGAGAGGCTTGCCGGACCTGCTTGCCTTGCTTGCCTGGGCTCATCAGCAGATGATGCCTGGATGGTGCCACCACACGGCGCCCACGCCTTGACACCCCAGCCAGCAAGCAGAATGGATGTACATAGATTCGCAAGTAACTACTTCATCGGCATTCGATAAGGTGCAGGACTTACCATATAACTACGTTGGTTAGGTACTGCCTGCTTGCGTTGGATGCTACTAAAGTAGGTACAGAGTCAATCCGATGCTACCTACACTCTGTACCTACTAGGTAGGTAGGTACGGATACTTTAACCATAAATACGAAGCTCAAGCCGGGCATTTGTCACGACTACCTCTTTTTACAGCCCACTCGGTGGGAGCGGAGATGCATGCATGTGCCGGCGTCTGTACAAATCAATACCTTACCTACAGCGCATCATTGGCACATCTGCGCAACATGCCCAATGACGCACCAAGAATCTTGTGTACCTGCAATACATACAAACAAACTTGCTGATACATGTCCCTGTCTTAGTAGGCATCCCAGGCGAGCCTATCTGAGTACCTGCAAATGCCTACGATGGGGCATAGGCAGTGTTAGCTTACGTTTCGTACGGCGAGTCGTCCCAACCTATTTCACCGTTTATCGGCATTGCCATGAAGCTGCGGTTAACAGTGACACAGCAGGATGGCTCAAGGTTTGGGATGGTGGGAAATAGCTTATCAACGGCGAGTCGTGTGGCTGCACACTACGACCCAAGGTAGCAAGGTACAGCGCCAACTACGAACAATAGGGAACAGATAGCTAAAAGTAGCAGTCTACATTTCACAACCAAAAAGTATTCTCATCTCATCTCTACAAATAGTTGCCAGTCAATGACAGCCAACGGGTCCATCGGGCGTAAATTGCGAGGGGCACGTCCCAGGCAAGGTTGTTCTGCGGCGAGCTTCCTCGGTACCTGGCTTTACTACAGTACTTCCTCTGGTAGTCAGGTACCATGGTTGACGCGGCATGAATGATGAGCCCTTGTTCAGACGCCACTGACCCTGACAATTGTCTCGCCTACCACGAGCCCTACCAGAATGCACAGCAGCTCAAGAAGGATTTTATCGGAGTGACATTTTGAAAAACTGCAAGGGAGAGAAAAGGTCTTCGTCGACCGCCAACCAAGTACTTTTAACTACCTAGGTAGGTACTCATGCAGAGATCTGGGGACTTTGTGCACACAGCCAAGGGCAGACCCCATCAGACATATGTGCAAATCTACCTGCGAAGTGCAGAGTACGAATACTGGCACAACACCAATATGTGAACCTACTAACTCTGGTTACCTAGTTAATCCAGGCCCTTTCGCAACCACAAAGTAGGAGAGAGACATTTCTCCCTCCCAATAACAGTAGAACAAGACAAGCCATTTGCGCATCCGTAGGCACTCTTCAACTTTTCAGCTATCAGCATGCTTCCCTCTGCTGAGAAGCGACAGGACTAAGATGACAAATGCTCCCCCATCAGGCCACCTGCCACCCGCCAGCTGCCAACTGCGAGTTGCCAACTGCAAACGCAACAACTTTAGTAGACATCTCCCAGTATCCATCTCACGACTCCTTCCAACTACTGATCCCTTGCCCCATCAAGTTACCTATTTACTCGCCATTCCATCGCCAGATTCGCCAACCGATCTGATGTGAAACACGTCCATCTGGTCCAGTCATTCAAGAAGGATGCCAGCTGCCCCACAGCGCTCCCTCCCAGCTTCACGGTGAAATAAATAAGGTAAGGATACGGTATTTATACAGGTAATGTTACCTGTATTAATGCTAGAACAGTGAGAACTCGCCAGCACGCGCCCAACCCTTGATTTTCAATTAGCAGCCCTGCCATACCCGTCGCCGCGTCTCGCCCCGTAACACCTGCGAGGCATGTGCCTGTGCACAAAGTAGCCCGTCATACTGCAATGTTGTCGCAGAGGCTGGCCAAGTCATCGTGGTGCCGGCGTCTGAGACAGGTTCCCATCGTCGACGGCTGAAAAATGCCTAATCACCAAGTCATTCGCCAAATCCTGTTGCTGCGCAATGCTCGACAACTCTATCATATCCGCCATCCCGACACGACGGCCCCGTGCACTCCCGTCGCCAAAACGCAGGTGCCGTCATCACCCGCCGCCCGTCAATCCGTTGCTGCGTTATTTCTTACGACAGGATAGCTCTTTTTCGTTTCCACCTATCCCGTGTCACCAGGCTGCTGTTCCCAGCAAATCCAAGGGCCATCCACCAAGGCATGTCCGAGGATGGGGTGGGCCAAATCGCGACTGGTGGGTATCGATTGGTCGCGCAATTCGTTGTTAACTGGGTTTCCATCAGGCGCCGGCTTGGCCGTCCCTCGATGCAGCAGAGCCTAGCACCCTCAGAATGAGACCATGCAAGGCAAGGCCTCAGGTGCGTGCTACCAACGAATAACAAGAGACCATGGCGCGATTGCGGCTTCTCTACCAGTGCGCTATCATCAGTTTCCCACTTTCTATCAGAGCCCTGAAACTGTGTAGATTCAAGCATCAGAGTTGCCCAGCTTCAGCACTGACCCTATCACAGGTGCGCGCCGTTTCAGGATCGAGCCTTGCTCGAGTCGATAGAGGAACTACGGAAACTATCCAACCATCCCATCACTGTAGTCGGCTGACCTACAGTTGCGGATCCCAGGAAGTGTCCGGCCTGTGCCAGCATCCTGCGGTACTCGCCAGTCGCCCGCCGTTGCAAAATACCCAGCTGCTAATATTTACACCTCCTTTCGCCGACCACGGCTGATTGCATGCAACTTACGAATTTGTATCAGCAAGCACAAAAGCTAGTCGTTTCAATTTTGTTGCTCTCACCAAAAGCGGGTGCATCTGATCCAGTATGGTAAAACAATGCACATATCCGTTCTGTCCCTTATAATACCCACCGTCCCCAGCGCCTCCCGTATCAAGGAATTTTACAACGCCAAAATAATGTGCCGAAGGATAATTAGGGAAAGCAGAAATGTCACCATTGACGACTGATGCCTCGATGATTTCCAGATGAGCCCCCACGCAATGCGATGTTTGCTGATGATGCGTTCGCTTGTGCCATGCACAAGCGACAAGCCAGCACCACCACCGTCAACCGCTACGAAGTTACGCCCATGGTCAATAACAGATTCAAGCCCATTATGGCTACAATCTGATTAGTTCAGAGGCGCAGCATACGACAGTCAGCTTGCCTCATAATCTGGTCAGCTCCAGCCGTCACATATTATGGTGCATATTCACCTCTCGTCGCCAAGTTGCTTGTAGCGTCTCCACAACCCATAACGATCCGACGACTCGTAAATTACAGAGGGACTCAGTCCAGTTGCTCGACGGTTATGCCCGCATTGACCACACGTCTCATTCGACTCGCATTGCAGGCTCAACTCGCCGCGCCGGCTCGCCTGGTCCCGACTGGAAGAGAAGACGAATTAATTCAGGGACAACATTGGGTGACGAGGTGTGCGTGCCTGGGAACACCATCTTGAACACTGGAGTCGTGCCCACCGCGAATGATGTCCACAGGATGGACTTTATTAAACACACGCCCCTATCTCGCCAAGAAACAAGGCTTCGCTGAGCAGTGTAACTTATTTACCGGGTAAGCAACAGTGAGCTTCTGCATTGTAGGATTTTAGCTTCGAGGCCAGTTTACTACAAATGGCGTAACTCACTGAGGGTGGTCAGACTGAGGTTTGAGCAGACTGTTGGTGATCTTAGGTATGCGATTCAAAATCGCGTTAATGCCCGTACTTTATGTGCTCAGGCCAGACCACACGCCGATAGGACGCTACAAAAATGAAAGAGAATGAGAAGCACTTGAAGATCGGCTACCATAGCAAAACCGGCCGATGCTTGCATGCAGTTGCTTGCTTGCCTGCCTTTTCTACCCATGTTGAGGAAGACACGCTATGGTAGCCTCGTTCCTACGGACGAGCCGAAACCTTCTAGCTAAATCAGCCTGCCGCTTCGGCCATGTCGTCGTCTCGTCTACAACATTATCCGACACCGATTTCGCTTCTAGCTTGTATCAAGCACTCTCGCTGCGCTGCTTACCATGCTTATCGGCCTTCCTTCTTCCCATCCTCAAAACTCCATCGCCATGACGGAAGGAAAAGCCGCCTTCATGGTATCGGGCCTAGCCACGCCATGCGAGACATGGTACCGAGTGGTCGGGGACCTCGCATCCGGGAAGACGCCGCTCGTCATCTTGCACGGCGGTCCCGGCGCCTGCCACGAGTACCTGCTGCCGCTGACGGACCTTGCGGTCAAAGGCATGCCGCTCATCTTCTACGACCAGATTGGCAACGGCCAGTCGACGCACCTGCGCGCCAAAAATGGCGACGAGCAATTTTGGTCCATCGACTTGTTCAAGGCCGAGCTGGACAACCTCCTGCAGCATCTAGGATTGGCGGAGCGGCCCGTGGACATCTACGGGCACTCGTGGGGCGGCATGCTGGCGGCCGAGTGGGCGGCGAGCAACGGCGCCCACCTCCTCCGACGCCTCGTTATCGCAAGCAGTTTGGCCAGCATGGACGCGTGGCGGGTGGGAATCACGGCGCTGCGCGATCAGATGCCGGCGGCGGAACGAGCGGTGCTAGACAAGGCCGACGAGACGGGCAAGTACGAGGGCGCCGAGTATGACGCCGCCATCGAGGTCTTTTACAAGCGTCACTTGTCCCTTGCCAGACCATGGCCGGCTCCCGAAGTCCAGGCCGCCTTGGATTGGTTCGCGGCAGATCCGACGACATATGGCACCATGTGAGAGGGTACTCATTCATGGCGTGGCCAACCTTGCACTGACTTGTACATGTCTAGGTATGGGCCGGGCGAGCTCGCCATTACCGGCTCGTTGCGGGATTGGACCGTAGTGCCGCGGTTGGACAAAATTACGGCGCCAACGCTGCTCATCAACGGCTCGGAGGACGAGGCGCAGGATGTGGCGATGCAGCCGTTTTTCGACCAGCTTGGTGGCCGTGTCAAGTGGGTGACGCTGGACAGGGCAGCGCACTTTTCGCACGTAGATCAAAGAGAGAAGCACATGCAGCATGTCGGTGCTTTCCTAGCAGCGGCATAGTGGGGGACTCGGGGACTCGGGGGACTCGGGTGACTCGGGCGGGAATGGCACGGGTTGGAGATGGAGAACCCTGATGTTGACGAGCGCGCCATTTTCGACTACCAATAGTTCAATATTCCCTGGCCTCCACAGTCCGACTCGTGGTCTGGCAGGTGCTGATGGCAGAGCCCACCACCTCGAAAGGTGCATGCCGCACGACTCGGCCGGGGGCCCTCTGGAGCATGAAAAAGCCATTTTACTTTACTGTCGCTTTCGGCGCTTGGATCAAGCAACGTCTATATGTCACGGTTCGAGTATATTGATCACTATCAAGGTCTCTTGTTTAGCGGGTAACAGCGTGCCGCTACCCTACTAACGATGTTGCTTGTTCGTCCGACAAGTACGGCGGGTTTCCGAGGCGAGTAATAAGAAGGCGAAACAAGACAGTTTGGGCAGACAGTCACCAACGATGGTAGGGGCAGCCGCGACAGCGTCTTATTAGAACCAACCATCAGTACAGCTGGCCGGTGCCCATCCTGGAGGCGTCAAGTGTGCGTCGCCTAGTAGTTACTACGTTGAGGTTTTGAGAGACATCTAGCCCACCAACTTCTCGTTTTCGCACCCTGCAGGGTCAAAGTTAAGGGTCACCAAGCATCACTTTGGTTAACTGGCTAGCGCCCCATGGGCACCATTGGGGCACCGCCATTCGTGTTATGCCTCGACTTCGTGCAAAGGATGATCGGGAAGTTGTTGGGGTCCGTCTTACTCAATATCCACAGCGAAGCCTGATTGATGCGAGGCCTTGTTGGCAGCGTTTTTTTACATGGCGCTAACAATGTTGTTTGAGTGCCGCATCAAGGTTTGCAAGTTGGATGGGCTGTCGAAATGTGTCTAGCGTATCGCTCATAGGCCGCCCTGCGACACCATCACACCTACTACTACGGATACACAGACACAGACTACATATACTGACTGTACGTACGACGCTGGCTGGTGGTGGTCTCGCGAGGCAGGTCCATCCTTTTGCACGAATGTGGCATGTGGGCGCGGATGCTGGCGGAGGTATGCCGAGCGACCCAAGCCTCGCTTGCCGGGGGCTCATCAACGTATGCGAGAAATTGATGCAGTACATTGGGCCGACAGGCAGGCACAAGGAGAAGAAGAAGAAGAAGAAAGTAGGCACTGCTGACTTTGATCCGGGACAAGGAAGCTGCTCGCCAACGACATGCATACACAGGACGACCAGCGAAGATCCGGAACCGAGTTGAAGTGACTAACTAATTGCTAGCCATGCAACTGCACTTGGCTATATCGAGTAGCTCGAACTGGACTGGAGGGGATGCCCAACTAACTAACTTGGCGTTCGGTTGGCCGCCATGTTAACCTCCTCATCATGAACGGCATCTCCACCAACCACACTTGCCAGCCCGGGCCCTTGTCGCCCTGTATCTGCTCATCCCTCCACCTCCCAACCACATCGTCGACGGGCTCCTCCTGTACTGACAGTCGTACTGTTGAGAAGACAGCAAGGAGGTCATCACCCCAGACTCACCTCCACAGACAATGTTTCAGCGCCAGACTCGGGCGGCACCAAAAAGAAGTCCCCCGCGAGTCTGTGCAAGCGTCGGTTGGGATCCCGCCGCCCCCCTGCAGATTACGACCTCTCTCGTCCTCTGTTGTCGTCCCCGCGCTGCGCTGCGGCGGATGGAACCAAAGTTCCGCCCTGATACGTACAATATGCCCATGTATCCGCAGGACCGCAGCCAGCCATGGTCCCCAACGAAAATTGCTACCGTAGCTAGCTTCCCGAGTCAAGACCCCCCGGCTCGCGGGAAGAAGCGTCCACTTGCTCGTTGCTTCTTTCTGCATGGCAAAGTGGGCTCGAACCTGGGGGCGCCACATTGTACCGAAGAGTGAAGAGCGAGTGAGTGCCGGCGCCGCGCCAAGCTCTTGTGGGAAGCTGCTTGGATAATTGGCTTGACCAAAACTTGCCCGAAAAAGTGATGCCACACAAGATGCATTTCGTCAGAAATGGCGGGGTTTGACTTGAAGCGGGCGTTTGTGGCTTGAAGACATGTTGCAGGGAACTTGTTCTCCAAAGAAGCGCCCGCTGACATGGAGCTGAAAAATGACAGAACAGAACAGCCAGGTCCATTCCCATCTCCCGTTTCTGTTCCTTGGCTGATGTGACTTGAACTTGGACGACGACGACGACGACGACGACGACGACGATGATGCACCTTCTGTCTGCTGCGACTCAATTCCCCCCCCGCGCCGCAGGGATTTTCCGTGTGATTCATACCCCTCCCCCTCCTCCCCTTCCAAAGGCATAAAAAGGACTGCGGCAACCTCGGGATTGGTCCAATAGTTGAGTAGCGCGTGGCCACCCACGAGGCTACACCCGAGGCCGACGGGCAACTCTTGCCGGCCCGGTTTCAGGGTTGTTGTGTGTGTCTGCCAGCGTGTGGGTTGTCTGTGCCCATCTATTTCAAGATGCACCAGCGTTTCGATTCGGGAGAAGCAGGCCAGCCAGCCTTCGTTGCAGGACGTCCTTGTCACTGCATGGAGGACCGAGATCATCCATCAATCATCCCATGACTACATGAAGAGAAGAGCTACGTCTCATGTTACGAATATGTAGAAGCTCAACCATGACGGCTGTAAACCTGACTAGTCTCAAGCTGACATTTCGGGTGATTCCTATCAAACATACATGAACGACCTCAAAGCAAGGTCATCATGCAAAGGCGTTCACACACAAGATTCCACTGAGCATCCAGCGCTTCTATTGATGCTGATTCCATGCATTGATTAGCATGTCGAGATTTTGTCCAGACATGGAAAACCCTCAGGAACAGCATAAGCCTCAGGCCCGCCGAGCAATTGTCTGAAACGATGCACACCCGCCTGCATTTCGCTTGTTGGGGGAGCCTACATTGGCATCCATGCTCTATGCAAGGGCGATTCTAGAATATTTTTAGCATTTATGCGGAGGACGAAGCAAGAAAGAGTCTTGCAGGGGAAGCTGCCTTTCGATCGTGTTGTCGACCCGACTTGCATCCAAGTCTTTTAGATCATCTCCGTGGCAGCACCTTCTCCCCGATTAGTCCTTCCACGTCACCGTCTTGGTGACCAGGAACTCGTCCAGCCCCATGTCGGCGTTGAACCGGCCCCAGCCGCTGTCCTTGACGCCTCCGTGCGGCAGCGCCGGCTCGTCGTGCACCGTCATGCTGTTGATGTGCACCGCGCTGTCCGTCCATGTCAGTTGAATGAAGGCTCGTTGTCGTCTCCTCCCCCTTGTGCAAGAACTCACCCGGACTCGATCCTGCGCGCCAACGCCAGCCCCCTCCGCAGGTCCTCCGTGAAGACGGCAGCTGACAGGCCGTACCCGCCGCGGTTCGCCAGCGCCACAGCCCGGTCGTCGTCGTCGACCACGGTGCACGCGGCCAGCGGCGCGAACGCCTCCTCGTTCCACATCGCCATTGTCTCGTCCGCCCCGGTGAGGATGGTCGGCGTCACGCGCACCCCGGGCTCGTCCCCGGTGTCGGCGGCCCGGGAGGAGCCGACCAGCACGCGGGCGCCCGCCGAGACGGCACTGGAGAGGAGCGCCTGTACGCGCGCCCGGGACGCGGCGGAGACGAGCGTCGGGCGTTCCGAGGCGGCCTGTTTGTCGGCGGCCGTCCGGAGAGCCTCGAAGAAGGGCTCCGCGACGGCGGCGTGCACGATTATCCTATCCGTCGACATGCAAATCTGCCCCGACTGTTGTGCGCCCCCTCTCTCGTTAGCAACTTTCCCGCAACATAAAAAAAGAAGTAAATACGCACGTTGAGAAAAGCTCCCGCCACCACGCTCTCCGCCGCCAGCTTCAGGTCCGCATCCTCGCACACCACCGCGCAGTTCTTGCCACCCAGCTCCATCAAGCACGGCTTGAGGTTCTCGCCGCACGCGGCCGCGACCTTGCGTCCGACCGCCGTGCTGCCCGTGAAGTTGACCTTGCGCACCGCCGGGTGCGCAATCATCGCCCCGACCACCTCGGCGGCGTCCCCCGCCGCGCACGACACCACGTTCAGGCAGCCGGGAGGCAGGCCCGCCTCGGCAAAGGCCCGCGCGACCGCCCAGTAGCTGCGCGGCGCGAGCTCAGAGGCCTTGAGCACGGTGGTGCAGCCGGCGGCCAGCGCGCACGCGGCGGAGCGCACGCCGAAGACGTACGGCGCGTTCCTGGTCATCGTTAGCAACCGGAGGTACTTCGTGATTGTGCCGGCCGGACGTACCAAGGGACGATGCCCAGGACAACCCCGACCGGCTCCTTGAGCACCATCGCGCTGCGCCCCTCGTCCTCCACGAGCGGCACGCTCCCGCTCACCGCCGACGCAACCCGCCCGGCCAGGTCGCGCAGCATGCGGACCGCCAGGGGCACCACGAAGCCGTCCGCGGCGACCTCGTCGGCGCCCATCTCGGCGCGCATGTAGCCCGCGCACTCGGGCTGGTGACGGGGAAGGTGGAGGGGCCGAGCTCCTCGCGGCCGGCGATGAGTAGCGGGACGACGAGGGGCGGGGTCATCTTTTCTTCTTCTTCTCGGGCTGGGAATCTCTTGTTGAGTCGAGTCAATCGAAGTTAGAGGGCGAGCGGGGTGATCGTGGTGCAAGTCCAGGCTAGCCGGCTTAATCTCATTTTTATACACGGCCCGAGGCGAAAAGGACGGGACGGCGCGGGGTTCGAGATAGTTCCGCTGCATGCTGTGTAATGAATGGTTCCTTGGCTCGCGGCGTGCCCACATACAGCCTGGTTCGCACCTGTCGTAGAGGAGCTCCATACGTGGCCGGTTTCTTGATTAGATCGTCCAAGTGGATAGATCGTCCAAGTGACTGCCTACCTGGCGCAGGACATTATCCGAGGAAACAAAAGAGTAAATGGTTGTCATCATGTCATCGGATTTCTTGATGGCAACTACCTCCTCCATTGGCCACTGACAACACGCTTTTGCACAATCTAGCATGTATCAACGACACTTACTTGGCCAGCTCCATTCCAGCGAAAGCAAATACGAACATTTGTGCGATTAAATCCTGTCTGGTCCTTGATCAGACCGACCCCGGTCACGGGTCCATTCGTCCATTTGACAACTTCACCTTGGCTCAAACGCTAAATCCAGCTTTGTCCATTCGTCCGTTCGTCCATTCGTCCTGTGGCAGCTTCGCCTCGGCTCAAACGCCAGATCCAACTTCGAAGCCTCCATCGTAGAGTGATCCCTCAGACCAGCCTCAAAGTCCTCGCGAGTGAATCCCGGTGCCAGCGAGACCGTGTAGCGCCGCAGGACACGGGCGACCAGAGCCGCAGGGCCTCGTTGACGCACGCCTGGAGGTGGTCCAGCCTGGCGAGGCTCACCGGGTCACGAGACCCATCCCCATCGCCGTCCTCGCCGCCATTGCCGCCACCGCCGCCATGCTCGGTGAGGTACTTGTCAATCTCTTGCTGCAATTTCCGCTGCGCGTCCGGGTTGATGCATAGCTCGTAGAAGAGGGCCTGCAGCGTCATAGCTATCGTGTCGCTGTGTTCTTTCTCCATCAGTATACACGAAGAAATACAAAGAGAGGGTGGGCTATGGAGTTTTTCTCTCTACGTACCTCCCAGCAATAAGAATCAGAAGCATGTCACCTTGAAGCTGCAGGTGCTGCTTCTCCGTCAGCAGTTCCTCCGACGGAAAATCCTTCAAGATGCTAGCAAAGAGGCTCCGCGAGGTCTCTGGTAGTCTTTCCTGTTGTTTTACGACGTCAGCAACTTCTTCGAGATAGAAACCAAAAAGACCTTTTTGGTTTACCGTACCATTTGCACGGTGACCTGCTTACGCAGCCAGGCACGAAACGTGTTGACCGTCGCCTTGAAGATGGGCGTCTCCTTCAGTAGCAGAAAGAACCAGGGCACGTGGGCAAGGACACCGATGAGGTCGAGGTTTTTGCTGATGAGCTTCATCCAGTAGGTGGGCTCGCCAGTGGAGAGCACGTCAAAAGGGTCGGTCAAAGGCCATCCAACCCATGACGTCGAAGCTAAAATAGTTGAACCATTTGCTGGCGTCGAGGCGTCCGCGGCTGCCTTCGATGCGTTGCAGGAGCCGCTGCGTGGTCTTTGTGATGATGGGGGTGTAGTTTCGAAGTGCTGTTGATTGTGTCAGTGTTACGGGTACATTCCAAAAGGCAACTGACGAAGGCAGGTAGCTCACCTGCCGCATTCAGTCCTTGGTCCCAGATCCGGCGCTGATCCGAATACTCGGTCCTGTCCCTGATGTTGCTGAGGGCTACGAGCGGCCGACCCTGCTCGTACCACGGGCCCTTGTAGCACTTCGACCTAGGCCCGTGAACAGCCTGGACAGCCTCGGGCTTGCGGGCCGAGATCGTCGAGGGGCCTGTGCGTCCCTCATGGTCAGCGTTTCAGCTCGCACGATACAGATCGATCGATCCAATCAGCCTTACTGATCCGCACAATGTCGCCGTGTTCCTTATGTAGCCTCTCCAGTTCGTCATGCAGGCGAAAGCGCCGCGAGGTGTAGGAGATGTACGCGCTCGACAGTCTCGCGGCAAACGGGCCGGGATACCGACGCAGCGCGTGGAACAAGGTCCGGTACGCGAGCATGCTGACCAACACGCCAGCCGCCGCCGCCAGCGCCAAGCTCGTGGCAGTTCTTAGAGACGTTAGCCAGCCATCCGCGGGGGCGGCGGCGTGGAGGGCGGCGGCGGAGGCCAGGCCAAGCAGCCCAGCGCCGGCAATGATGCGCTGCGCGTGGTTATCCCATTCGCCGCGGCGAAAGGCGAGAACGTGTGAGACGTGCCCGGCCAGGAACGCCCCAAGTAGAAGAGGGCTCATGGTATAGATATGAAGCAGATTGAAGCACAATGAGATGCGAACTGGGTTGTTCAGGAGGAAGGGAGAAGAAGGGGAAGTCGCTGGTGCCGACGCCGTATTTAAGCCGGCAGGCAATGCACATCTCCTCGTACCGGCGGACACAACCTGTAGATGCAGCTCCTATGCCGTGTCGTCGTGAAACAGATTTTGGACTGTACCCGGGCGCGGACCAATCATACATATGCAGTCTATTACTCACGAAAGGCGTCTCATACGTCATACCAGGATCGAAGTTCCAGTGATTTCAAGAGAATGAAATGATGCAAAGTTGGTGATGAAAAGCTGGCGATGACCTGGAGTGCCTGGGGTGCCTGGGGTGCCTGGGGTGCCTGGGGTGCCTGGAGTGCCTGTTTGGAATAATGTCGACAACAGGCCAGCACCTAAAAGCACCGTATATCGTCAGAGGACATTAAGAACCATAGACTAGGTAGGACCCGACGTGGCACTCACCGGAGGTACCATGAGACTCTTTGAGACAAACCTGCATGGCAAGTACATCTATTAAAGCCCGACCACGCGCCTGATCGCCCACATCTTCCTCTCCGACGAGCACAGCTTGAAATCGCCCAGGGAGGCCATTGAGGGGAAGAATGCCGGTTTCGCCCTTGATCAGTCATTTCCGTCCCGCATCCCTAGGCAACCCCTCGCGGATACATTCACGGTGCAGTTGGGCAAGGGTAAATGGCCGGCGTCAGTGAACCAATTTTATTCATTTTTTTTGTATCTTGATCTTGTAATCACACATGCCGTAGTCATGTGGTATCCCGGGCCTGCTCATAGGCAAGCCCATCGAGTAAAGTATGTCATTTTTTTCGATCTGGTCATCCATCCTTTCGAGCTTTACTGGGTCTTGAATAAGAGGATGGCGCAATGGCCGAGGTAAAAATAGATGAAGTGCTTGGTCTCTGTTATGGGTGTTAGTTTCCAGCAATGGGAGTCGTGCATCGATTGTTTGGTTTTGCGCGTACCGTGGGTAACAAAGCTGCCAAAGTTACGGCCGACAATGCAGTGCCAGGTAGGACCTTTGCGCTCATCGAACTGCAGCGCCAAGCTTCAATGTTAGAGTATTGATTCTCGTGTGCATTAAGGGGATGATGTCGCGTATTCGAGCATAGCTGTTAGAATTTCGGGGCCACTGACGGTGCGCTTGATGTGTTGTGCAATGTCCTGTTCACAAATTGTCAGCAAACCATCCATGTTTGATGCGCCTTTGCCGAGCTCCACGGGGGCATACCTTTTCGACAGTAAACTTGGCCATGGCTTCCTGAGCTATAATCAAAGTCAGGAACTGCATGTACATGCCTGCCAGAATGGCCCAACGGCCCAACATACCAACTTCAATGGACTCTTGCTGCATGTCGTCGGTCTAGCGGTCACGGTTGCGTTCCGTCAGTTCCCATCGGCTCGTCAGGGGAGGAAGGCGCTTGGTCAGGATTCTCACCATGTCGGCTGACTTTATCTGTGCTGTTGCGAATTTGTTAGATGTGGGCATGGCTTTGGTGTATCTTGGGTTTATCTTGGTATGCGCGTCGTTGCCAAGGCTGGGTGTTTTTGGGTGGGAGGTGGTGACTCTACCTTGCAGCTTTTCCCTTGCGAGAGGGGTCTCCGGGCTTTTGTCCGCCATTGTGATTTTTCTTCCAGTTGACTGGTCCCGTGATATTTGTTCCTGTACAACTATATGTGTGCTGCGTTATTCTTGTATCAGCCAGCGTCCGTTTGCGTTGTCGCGAAAAGGGTGATAGCCGGCTGTCTCCCCTGAAATTGCGGGCGACTGGAGGTGACGTACTGACGGACGTACGGGCGCGGTGTGCGACGATGAGATGGGGGATGGGAATAGCTATACTCGCTGGAATCTTGCAGTGTGTCGGGCGGGCGACGAGGTTGCGTCGGGTCGCTGATATCGATCTGGATGGCGGTTGAATTTGGGGTCGCGTCTGGCGCATCAACAATTGCGGTGCCCACAGGCCACCGGCCACAGCTTGCTCTGCCTGCCTGCCTTGCAAGTTGCCACCCTCGGCCCCTCTTCAGCTGCCAGCTCCTGCTGCTACTGGTCTTCTTTTGTGTGGTGCTTTCCTCCTGGGCTGGTTGGTTGGTGCCTGGACTGGCAGTGGAGCACCCCGCAGTCTCGCCAAAACGCAGGGCAATGCAGGGCAAGTATTTCAGCTTTTCTTACTTGACGAGCCAGCAATGAGTATTGTTAATTAAACCTTCGGGTGTGAGGGCAGACATCATGAAGAAGAGGGTGGGAAGGCAACTCTCAAATGCCCTAATTGGTATGTCGCAAGAAAATTGTGTAAGCGTCTGCAGAAACTCGGTACATGACTACTTTTTTGCTTATGCTGCTCGTAGCTTGGTGATGGTCAATCACACCTACAATGTACAACGAGATCAACTCCTCCACAATTCACCAACTTGCCCAACTCCAAAGCAGGAAAAAAAAGGAGACTCAAGGTAGGTCGATCCCTTTGATGTACAACGACAATTATGCGCCAATCGCGGGAGATTTTCCATCACCACGGCGACCATCAGCAAACGACGTCATGCCACAGGGTAGCTTGCTCAATGCGGCTCGCTCCTAGGCGAACTCTCTTTCAGCACGTGCAACAACCAGCATGGCATCAATCAGCACGGCATCAATCAGCACGGCATCAACCAGCATGACAAGATGTGCAGACTGAGCATGAATGATGAATCCAGACCCCGACTCACCCCCGCCCACCATTGAAGAAAAGGGCTGTTGTCGGAACCCCGAGTGGCTCAGCTCAGCAACGTTCACGCACACCCCCCGACGGGCTTTTTGTACTTGGCAAGTAGTCGCAAAAAAAGAGACGCCCTGCGAAGCTCCCCACAGAGTACAGAAATAGAAGCATAAAAGCGTCATGATAATTTTCTATTCTTATTTTCCTCTTCTGTTATTAACTAAAACCAGGCCCTGAAAAGAAGCACACATGACTCGACCCAAGCCCGCTCAGCCATGTCATAAACGGGCGGGCGTGTTACGAACAAAGAGGGGGAATGAAGGGCAAGCCCCAGAGACTAGGTCTATACATAGCCACAACCACCACCATTCGCCGACCGAGCCAGCCGGCCTGAACAAGACGGCTGTCGCAGGCTTTCCTTCAGACGGACGGGTGGGCGGGGTGCCGGCCCATCTCGTACAAGAAACAGTGAGTTATCTCACCATGTTTATTTAGGAGTATTATCATTTATTCTCCCCCGCGACCTATTCCCCCCATGCTGAAACAATGGACGTTGAAACTACTCTGGTCACATACCCCGGGGCACCCCCCTTTGGATACAATCCCCCGCCTTTTTGGTCCTGATACGAGATTTTTCTTAAATTCTGGTTGCGCGTACAACTTGTCTAGGGCACCAGGCTGGCTGGCGTAATACGAGCTCTATCACACGGAATCCCGGTGCCCGCCGCTCCATTGTGGCATGACGCCAAAACGCCCACGCCATCCGCCATGCCGGAGAAAAGAGGGCCTCTGTGGCTTGCAGGGTCCCGGACAACGAACATGTACATGCAGGTAGATATGAGGATGAGAGCTTTGCCAAACATCGCTATATATTTAATATTTAAGCTACACGGATAATCATGGCCCTTCCATGAAAGCACGCTGGTGGGTTCAAAGTAAACCAAATAAACATGTCTAAATTACCGATTGATATTCACAATGCCCCCATGAAGAACGATGAATAGTAAAAAAAGAAAAAATCAACAGCAAAAACTCCGGTAGCCCAATGCCGTATTCAACTCCAATCTATCCAAACCCGCTTCCTTATTCTACAGTGACGGCAAAATCGGGGCAGTAAAACGTCACGTTTGACGGCGCATCGTACGCTTCGGTGCCCATGCCAAAGGAACCAAGATAGTCGCTCGAGCTCGGGTAGCTCGAGTTGCCGGCGGTGAGGATGTAATCAATCAGCGGGTAGACGTCGCCGTGGAACTTTTCCGTGATCGTCTGCGCCTTCCAGGTCATCACGAACTGGCTAGTGGTTGGGTGCTTGTCGGCGTACAAGTCGCTACACGATCGAGTTAGCTTCCTTCATTCTTGCCAAGACTCCATCCCAGGTACACGGAACCAAGGTTTGCTGGGCGAACACCTGGCGTATTCGAAACTTACAAGAGGACCTGCGCATTGGTGGTAGCATCTGTCAGAGGCAGTGTCCTGACAATCGATGTCGTGTCCTGACCAATGACGTGCGCAGACGGGCCAATGGCGGCAAACCAAATCATGATTTCAAAAGCTGCCTTTACGTTATCCTGCGAGGTATCACTGTTCTTGTCCGAGAACATGTCAATGGCGACGTTGGTGTTGACACTCTTGGTCCCCATGGTCGCCGATTCGCTCGCCGTCGTGTTGTCATTGCCAGTGACGTATTTCCATTCGAAATCGACGAAGAGCTTCTTGATGGAGCTGAATTGCTTGGGGAAGACCTTTTCGAGCTTGATGTTGGCGAAAGCGTGCACATTGTTCTGCCCGGCGGGAGCGGGAGAATACTGCCAGGTCACCTGGAACGGAGGAGCCAGCTCGGGCTTGGCGTATGTGCCGTTGTTGTTGAAGAGGACCTGGAAAAGGGCGCCGTCAGTGTCTGCCTTGTGCACGGAGAGTTGACACGGTGTGACGCTGTGGTGCGACAGCATCTGCCGCGAGCGTAGGCGAGACGGTAGACTTGACTTACATCCATACACATGCCGCTCTTTGCGCCGTTGGTGAGACCCCATTGGTTAGGGTTGACTGTGCGACTGTTAGCCTACAAGAGTCCAGGTGAGCGGAAGCCGAGAGAGGGCATACAAGTATATTGCTGCTGGCTCTTGTCCCAGTAGTAACGCTGGGGATTGCCCAGGTCGGCGAATTGGGTGCAAGCTTGGGCGAGCTCAATATTGTTGTCTTTGGGCCTGGGTGCTGACCCCGGGCCACCTGTGCCGATGCCGCCATCGCCGAGGAAACTACCAGACTTTCCGCCACTCTTGTGAGCGTTTTGCAGCGGAAAGAGGACGCCGAGTGTGATGGCGATGGGGACGATGAGCATGCAAAAGCTCAGAATCCATTTGTAGCCAAATCCCATGGCGGCGGTGGCGGACGAATACAGCGACGAGAATGGGAGCGACAGTCGAGGAGCGACGGTGGTCGGCCGATGTGTTGGAGAGCGATTCCCGTCTTGTTTCAAAGCAAATCTAACCTCCGAGAAGAGCAAGCCGAAAGCGACAGTGAGCGGAGGTAAATTTTTCTGGAAGAAAAGAGTGTATGGAGTTGGCCTCCCAAAAGCGTCCGTCGAGGAGGTAGGCTTCAGCGGCGCGCCAAAGATGGGGGACGACAGGCAATGGGGCGGCGCGTTGGCGGACAATGATGGGGGGTTGTGAGAGTTGTCGATGCCTCCCAGTATCGATTTTTTTTTTGGGCGAAATGCACAGACGAGTATGTTCAGGCGAAGATTTGCCAGGGCAGAATTGATGGTGAGACCGGGATAGGCAAGAACAAGGTTGTGGAACCAGCACTGCAAGAGAGAAGATGGAGAGCGGAGAGCCTGTTTGGGCGCTAAGCCGGGGCAGGCCAAGAACGTGTGAATGAGCCAACTCAAGTTCTCAGTTGCGGCCTTTCCAATGTTTTGAAAGTTGGAGGAGGAGAGGACCTGCATTACCATTGTACGAGACCAGCACAAATACAGGTGATATGTGCGCTGGATTGGTGGTTTCTTGGGGGGCAATGTCAAGTCGAGCATCCAGTAAAACGCTCTGGAACCATGCCGGGAGGGAGTGGGAGACGGATTGTGGCAGTGGCACTGACTGGTACAGGGAGTTGCAGTGGATCTCTAGTGGGCTGACACGCTGTGGGGGTGTGAAGATGTACCCTGCTTTGCTGCTGCTATCTTCCAGGCGGACAGGGGTGCATTCGGAATACTTGTAGGTACATGACGGTAGGGAGGCCAGAAAAAAATCAAAATCGGACGGGGCTAATAAAAGAGGCTAACTAATGCAGAGCACTATCTCGGGTGCAAGGGCAAACTGGGTAGCTAACCGGCTTCGACGGCGGATTTCATTTTGCAGATTACGGATACTGGTGAGTTGTAAGTGCTCAAACCATCGAAGACAATCAATCGGCTGAGATGTCGTGCGGCTTCATCCAGCATCTCTCTCGGGCAAACAAAGTTGGATGTCGAGAACTCGAGACCCAATGAGATCACAACACAAGACAACATGGATGCAGGGGCGGAAGGATAGTCTGGTCAAAAAGGACCGAGCGAAGCACGCAGCAGCCCATCAAGGGGGCCAAGGAACAAGTTTAAATCAATAGCAAAGCTTAACTGTGATGAATTAGAAAACAATGGATCCAACAATAAAGAGAAACGAAAAAAGGACCGCGCCAGCCCGTCGTCCGTTGGTACCTGCGTTTCTCCGTGTGGAGGATCAAGGCCCGACAAAAGCCATGGCACGATGAGATTCCACAAACGCGTTTCTCAACCAGCAGACTAACAGTAGTTACAACCGCTGGGCTCTTTTGTTGCACGCAGACTTTGTTAGCAGCAGATGCGAGGCTGATCACATCCGGAATCAGACTGGCTGTGCAAGTGGTCAAGCTGCTTGGCAGGCACGTAACCCTACCGGGAGGCGACAAATTGGGGGGAGGGGATAAAGACTTGTTTGTTATCGTCTAATTTTGAATAGGCATGCTAGTTTGGTTGTTGATGTTGTTTTTCCTTGGAACCGTTCCTTCTTCGTCGAAGTGAAACTTGTGGGAAGAACAACAGCAAGCAATGGGCGCGTCAGACATGTCTTAAGTCTAGCTAACAACAACAAAACGCCGGGCCGGGTGAGGCTGAAATGGCGATTGACACGGGTCGGTTACGGTATTTAATCAAGATGCGCCCATCTCAGTTGCGAAAGGAAGAACAGGGGGTAGGCGGGAATATAAAAGAAGAAAGAAGCAAAAATTTTTTTTTTTGCGAAATTAGAAATAAATTAAATAGCAGCTAACTTATCAGCACGAACCTATTGTACCAACAATTGATACCTGCCGACAGAGTCAACGAGCGGCCTCACGAAAAACAGCTCCCTTTTTGCAGCTGGTCATCCACAGGGGGGTTTGCCTGATTCGATCCCATCCGGAGATGCAAAGCTTTAACAAAAAAAGAAAAATGGAAGACCAGCGCTATGCCAGGAGCGGCGGGCCGAACAATCATTGGTCGGTGAATTTTATTTTTTAGCGGCTTCTTTCCACAACCCATGTCGCAAACGGGTTTAGCAGTCGGACACGCTGTTATTTTTAAACCTTTTTTCTTTGCTAGCGTCAATCAATCGGGCTGCCACTGCGGTGGTTCCGTCTCGCCTCGGTGGCTTGGGCAAGGGGGCCTCTTATTTTTCCTTCTGGATCACACTTCCTTATCGAACAATGAACGCTCAACAAACCGCTCACCTTACAGTATCTTCTCGCCGGCCTGTTTCTTGCCGGGAAGTATGTTATACAAGCTTTGCTTGCTTTCTCACCCGTACGGATAGGCACATACATAGCCAGGCACAGCACTGACAGTGCCTCACTCGGTCGTTTCAACAGTGGACCCGGGCCGCTGCAAGGTTTTGCGCATCCCCATCAGGCCCCCCAATGTCTGGGTGGCCGCCAATGCAACTTGAAGGCTGCAGAGATACGAGGGTGAGAACAGGGGGGGCCAATACGGCTTCCTGGCAAGTACCTACCTGTACCTATCCATGATCAGATGCTGCCTGTAACCGGGCGCCAAACGCTGCGATAGGGGGGTTCTAGCAGCCAACCAACAACGTGGTTGGTGACAGGACGGAGATGGCATCCGAATCATAAAGGAACCTCGTGGCGGTCGCAAATACAGAGGATGCGGCTCCTGCACCGGGTTCTATCCTGTGGTAGGACCACTGTAGACGGTGCCTACGTGGCCTGCGCCAAGGGTTCAATACGCGAGATGGGCAATTTTGCCTGCCATGTCACATCATATCATGCAGTTCCATGTCCATATGATATATCCCAATACTCACGCAAGGGGGACATTCCAACCATGGACAGCGAAGACGCTGCAAGACATTTTATAGCTTCGCATGCACTGTAACTACCTGCAAGTATTCGTAATCCTGTACCAGTATTGCATATGCAGCGGCTGTTTTTGTACCAGCTAGTTACTCGAAGGGCAAGGCCTCAAACCCTCGTGCCTCCCAGTCGCCAAATTGTAAGAGCAAATAGTCCCAGACACAGAATTAGGATCCCCAAATCAAGCTCCTCAGGCCATCGTGAACCCGTTGTTGTCTCGAGCACCCAATTTGGTTCCATGAAGAAAACCGCAATGCGCCCCGTTCATGCGTTAGTCAATGTACCAGGACCGCCTGAAAGGGAGATTACAACTCCCTGGAATGGTTCGTCGCAGCACTACCAAGGAGTTGTGCGCTTGGCTCTGGACGGCATGACAATACGGATGGATACCTTGTCTTCCCGCTTGGCAGCTTGCCCGGCTAATGTATCCCCGCCGTCGCAGGACTTTTCCTCCGAGCTCGCCATTGGCTCGCAGCATCCCGCGCCTCAGCTACCTTTCCTTCCCTCCCTCTCTGGCATTGTTTTACGATCGTCCCAGCATTGCGCCTTGGCGGGATGCGAGTGAAGATTCCGTCTCAGCGCTGCTGGGGACAGGGCAACCGATGTTCCGTCAGGCGAGATTGACGGCAACGTATTGTAAGACAGCGGCCTGTTGTTTTGGTCGAGGGCGAGGGGCAGCGCGCGCCCATGTCAGAGTTTATTTGGGTTATCCCGTGCTTCTGGGTCCCTCCTCGGCTATCCGTATTCCCACTGGACTGGGCTCTCTGAGAATTTGATATCTGAGAGTTGGAGGCCAAAGGGCAAATTGAGAGCGAGGAAAAAAACTTGGTTTGGTGGGGCGGCATGGTCAGAGTCTCAGCGCCCCATTGTAATGTTAGCTGCGCCGCGCTCCAGGGCGTGCTAAAAAAATGTACACCACGTCATGGCAGCTACAGCGCTAGATGAGGTTCGGCTTCTACGGGAGCAATGTTATGTTACTTGCTGGCTTATTATCATCTTTCAGCGGTGCTGCGAAGGAAGCACTCGCTGGCCAGTGTAGTTGTCCGTATTTCAGCGGATTTATTTGCGCCCAGAACCAGAAGTCGGCCGTCGCCGTCCGCCCCTCTTCCTCCCCTCTTTGCCTCCTCCCGCCCACAGGCAACACGCATGCACAGCCAGCTACTTGTCTGTACCTGCGCAGGGCTGCCCCATAGCTATACGGCTTGTAGTCCGTATTTTTTAGACGGTTCTTGTGGCATTCCCGTAGCCTGGTGAAATAGCGTGGGCAGGTTTTTCTGATTATTTTCCCGTCTTGGCTTCTGCTTCCACGTAAATCGTACGCGCCGGCATCTGTTGTCTCACAGCGCCGGGAGGAGAAGCTGGCCGGGGATATACCGGCACGGGCACGACGGAGTTTGCTGGAAACGGTGCCCGATTGCTCGACACAGCTGCTTTGCGTATGTGTTGAGAGGATACTTTGTAGGTACCGAAATAGAGAAAAAGGGATTGGGCAACTGCAGCGGCGGAGGTCATGTAATGGCAGCCAACAGGTACCTGCGGTAGCTACCTACAGAGGGAACTTACTGCCTTGAGGGTGGACAAATTGCATGCTGCAATCCGTACAGCGTACCTCGAAAAGCAACGTTAGCTTACCTGCGAGCAAGAAGATACTTGCTGGTACTTTGCTCCCCAATTGTTCTGCGGCGCCGCATTTGAACGCGGCCATTCACCCTCCAAGCCGCCCGCGACGAGGGAAATGTACTAAAATCGACCCAGTTGCCAGCTACCAACTGATACCTTGTACCGACCTGCCTGCCTACTAACCAACCCTCCTCCCAGTCGTCTTTTGATTTAATTATTCTTTTTTGTTTTTTATTTTTGCATCATCCCCCAATCCGAAATCCCACGCCCATCCAGGCTCCCACCAGCGCTAACATCGTTCTTCGTCCGCAAGCACCACCCCTTGTTCTCACACCCTCTCTTTTTCCCAGTGTGTTGCCAAGCTTAGACATTCTTCTTCGCTGCCACACTTTTTTCCTCTCTCTTTAAGTTATCCTCCTCACAAACTCTTCTTCTCCGATCTGCTCTCAGACTCTCTCTCGCTCTTCGTTACACTCCAGCTTCTTAAGCTTGGCCCGACACTCGCTCGTTTCTGCTTATCTTACTCGCAGACCCGGTGATAAGAATTGTCACCGTCTGCTTTTTTTCTTTCCGGCCTCTTTGCTTTCGGTTATTGTCATCGCTTATCCCACTGTTCGGTCATTCTCTGGTCGTTATAAACAATCACATTATCGTTGCGGCTACATTTGACCGGGGCAACAAGCACGTCAAACGGGCTCTAGATCCCAAGAGCTCCTCCTTACTAGTCTACGCTACCTGCTAGACAGTCTGGCCGTCATCTAGTTATCCGACTGTCTTGAAAGGAGCACGTTGAAAGGAATGCAACTCCTCCCATCGCCAAAATGAGACGTCACCAACAAGCCGAAAACGAGGAAAATGTCGACCTCGACGTCTTCCATCGTCACTCTCCTCCTTCCGACTTTCCGCATCCACCACCACAGCAGCTGCACCACTCAAACCACTCCAACTACTCCAACGTCTCATCTTACGATGATTATCGCGGCCGTCCCGTAGCTGACTTCTCCCGCCCTATCCGCCCTCCTCAGCAGCCGTACCTTGAGGAGTACGGCAGCGCGACGTCGCCGTCCTGGGGTCCAACACACATCTCCCGCTACAGCCAGCAGTCCTTCGAAACGCCGATTCAATCCCGCTCGGCCTCTCCTACCCTGGTCAGCGGCCGTGCTACTCCCATGGACCGTATGCCACGGCCGAAGAACAACATGGAATCATGGCCCAACACCCCGATGGTATGAATTGCCTCCTTGTGCCTGAGCGCATTGCTCCGCGTCCCGTTTGCTTCAAAACTGACCGATTCTCTCCCTGCAGTACCAGAGCAATGTCAGCCTCGCTGCTCTGCTTCCTAATGCACCTCCTCCTGTTATGGCTAAGGATTGGGTCAAGGAGGGATACATTGCTCGCTTACACGACCGTGACGATGCCGAAACCTGGAAAGGATGGAAACGTCTCCTCTTCCGCGCCGTTCCTCTCCTCACCCTCCTCAACACGGCCCTGTACCTCGCCTACCTCGCCTACCGAATCTTTTGCATCATCTCGGCTCAGAACGCCTACAAAAGTAGCTTTGTCTTGGCCTGGGTCTTCATTGGCGTCGAATTCGCCGTCGCTATTCCCAGCATGATGCACAACCTCTGGACTATGATGGCCTTGAAGAAGCGTCAACGCCCCAAGTTGCGCCTGGTTGCCGACGATGTCCCGACTGTTGACGTATTTGTTACCTGCTGCGGCGAAGATGACGACGTTGTTCTTGACACTGTCCGCGGAGCTTGCGACGTAGACTACCCCCGTGATCGCTTCCGCGTTATTGTTCTGGACGACGGCAAGTCAGCTACCCTCGAAGTTGCCGTAACGGCTCTGGATTCCACCTACCACAATGTCTACTACATGGCTCGCACCAAAACTCCTGGCGTTCCTCATCATTTCAAGGCTGGTAACCTCAACTATGGATTGGACATGACCCACAACCTCCCAGGCGGCGCTGGCCAGTACATGGCTGCCTTGGATGCTGATATGGTATGCATTGAACAAAAAAACTGCCTCAGCAGATTGAAAGTTGTAAACTTGCTGACACTGGTCTACAGATTCCAGAACGAGACTGGCTCCGTGCCATCCTGCCCCATTTACTTGTCGATGACAAGATGGCTCTTGCTTGCCCTCCTCAGCTCTTCTACAACACTCCTGATTCTGATCCCCTCGCCCAAAGCCTAGACTTTTTCGTTCACGTCATTGAGCCGATCAAGGATGCTCTCGGTGTTGCCTGGTGCACTGGATCCGGCTATATTGTTCGTCGCGAAGCACTCGATCAGATTGGCAACTTTCCGCTCGGCTCTCTCGCCGAAGATGTTGCCACGTCCACTTTGCTACTTGGTAAGGGCTGGAAGACTGCATTCATCCACGAACCCCTACAGTTTGGCACCGTCCCTGAGGATTTTGGTGGCCACTTGAAGCAGCGCACACGTTGGGCCATTGGTACTGTCGACACCGCCTTCAAGCTCAGATTTTGCTTGTACGGCGACAAGGTCAAGCAGATGAGCTTTGCCCAGCGCTTCTCTGGCTTCCTGTACGCTTCGCTCAGTCTCTACACTGTACTACTCACTGTTTCTCTCTTCGCCATCCCCATCATTCTTCTGATGCGCCGGCCCCTTGTCGCCTACAACGACCTAGAAGGAGATACCCAGCTGGTATGGCTTATCCGGGCCTGCTTTGCCGCCACCATGGCCAACCGTCTCTGCGAGTTTGCTCTCTTCCTTCCCGCTGGTTACCACACTGGTCAGCGTGGTTCCCGCTACCAGCTCTGGATGTCGCCTTACATTGCCCTCTGCATTGTCCGCTCTTTCATGCTCCCCAAGTGGCTCGGCGGTCAAACCCAGGCATTCAAGCCCACTGGTTCCCTTGGCTCCGCTCTCAACGAACGTGACGCTCGCCACCGCAAGGGTATGGGCCGTCGCCTGTGGGGCATCTGCTTCAACTACATGGCCATTTTCCATTTGATCTTTGTCTACATGACCCTTGTTGGAGCCACCATGGTCACCTTTCTCTGTTTCACCGAGTACAGTGCTTTCAAGGACGTTGCGCGCTGCCTCATCACCCACGCCTTCTGGCCTCCCCTGACGTTCGTCTTCCTCTGCAGCTCTATGTGGACCCCGATTGGCTATGCCATTGATCCTCCCACCGTGCCTGATCGTGAGGATCTTCTCATTCGCGACCCCAAGACGGATGTCGCCCATCCCACGCGAAAGAGCAAGAAGATTGCCTTTGGCCAGCAGGCTGCCTTTTTCGAGCTCGAATACAGCCTTACCTCACTGTACACTATTGCTGTCTTTGTTGCCTCGTTTATCCTCTTCTAAACGACACACCCCAAACAGCGCATTTTATACATTCGTTTAACTGCGCCTTATGAAAGCGCAATCGAGTATCACTCCTATGCATCCCTCATGGCGATGCCAGTTCTACCAATGCATATGAAAAAAACCTCCTATGGAGTTGCATTTTTGTTTCTTGTTTCTTTTTTTTCCGCATCGACGAAGTTGGTAATTCGGCTGTGCGTGGCGAAGTGATGGGCGGTGTTGCCGCAGAGGAGTCACATTTGGGTGAACGATTATAAAGGCGAAATGATATATATTTTAACCTGGGCTCTTCGCTGCCAGGCGACGGGGAAGAACGGCGATTCTTCAACGGTTTGGATGGTCCTGCGAAGCCTTTCATTCAGCATTATGGGTATCGGCGCAAACGACGTGTATTGTTATAACCTTATTGTATATACGTTTTGGTTGGCTCTTGTTATCAGTCAACCGCGACTTTTTTTTCTTTGTTTCGTTTTTAGACCGCGTTAGAATACGTTGAGGTTTATTTAGGCCAGTGCAAACACTGTATCAGGCGAAGAATGAATAGGATAGGGATTAATGGTTTATTATTTATCTTGACTACCTCTGTAAGTTCTCGACGTGCTGCGCTCTGTGTGACTTTGGAGTGGCTGATCTACCGGTCAATTGGCCGCTGCATGTATAATTTCCCATCTTCGACAAATTCGGCGCCGTGTTGACCGTGATGTGGGCGAGTTGACGGCGACGGACTGGACGTCTCCGCTGGAACGCAAGATCGAACGATTGTATTCCCATGCACAATGGCACACCAAGAAAAGACACGCGCGCTCCGAAAACAAAGGACGACCAGCGCTGGAAGAAACGCGTTGCACGTTAACCTGGTTCAACTCTGGAATTCTAAATCGATGCAGGTAATCTTACGATACGAAACTTTGTCAAGTTTTTTTTTTTTTGAGGTTGCGTGCGGGTGCAACCTGGTTCCGCTACCGCCCATGTTCATGTTGTTGGTTGTTGGTCCGGTCGCTGATGGGTTGCGTCTTTTCCTGTTTCCTCATCTCCCGATGGTTAAGGTGTTTTCTTAGCACTTTGAGTCTGTGTTTCTGTACAGCATTTGGATGTGACACCAGCCCGCATTTACAGGTTCCTTTGCCGCCTTGACCTGGGTGGATTTGTGGCGCGGCTTCCTGTTCATGTCCGTGACTGACAACGCGTGGAAATTTCTGTGCTTGGTCAGTAATGGAGTTTGTCGGGATTATGATTGGTAAGAATTGATACGGGCTATATGGAGAGGCTGCCCTGCTTAAGGTGCTGTTACATGCTGTTGCAAACAACCCAACTTAGACACAAGAACACACTCTCAGCATACGCAAACCAGCTCTTGAAAGATCAACTCACACTTACAGGTCCCAACACAGCACTCTCATGGTTATTCTGTGTTGGAAGGCAAAGCACACTACAATAGTGGCACAACTGACATATCAATGCGCATATTGATACCAACGGGTCGATATGCTCGTAGAAAGTCGCTTCGCAGGATAGTATAGGGTAGTACCCGTAGCCCAGAAGCGCCAAGGCATCCTTATCGATAGCAGCGCTCCACTTGTGGCCGGTGTAGAATAACTTTTTTTTTTCTCCCGTCCTCTTCCTCCAATCTCTTCAAGGTTGACTGCAACCAAGAAAATTCTGATGCGTGATCCTTGAACGCCACCATCGGAGGCCTAGTGCCTGAACCTTTCCAATTCAATATGGCTACCTCAAGAATATTTGTCAAGGGTCTGCCGACCAGCCTTACCGAGGCTGAGTTCCGAAAACACTTCTCTGCGGGAAACCGCGAAGTTACAGATGTCAAGCTCATGGCGCAGCGCCGCATTGGCTATGTAGGCTACAAGTCAGCAGACGACGCCGCAAAGGCCGTCAAGTACTTCAACAAGACCTACATTCGCATGTCCAAGATTGCTGTCGAACCGGCAAGAGCAGTAAGTCTTCCGGAACCCCGAGTCAAGGGGCAAGGCTCTGGTGCTAACTGGAATGAAAGATCTCAGATTCTGCCCCAACCAAGGCGAAGTTCGCCACCCGAACCGCGGCGCCGGAGAAGGGCAACAGAGCCTTGCCGCCGACTGCCACGTCTGAAGATGGTGGTTCAAAGAAGAGGAAGCGGGAGGACCTGGACCAGTCAGATCCCAAGCTGCAAGAGTATCTTCGGGTCATGGGGTCGGGAAGGGAAAGTCTCGTTGCTGATGAGACAGCTGTCGAATCAAGCGGAGCTCTAGCGCCGCAGGGCGGTGCGCTGGTGCCCGATGGGGAGAGCGATGACGAGTACGTCGAAGTTCCCTCGAGGAAGGAGAAGGTCCGGAAAGTTGATCATGCGACGGGAGAGACCGGTGTGGCTCAAGTGACACCGGCGAGGGAGACGGCGTCTCGTAAAGAGGCTGTCAGTCTCCCGGCCGACGGTGGTGTGGCTGGGGCGTTGCCTGGGACTTCGGCCCCAGAGTCTGAGGCGGCGAATCAACCAGCCGACGTGGCAACAGCCGCGACGGACGACGATTGGCTGCGCTCTCGAACAAGCAGACTTTTAGACCTGGTTGACCCAGACGACATTTCCCATGTCGCACCCATGGAAAAGCCCGATGGTGACAGCTCGACTGGCCAAGAGGTCGGAAATGACAAAGAGGCTCCGCATTCCGAAGAGGACGGAACTCACGATCACCAAGCCCCCCTCTTAACGCAAGGGCAGGACAAAGAATCAGCCGCTGAAGCTATTTCGAGGACTTCTCGGTTGTTTGTTCGAAATCTCCCTTACTCCGCCACCGAGGACGACCTAAGGGAGGAGCTTGAAAAGTTTGGAGGTGTAGACGAAGTAAGTTTCCTCTTTTCCTTGCATCTGTTGATCGATTGTTGTTTTTGTGTCTTTCTTTCAAACCCCCGGCTTGCATGATGAACCCCAGATAGGGACAGCTTATACCTAACGGTATTTGATGAGAACCCTGGGCGAATATTTTAGTAGATGCTTCGACTGTCTGATATCCTGCCATAACTCTGTCATTTTTACGTTTACACTTATTGACATGACACAAAACTGTATAAATGACTGACACTTCCAGGTACACATGCCAATCAATGCGCAAGGCACAGGCAAAGGCTTTGCCCTGGTGCTGTTTACAAAGCCATCTGACGCGGTTGCTGCATTCCAAGCGTTGGATGGGGCAACGTTTCAGGGGCGTATCGTCCACATCATTCCAGCGGATGCGAAAAGAGAGCATGGTGTGGATGACTTCTCCATGTCTGGCCTCCCGCTGAAGAAACAGAACCTGATTCGCAGGAAGAAGGAGGCGGCATCCACCACGTTCAATTGGAACTCGCTGTACATGAGCCAGGACGCCGTCAACGCCTCAGTGGCGGCTCGACTTGGTGTCTCAAAATCCGAGGTGCTTGATCCTACATCGGCGGACGCAGCAGTCAAGCAAGCCATTGCGGAGACGAGCGTGATCCAAGAGACCAAGGCATACTTTGCAGCCAACGGGGTGGACTTGGATGCGTTCAAGTCTCACAAGCGGGGCGATCTGGCGATTCTGGTCAAGAACTTTCCATACGGGACGACGATGGAAGAGCTCCGCAAAATGTTTGAGGAGTTTGGCCCAGTTGTCAGAGTTTTGATGCCGCCGACGGGTACAATTGCTATTGTACAATTCGCGCAGGCCAACCACGCAAAGTCAGCTTTTGGCAAGCTGGCGTATCGACGGATCAAGGACAGCGTTCTTTTTCTGGAGAAGGCGCCGAAAGATCTGTTTACTAGTGAGGCGCCCGCGGTGGCAGTAGCCAAGGCTAGCAGCCAGCCAACGGGAACCACGAAGCTCAGCGTTAGTGACCTGTTGACGGGTGGCGGTGATAAGGCCGGTGAGGAAGAGGTGGAGACGACGTCTCTGTTCGTCCGCAATTTAAACTTCAGCACCACCACGAGTAGATTAGCTGAGGCCTTCAAGGCTCTGGATGGATTCGTCTCGGCCAGAGTCAAGACCAAGACGGACCCGAAGAAGCCGGGCCAGATACTCAGCATGGGGTTTGGGTTTGTTGAGTTTCGTACGAAAGCGCAGGCGCAGGCAGCCCTGGGTGCCATGGACGGACATGTTTTGGATGATCATGCGCTGGCCGTGAAGGCGTCTCACAAGGGCAACGACGCCGCGGAGGAGAGGCGAAAGCAAGACAAGGCCAAGAAGGTGGCGGCGCAGCGGACCAAGGTGGTGATCAAGAACTTGCCTTTCCAGGCAACGAAGCAGGAGGTTCGGACGCTATTTGGCAGCTACGGCCAGCTAAGATCCGTCCGCGTTCCAAAGAAGACGGATGGTACGTCGAGGGGCTTTGCCTTTGCGGACTTTGTGACACCTCGGGAAGCAGAGAACGCACTCAACGCTCTGCGGGACACGCATTTACTTGGACGTCGGCTGGTCATGGACTTTGCAGAGGCTGAGGCGGTGGATGCGGAAGAGGAGATTGAAAAGATGCAGCACAAGGTGGGAGGGCAGGTGAATAAGGTTGCGCTGCAGCAACTTACAGGAGGGGGGCGGAAAAAGGTGAATATTGGCAATGAAGGTGAGGACGAGATGGACTTGATGGACTAGATGCATCAATAGTGTTCATAGAGAGATGATTTGTAGAATCAAACTACCAAGATACCCTTTTTTCAGGTCATGAGCTCTTTTGCAGGAATGCTGGTAATTTTGCAGCGACAATGCCATGTCAAAATCGTACGGGTGATTTTGTGTGATTTTGTCCCTTTGGTGGGAGCTATTGGTGGTGCTCCCTGGGCAGGGCAGGGCAGGGCAAAGTGAAGGGCAAATCTGAGTTTCGATGGATTGAACTGAGACGCCAACAGGGAGGAAGCATTGTGCAGCTGTGCGCGCGCCTTTGCTGACCCGCAAACAAAGAGATGTTGAAAAAAACTGAGAGGACGGCGTTGATGATGCGATGGATAATAACAATAATAATAACATCAAGTTCCAGCTGGACTTGTCTGGTTGTAATCTCGCAGCATACCAGCAAGAGTACGATGGAGGTGAAGCAAGGTTAGTATGTACAGTTGGTATACAGAGAAGCTTGGAGCTTGCCAGCTTGGTGATGGAGACTTTCTATTGGATGACCCCACCAGAGCAACCAACTCCCTCCTCCCACACAAACCATCAACCCCTTTGGACAAGACGCCAAACCCTCTTTCCTCCCTTGGGCCAAGGAGATTTGATGGTCGATTCGAAGCTTTTTTAGGACAACGCTCGCTCAACTCCCCATTCCGACCGCCGGTGGCCGCCCCCACCCTCTTGCTTGGGTTTCCCTCTTTTTCGCCCGTTTGTGCGGTGACGTGCGTCCGATGGGGAAGAACGATCCCTGCAGTGCGTTGCGCCGCGCCCCGACGATGGAGATTTGTCGCTCGCTTCTGCACGCACTAGCTGGGTGTGCTGAACGCCAGCAGCCCTGCGAAAGGAGTTGATATTGGCATCGCGTCGCCCGTCATTGACCTGTCGAAAGCTGAGCTTTGCGTTGCGAAGGGGGGGGGGGCCGGACAGAGGACAGAGCGGAAAAGAAAGGGAAAGGGAAAGGGCACGGGAAGCAGAACAGCACAAAACCAGAGAGCGAGAGAAAACGAAAGAGCTCTCGTCCTCGTGTCGAGACATTGGGGGGCGTGTCTCGATCATGAATGTGAATATACTCCGATTCACACACGAGCTCTTGCTGTCGACTTGCCCAGTCATCATCGCCTCTCGACCAGTTTGGCCCCTCCCCCTCCTCGCCCCCCCCCAGTCTGGCGGCATGGGTGATGTAGGTAGGGCCGGACTTGTCCTTGTCGACACGCCCTTCCCACCCCCTCCTCTTCATCATGTCTCGCCGTTCCTGGACGGAGGGGTGCATGATGTGCCGCCTGCTGCCGAAAAAGCTACGAAGCCTACCGCCTCCTGCTAGCTAACCCACCCGGCGAGGCGCGATAGCTCCAGGCATTGAGAGGGAACGACAGAGAAAGAGAGACATCGACAAGCTCACTCACACACTCACACACCTTGCAGAACCACTAGCCTGGATGTCCCTTCTTCAATAGACCGATCCACAGTCCACAGGTTCATCGTCCATGGGTTGCCCCATCCCAAGGAAAAAGGTCTCTCCAACAGTCACTCGGTCCAGCATTTACATGGCCGCGGCTGACGGTCCTCGATACTGGCGCCTCGTTCCAGTCCAAACTCTGGGCCATTGCCAAATCATACATCTATCCCACCAGTCCACTCCCAGAATTCCTTCCAACATTTCTTGTTCCTCTACCACTTGCCTTTCATTCTTCTTCTCGCTCTGCTTCCCAAGCTTTGCCTGCATTACCTGTCTGCCCCAGATACCAAAGGAAACTCTCTTCTTCCTCTTCCACTTTGGCATTCTTGCGGCCCTCAGCTTTTGCCCTTTCCTCTCTCTCACCAAGGCGAAATCCCATTGTTGGCATTCCTGCAACAAGGAAGACAAGGCCTTCAAGCTTTTCGTCTCCAGTCACTCATTCACCCACACATACGCATTGCAATTCCAGCAAGCATTTGCTGGAACAAAGATGTCTTCACTATACCCTCCCAGACCGATGCTGTCATCCCAGCGCTACCATCAGGCGCCCCAAGACTATGTCGATACGCGCCGCAACAGCATTCACCACCCTCAACCGCAGCCTGCCGCCGTCCGCGTTCCTCTGCGCGAGTCCAACGGCAATGCCAATGCCCAGGCGCATAGCCTCAACGGCATGATCTCTTGCTATCAAAGCCCCGTCGCCATATCCCCTTCCATGCCGTTACCTCCTCAGCACATCCAGGCTCCCATGGTTCCCTCACAGTCCTTTGATTGCCTCTACCGTGTGCCCACCCCTCGCCAGCCTCAGCCCCAGCCTCAGCAGCGCTATCAGCGCAAGCCGCGAAGCGACATCAACCCCCTCTACTTCTGGCCTGCTTTCCGCCAGTACCGCAACAGACAGGCGCACAAGGATACCCAAAAGGACAAGGGTGGCGTATGGCGCCGCCCGGAGCTCGAAGATGCCTTCGTCGACTGTAAGTGCCACGCAGACTTAGGTCTTTGTATGAGATGCGTGACTGACACGAGCTTCAGCTGTCTTGCTCATGCCTCACATGGGCCGCCGCAAGTTTTCCATGGGCGGAAAGCTTCATGGCCGTAACATGCTGATCAGCGAGTACATCTTTACCCTCTGCATTGCAATTCTTGGCAGCAAGGAAATCTTCCGCATCGACAACAGCAATGACAGCATTGAGCAGATGGGACGTAAGCAGGTCTCCAGCCACATGCAGGTCGTCAAGAAGTTCTTTGAGGACCTGCGCTGCTTCCACTTCCTCTTCCCCTCGGAGGAGAAGAAGGAGCCCGGCTCGACCAACTCGGAAGACTACTACGACGAGGAGGAGCAGGAATCCTTCAAGTCAAATCCCATCCTCACCGCCCTCGCCGAAGGTCGCGTGCCCGAGGTCAAGCCCAACTACGCCTACTTTTCTCAGCTGTTGGCCCTCCAGTCCTACATTACCGTAAGGCCCAAGACGTGCGAGATCTTTGTTTCGTCTTCCGACATAAGAATTCGCGACGAGATTGCCTATGACATCCATGATACCCCCCTTGACCAGGCTTCTTTCCCCCACCTGAACAAGTACAACAACTGCGATGACAGCCCAAACGTGCTCGGCAAGGATGTGCTCCTTCATGAGTACACCCGTTCACTCGATCACTCCACTTCGGCGTCAGTCAAGGCTGTCACCCGCCGCTGGCAAAAGGACGCACCGGCAATGTATGAGAGCCTGGACCTGCCCTCGCGCGACGAGGAGTGCCTTCTCCTCGAGATGTGCGCCACTCTGGAGCTGCACGAGCACGCCAAGTTCCCCTCCGGCTCCGAGCTGACGGGCTTCGTCGAGGTGGCCATCACACAGCAAGCTCTGCAGAACCACCAGTGGAAGTGCGTCACGCGCCTAACGCGCCCTGCTGAGCTCCATGGTGACGAGTCGGACCACACCACTGTCTACACCAACGAGAGCGGCATTCACCGCCGCGGCTGCAGCGACTCCAAGCCCGACTGTGACTGCCACGCGCGCTCCCGACAGGACATCCACGTGCCCTTCCCGGCCGTGGAGTGGGCCAGCATTCTGAGCATGGCCGTGCAGTACCCGGACACGGAACATCAGCGCGCTCGGGAGAAGCGCGGCAAGACGGGCGCCGGAAGCAAGAAGCATGAGCTGGAGCGCGCTGGAAGCAAGCGCAAGCGGTCCGAAGATGAGGGCGACGCGGCTTCGTGGGCGCGCCGTGAGCCCACGGGCAGTGACCTCATTTGCAAGGTGGCCATGTACCAGGAGTTGTGGTCGCGGGCGCCCGACTCCCCGCAGTGGCAGCGTCAGGGCATCATCTTTTGGCGCTTCAACACGACGAACCAGTGGTACAAGTACGAGCCCGTCTTCAAGCCGGCCGGCACCTCGTGGCGCTGGCTCACCATCAACGACCCCATGTCGCGCTACCACCAGCAAAAGGCGCTCGTCTACCCGCCGGCAGGCGTTCCGCGCGACGCCATCATGTCGCCCACGCCCACCGTCGGCCAGCACCTGACGGCAGCGATGAGCGAGACATTTCACTCGGCCTGGGACCAGCACCAGCATCATGGCGGAAGTGGTGGCCCTGGTGGAAGCGGCATGCCGCACGTGCCCACGCTGCAGACGTCAGGCAATAGTATGGGTCTGTTCGACTCGTTCTCGAACGGCCTGGCTACGCCGCCGCCATCGGCTACGATTCCCCCGGCGCCGTACTCGACCGGCAGTTTCGACTCGGGAGCCATGGGTGCTGCCGGCTTCCTGCCATCCAACGGCGGTGTGGCTCATCACCAACCGCAGCAGGCTGACTCGCGCCACGGATCGGTCAGCCTCGCTTCGGCCCCTTCGTACTTTGACGGTGTCAGCGGCGCGGTGTCCTTCGCCGAGGTGAAGCCCGCGCTGCCTGCTATCGTCACCAACTACACTACCGCCGCCCCCGGCACCGGCACTGGCGTTTATGATGACTCGCCGTGTGATACCACCAACCTGCAAGGCTGGGACATGCCCTCGCTGGATCCGTGGGCGGCGGCTGGCGGTGGCCCCACGCCGACATCCTCGACGGGTGCGCCGCAGGACTGGCCCGGTCCGCAGCAGCAGGCGGGCATCAAGATGGAGCAGCAGCATCAGCAGCAGCATGCTGACCACCAGGGGATGTGGGCGTCGCAACAGTGGGACGTCCCCGGCAGCGGGGGCGCCGGATCGAACAGCAACGGCAGTCCCCGGCAGATGAAGAGGCGCAGGACAGACGTGGATGGCCATGTGCCCGTGTCAGCTGGCTGGTAGGAAAATTTCGGAGGATGGAAAGCCAGCAAAAAGAAAAAAAAAAGGATAGAAGCGAGTGTGTCTTGCAGCGCCACTAGTTGGTCTTGAGGGGGCCTTGTATGAAACATTTTTGGACGGGCGAAAAAAGGTGTACGAGTGGGCTTTGGTTCTTTTCCTTACATTCACACGATGGGTTTTTTTTTAAATAATCGACTTGGAAGCGAGGGATGCGCTGCGGCGCCTCTGGAGTTTTGGATGGAGTTTTTCTCATTGGGCTTATTCTCTTCTTCACATATACAATAGCCTTTATTTTACCCTTTTAGTACCTTTATGACTACAATAATATATGATGATCAAGACAGCTTCTCTCTTTGTATCTCTGATCTGCTTACTGTGACGTGTCTTTTCTTGAAATGTTTAATTACCTTTATTTTACTATTTTGAAATGCGATGGGCTAGAGTTGAAGGAGGGAACTCAATACGAGCAAAAAGGCGACCAACACTAGTAGCAAAGTCTCGTGCAACCTGGAAAAAGACCTTTCGGCGGATTCATGGGAAGGAGAAGGAGTAAATCCGCGGCAGAAGATCGGACACCATGGCGGGCATGTCTTGGGTTCGTTCGGCTTTGCGCGGCGTTTGGCATGGTGAGAGGAAAGATGGGAAGAGTCCGAGTGAGACAAGCATGCAAGCACTTAGACGTAAAGTGAGACGAGGCTTAATCTTGGCTCACTTTGGCTCTCCGAAGAAAGCGACGAGGGAGAGGGAAAACGTGGCATGAACAGGGCGCAAGTGAAGATGCGTGAATCAGAATATTCTAGAGCTTGGCGAGTTGAAGTATGGTGTGGGTTGCATGTTAGTGGTGGTGGTGGGGGGTGGGAAGGTTTATCTCCGAGCGAGAACAAGAGCATGTGGTTTTGAAGGTATTGAGATACAAGATACGAAGAGGGTCGAGTTGCCAAGATCGGCCCCTCGTGAATAGAGGGATGGGTGTGGGCTCTGAGACTTTGGTTGGCCAAGGTCGTGGCTTGCCCTTCTGACGGGCTTAGTGCGGGCCATGCACGCCATGCAGACAGGTCCCGGCAGCTTTTTCTTTTGGCCGATCTGATGATTGGTTTGTTTCCGCCACGGAAAGGACGTCGTCCGAAGGAGGTGAGGACCACACCCATGAGAGAGGAGAGAGCTGGCTAGCCTTCAGTGTTGAAGAAAAGAGGTGGAGGGGTGAGGTGAGTTGTGTGCGGGGATATGAGATGTGATGTAGAGTGAGGCTGGGTGGTAGTGGTGCTTCTCGTAGGATTCGCGAAGGATGGAAGTTGTCTCTGTCTTGCATGATATTAGCGTTGACGTGTGTGGTGGTGGTGTAAGTGTGTGGGCGGGGGAGGGGTCATGATGTTGGCTTTCCGACGGCGCTTTACGAGTTGTGCTAAAGAAAAGAGACACCATAAGATAGTCGAATATTATAAATGACGACGACTTCATGATGGCTCATAATAGTCGGTTACATGTGACACTGGCTCCGGCATGCAAATTTGTGTCGAAAAAGCTGGTGGCTGGAGCGGCGGCAACTTGGGATCGAAGCGGCCGTTTGACGGAGCGCCATCTAGTGTAGGAATTGGTCTGGGCTAGGAAAAGATGGCGTTGTCGTCTTTGGAGGAGGTCCGAATAGGCCCGGGGACTTTTGGGCGGGTGCATAACGCATGGTGGTAGGGGGGGTTGCAGTTTATGGTTGGTGTAAGAGAGAAGAGGAGAGCTGGGGGAGGAGGAGGAAAGGTGAGACCATGTTGGGAAGCGCCGAGGATTGTGATTGGCTGGATTGAAGCCAATCAGGTGGAGGGGAAGAGAGGGGAGAACCAGGTACTTGGAGAGTTGGCAGTTGCTCAAGTGGTGAGAAGGAAATGGAGGGACAAGAAGAGAAGAAAATAAGGTACAAGAATGGAAGAGAGAAGAACAGAACAGAAAGAAAAAAAAGGGCATTGTCGTTCTAACAAGCGTGATAGTTGTGGATAAGGAGACAGCAGATGATGTAGATGGGGTATGTAGTTCCTTTGGTGGTGAGATTACGCGGGGAGGGCAAACAAGTCTTGTGTAAGCAAGCTGTCGCGCAGATACCAAACAGCTGGGGAGCAGAAATCAGATCGACAGAAAAAGCAAAGAAAAGAGAAACATATTTGATGCAGATGTGGGAACTGGATGGCTAGTCATGAACGTTGAAGCCCCGGATGGGCGCTTATGGAGGCGAGTATATGCAGGGATACAGATATATTAGTGCCTGATGCTATCCTGAGTAGGTAGGCGCTGGCCGATAGAACCAGTACCGCGTCACACTGCAGCGGTGCGAGGGATTAAAAAGTAAGAGAATAAAAAGAATAAAAATAAAGAGAGAATAAAAAAACCAGGTGCGACTGTGGTACAACAAGGGATGAGACTTGATGAATCTGGTACCTGAACGGAAACATTTTTGATCTCGTCTCCATTGTCCTGTCGGTCCTTGGCGCAGCCCCTTGCTACAGGGCGGCAAAACTCAAAGTGGTGGCTGGCCAGATATCATCACGAGGAGGAGAAGGAAAAAAGACGAGAGAATTCGGAAAGATCGGAAGCAAGAATAAAAACTTGTTTATTTTTGGTTTGGACTTTTTTACTATTCGTGACCTATTCACACGACCAGTCCGTACGAGTAGAGCTGGCCATTTGCTTCAGCGTTTGCAGCCCCCGTCGAAATCGATTGGCTGGGCAGGCATCAGGGTTTTGGCCCCACTGCATCTGATGAAACGGCATCTGCAGCCCCAACAATGAATTGAATTGAATCACAATGGGCCGCCTTGTATTATTTCCACCACCAACCAACCAACCAATTGTTTCCTTTATTGCCGATATACCATAGATGCTATAGCTTACCTGTACCATGATGGAAAAACGATTTGCGCACAGACATCCCATCCACGACACAACCCCTCCGTTTCTTCCGTAGCCCCCCCGGCGTCTCAGACCCGTTCCCGTACTGCCGTCCTGCCGGGGCCTGCCTGGCCTGCCTGCCTGGTCTGGGCCTGCTCGACCTTTGGCCGCCAATTCATCTGATAGGCTCTCCGCGTCTGAATACTCATACCATTATCGCCTCCTCTGCCTCCTCCCCCATTCAACGAGATGAAAAAATAGCTGGAGAGGGAAAAAAAATGAGCTCACCGAATCGTCACACCTTTGCCCCCCGCGGCAACGTCTCAAGCTTGTACACACATGCTATTTTCCCTCCTTTCATTCCTTTTTCTTATAACAGAATCGATACTTGCGGTACCGCGTGTTTCCTCACGTCATTCATCCATCTATTGTACCGACTTCTCGTCCTTTCAACCGCCCTGTCCCACTCGCCTCCCCCATCAGCCGCCTTGATCAACCAATATACCCTCCCTTGCACTGCGGCGTGTCGTCAGATACGACCTGCTGGCATCTTGCACTACATCTATCCATCTTCCCTTTAAAAACAACAAGACCTTGACTCGCTTTTCAAACCTTTTCACATTAAACACACTCGCCTTTCTCTCAATTTGCTCCGATCTTGACGTGCTTGAGCTGCTCTCCTTTTCCGCTCCTCAAAATCCTGCCTCCAGCAAATCGACAAAAGCATGATATTCTAGCAAGCACGCTCTCTGGCTTTGTATGTTTCCGTGTTGTCGCATCTTCATCCCCCCTCGACCTCGCTACCCCTCCAAGAGTCACGCAAGCACAGGCTGGAACTGTGTGATTCACTCTCACATATCGCCCTTTCGCTTGTTTCTCACCAGCATATTCTATTCGACAGGCACCGTTTGTTGCACTACCAAACATCAACCTCGCCAAACGAGGCAGAAAAATAGTCTAACGATCAGACCAGCAAACAAACACGCTGCTAGCTGCCTGGCCACCTTTGCCAGCTGCCAACCGTCACCTCTCGCTCAAACAAAAGCAAAACAGAGGATACAATAACAATACCAAAAATCCATCTTCCTGACGGATCTTTCATCGCTGGCTCTCGATCTTTGACACATCTCGGCCAGCCTCTGCCTATTTACAGCAGCCTGCCCCGAGACTCTCCTCTCGCTGTATTCACCACCTACACCACTTAGTCACTCCTTTGCGTCACTCGTTGACATTGATACCTTCTCCTGGCGAGAAGCAAACACTCCTGTACTTGAAGCATCCATCCAATTTCTCTCTTCAAACGCTCCTTGACTCGAGATAGCGGGCAGCCATCTACCTCCCTCTTCAAAACGAGCTCCTGATACCCAAGATGCGTCCGCAACCATCCACACCCTTGGCCCTGCTCGCCGCTGCCACTATCGCCCGCGCACACTCCTGGGTTGAGGTAGTGCATCGCATCGCCCCGGGCGGCGGCTTTGTCGGGGACCCCGGCTACGCTCGCGGTTGGGTCTCACGCGACTCGAAAGACCCAGTCTTTAGCGACAAGATCCCACAGCACCTGCTGCCGGACTCAAGCGCATACACCGGCAACGAGATCCTCAACAAGTACCCCTATACGGACAAGCCGAACTTTCCCATGCTACAGGCCGCGCCCGGCGACTACATCGCCCTGCTGAACTTCGAGAACGGCCACGTGACGCTCAACGCCCAACCCAAGAAGCCGCTCAACCGCGGCACCGTCTTCGTCTATGGCACTGCTGACCCAAAGCCTGAGGAGCGCCTCTTTGACGTGCACCTCGCCTGGACCCGCGACGGCACCGGTGGCGACAAGCGTGGCCGCCTGCTCCACACCCGCAACTACGATGACGGCCAGTGCTATGAGCCGAACACCAGCCCGCGCAAGGAGGAGCGCGTCAAGCAAGGTGCCGCCGAAGGCGCCGTTGACACCAAGGCGCTGGCCTGCCAATCGGACCTCCAGCTACCCGAAGACCTTAAGCCTGGCTCCACGTACACGCTCTACTGGTACTGGGACTGGCCGGACCTCGACCCCGACCACATCGATGTGGCGGCCACCAAGAACGGCAAGTTTCCCTGGGCCGGTACCTTCCAGCGCGGCGAGAAGGACCCCAACGGGTTCACCCTGAACGCAATCTCCAAGAACGAGAGCTACGCGAGTACTGTGGACATCAAGATCATCGAGGCCGCGCAGCTCCCTGGCGGCGCCGGCGCCGTAGCCAAGGCCGCGGCCGGGTGGAAGTCGGACGCCAACATCTACACGCAGGCAATCAAGGCGCAGATGGCCAACAACTACCAGGTCGACGTTGACGGCAACGGGGCCACCGGCGGCGGCAGCGCGACTGCCACGGCGACCGCCTCGTCGGCTTCTACTCCGGACGCCGCTGCTCCTCCCTCCACGCCCGCCGGCGGCCCGGTCACCACTAGCAGCGCCAACCCAGTCCCCCACCCCGCCGCGCCCACCTCGACCCTGACGGCGCCGTCCGCCGCACCCGCCGGCAGCGGCAGTGGCGGCGTCACGGTGACCACGACGGTGACGCTGCCGGCCAAGACCGTCGTCGAGACTGTCTACGTCACCGCGTCCGGCCCCCCCGCGAGCAGCGCCAGCCCGGACTCCAGCGTGACCGGGCGCTCCCAGCCGGCCGTGTACGCCAACATGCCCATCCCCCGCGACGCGCCGCCGGCTACCGTCACCGAGAAGCACACGTGCGTCGCGACGGTCACCAAGATGGTGCCCAAGGCGGATGCGTCCGCCCCTCCTCCTCCGGGGCGTCGACGCAGGCACCTTCTTCAGTGATGCGTCCCAAAAAAGTGCCGGGCCTGGAAAGGAAGAAGGCCGGTGTAAGTTGAAAGAAGAAGGAGGACGTACTTGATTTTTGTTGCTGTTTTGAGTCACATTTTCTGATGCAGATTACGCCATACCAGTTGGCAGAGAACTTTTTGTCCCCTGTTTGTTTTGAGTTCGTTTATACCAAACCGTACATGGTGCCCTTCGTTTCTCACTGTTATATTTTCTCTCTCTTTTTCTTCTTCATCATCCTCTATATTTTGGACAAGTTGCTGGTCCAACGCAGATAAGAAAATAAATTGGATGTTCCTTCTTCTTACCCCCCCCTCATTGTATATGACTTGTGATAAGGCCCATGATTCGCCTCACATGATGTTGCTGTCGTTGCAAGATGACCGGTCCCCTGACATGATGGTGTAGCTGCAAGATGACCCGACACCCGTTACATCTCGCCGCACTGCGCGATGACGACGTCCAGGTTCGGCACGTCCTTGCCCTTGTAGCCCGTCTTGGTGGCCTCCATCCGGCGGACCACGTCCATGCCGTCGACGACCTTGCCGAAGACGACGTGCTTGCCGTCGAGGAAGGGCGTCTGCGCGGTGGTGACGAAGAACTGGCATCCGTTGGTGTTGGGGCCGGCGTTCTGCGAGTGTGTTTGTGAGCGGCAATGCCAAAGAGACGAAAGGACCGAAGAGGAAAAAGGAAAACATACAGCCATGGATAACAGACCGGGTTGGTCGTGCTTGAGGGTAAAGTTCTCGTCCGCGAACGACTTGTGGCCCCAGATGCAGGTCGAGCCGCTGCCGTCGCCGTTGAGAAAGTCGCCGCCCTGGCACATGAAGTTGGAAATCTGCTCGCGTCATTAGCTCACAACTTTCCTTAAAAAAAGGGCTCACCGGAAAACACACGATGCGGTGAAACTTGGAGCCCTTGTAGCCTTGGGGCCGGCCGACGGAGTCCTTGCTCTCGCCGGTGCAGAACTGGCGAAAGTTCTCGGCCGTCTTAGGGACGACGTCCTTGAACAGCTCAAACGTGACCCGTCCGAGCGGCTCGCCTGTATCCCGATATATTTTGGTCAGGTTCAAGTCAAGGCTGAGATGAGATGGGAGAGGTGGGCGGAAAACGTTACCTCCGAGGGTGATGTCGAAAAAGACCCTGCATGAGGCCCCGAGTTAGCATTCGTCGTATATGCTCTAACATGGGAAGCACGTACAAAGGGTTTCCCGATTGGGGTAATTGTGTAGGCGCCATCCTTTTCTCTTTTCTCTATAGTACTTGTTTGTGGGTGAGGCTCGCGTCGTCGGCTTGTCAGGACAAGCACAGCAACGTTTAAGACTGGCGGGTCTTTGCTAGGTGCCGGGTATCAAGGGGGCGTGTTTATAAAATCAAGATGAACACTAAAAGGATAAAAAGGCTTTTTGAAAACGGTTGTTGGTATCGATTGGAGATGGGGAATAGAAAAAGCCAAACAACGCTTCAACCATGAAGGAAGTTGTCGCGACCAAAGTGGGGAACCGCTTTTGGCTCTTATTAATGGGCCTAAAAGTTAGATCTAGGATAGATAGAGTTTATGGCTTATAGGTTGCCCGGAACTGTATAAGATCTCGAAATGATGGTCAAAGTTTTTAAGCGTTTTTTTTTTCTAAAAAAAGGTCTTTTAAGGTTATGGTGCTTCAGCTGACTACCTTGTGGTTTCTGGGAACGGGTCGACACTAATAATGCAACAGCTTGGAAGAGGCGCCGCATTCACAGTACAAGTTGGAGGATGCCGCGGAGAAATTACGAAATAAATATATAGCGGTTTTTAAAAAGGAGGAATCAATAACAGAAATGGTGAAGAAGCAGAATGTGTAGATATTGAAAGTCGAAAACATACCGGTACTTGTGGCACCCGGCCTGCAGAATAGCCGTCCAGTCGGACCGCTGATGAGCTTCCAATTTTTGTGTCAAGACTTTTGGCTTTGAGCTTATTAGTGAAGAAGGGGCTAGAATTTGGACTGAACTGTAAGTGGAAAGTAGTCCCGAAAGAAATAAGCATGGCCGATGCGAGGAGTAAAGCATCTCGATCCATCTTGAACTTGCGCGTTCAAGAGGACAGGACACATTCTGTGAACGGAAAGTATTGTAGCGTTGAGGCAAGTTACTAGGTAAAAACACGTTGACATAAGAAGGCCGTTTACAACAAGACAGACGTCCATGATGAGAAGAGGTCAATAGAAATAGCATGTAAAGTGAGCGCCATTATACGCGGTACTCTGCACATCCCCCGAGCTTGCAACACAAGGCCGTCATATCTAGATTGCTTCAACACGCCGCTTCATTATGAATATAAATGATCGCAATCTCATTCGAAATAGGCACTATGGGGCGCATCGGTGTTGCGTATGGGACTGCCGCGGCTGCGGAAGCATGCACGGTCGAGGCAAACAAGCGCGGCCGCGGGCATGGTGGCGCGACGGGCGAAGAAGAAAGAGACAGCCTTTGCTGACAGAGATAACAAGCCCATAAAACATTTCCCGTACATGTGGGCAGTTGAGTGAGTGACAAAGAGGCGCACCTGCTGACGAGGTCCGTGAGATGAATTGCGTCGGGGCCAGCAAACGGATAGATGCCAAGAATGACGTGGGTCACCTGGCCTATGCCGCGGCGAGAATTAAGCCTTATTCCTGGCAGCAGTCACTCAGCTCGTCCAGGATAAACGAAGAAGAATGGTTGCTACGGAAAGAATATGCAGAGTGCGTCGTACGCATGTATCGACATCGTCTAGGGGTTGTCTGCACACCGGAACGGTTTTGGGGAAAAGGAGCACATATTGCTTAGGATTGTACACCCGGCTGCGAGCCCATGGATAGCCAGGGGCGAAGATTTTCGCTATCCGAGCTGTTTCGTTAATGATTGAGCGTGGACTAGGGTAATACATTCGACAGCGCTTTATCCTCGCAATGCTCCACGTGCGCATCGGACAAGGCACGGCAAGGTTATTCGGGCTGCCCCCTTTGCGTGCGTTTTTGATTGACCAGAACAAGGGCATGACATCCGTACCAGGGACAAGGGGATCACACAAGGGTAAAAATAGAAGCACTCTAATTTCTCGGGCGAGACAGGACAGGATGCGGGAAGCCTGTTCACTTTTTCGTGTGGTCGATGAAGAACCAGGCCGCATTGCCAAAAGGACACGAGATGGGAGAAGAGAACTTTTCTTCTTATTTCGCTACGAGGGCCGTGTCTTGGGCTGAGAAAGGGGGCGAGACCTGGGGACTGACTTAACAGGGAACCTGGAACCATGTCGTCTGCAGCAAGTAAATTTATACGGATCACGAAGTATCTGCAGCAGTAATGATAAACGGATACATTAATTCGCACGGATACTTCGTATCGACATTTGTTTTACTGGCAGGCACTCATGCATCATAGTACGGATAGCAGCGGTGTTGTTGACGTAACTAATTTGTAGAATGCCGCCGTATGGAAAATCGGCACAGAGCGCAGAACCGTGCGTCTTGAGCGACGGCAACATGCCGAGAGCTATGGAACAAACACATGTACGACTTGATGATAGGGGGCAAACATGCCCCTTTTTGTGAGAATGCGTCGGCGTCTGTCAGTTCGCCTCACGTGTGAAGTAGAGATCAGGATGCAGCTGCAAATCGGCGCTAATAAGGGATCCCGGCGATGCATATTTTTTTTTTTGGGGATTTTATCAATGGCGAAATATTCTTACAAGACATTGCGAGGGACATGGCACGCAGACGTTTACTGGGCAGGGCTGGCTCATACCAGTCCGCGGTTCTGTTTGACGGTAGAGACCGATCATACACGCCAACTGAGACAGTGATTCAGAGATAAAAAGTTCTTTTCTTATCATTATTGGCAGCATGGCACGGTCGCCGATGTCGCCAAGTCAAAGAGGTGTATTTCCGCATTAACGGAACTCTGTGCTGGGCTAGATGCAAATTCTTGGGTGTTTGTGGATTTGTCCCTTATCTCTGACGTTAGAAACTCTGTCCTATTTCTTTTGATACAAATCCTATCATCATCAGCATGACAGTTATTAACTGGAGTTATAGTGCCAAGTTACTTCAGCGGTGGTTGGGCTGACGAGGACATGGCGGAGGGCGCTAAAAAGGCAACCCCGCCCACTCGCAGGAGGGCTCGAAGAAGAAGCCCCGCCTCCACGTCTGGGAATGTCAATGTCAACGGCCAACGAAAAAAAGACAAAGACTCATCCGGCTGCTCGGAATTGAAGAGCAGTGCAAGAAGAGGCACTGAAACAAGAACGAATAGACGGAGACGAAGAGACGGCGACGTTCATTCTTTCTCAAACCCGTATTGTCTAGAGTAAGAAAACTAGGCCGCGCCAAGACGGGGTCGCGTTTGAGGTTGGCTGAGAGGTGCTGTTTCTTCTATACGGAGTTGGTAGTATTACTGTTAGTAGTTAGTACATCGGTAGTTATCAGTTTTACAGTGCAGCGGTGCTGGTAACTTTTGGCTTGATGGGCAACGAGTCTGTCGCCTGCATTGCATCGCCTTGCATTTGCATTTGTAATTGCGTTTGCCCTTTGCGATTGCGTGAAAAGCTGTCGCGTGGTTCGTCTGGCCAGGGCTGGGCGGCCAAGACAGCTCGCCCGGTCACTATGGGGGCCCCAAGCCATTGCGGCTTATTCGTTGCTCATCCTCCCGGGGCTGTCCAGAATCTCTCCGTGTGTGCACTGCTGCGTCATGATGCGCACACCCAACATCTGCAGCGGGCTATCTCGAGTACCGACTCTTTGATTTGCGTGTCGTCGGCGCGACGCCATCGGGGCGATGCTCGACTGCCGGCAGCCGATTCCCCCCCTTCTTGATGGAAGAAGATAGACCGAGGGGACCCCAACCCGTTGTTCGTTTTGGAATCACACGTCAACTGACTGACGCCTCGTTGTTGGGGCCGCCCGGCGCTTGGCCGTGGGTGCTAAAATACTGGGGATGTGGCGGGCGCGGGCGACGCTACGGGAAGGCCGGATGATGCGCCATCCGAGGTGAACATTATCAGTTGTATCCGTAAACATCGAGGGAGATGAAAGAATCTGTGGAATCATGATTTTAGCCATAGCCAGACTGATACGTGCCCGACAAACCAAATTGGCCGCTCCGCGCGAGACGGACGCTGCACAGCCATTGTGTTCGCTGTGTTTGGGCGATCCCCCTCCCCCGGTGTCTGCGCTGTCACCAGGAAGTGGAAAAGTGGACTGATGACCCTGCTTCTCCAGATAATAATGGTGCTTGTAGAGTTGCATCAGGATGGGTATTGTTCGTCATGGAACGATGCGAAGCATGGATGAACAACATTGGCGGGGTAATTACACCGAGTTGTTTGTACCTGGAGCGCCTCGATGAACCGGTTAGACAAGAAAGGCCAAGCCGTCAACGCCAACAGTTGCTACCAGCACAGATCGTGAAAGGGGAGGGTATAACAGAAGGAGCTGTTTGGCTGGGTGTGATTGAGTTGGCCCGAGGCGGGCAGGTAGCTGATGTCTCATTGCGCAATCACTTGAGACAGGAGGGGACCAAGCCCTAGTGCCTTGTTGCTGCTGGCCAAATCAGCCCACGTTTTTTCTTCGGTTGACGATGCAAACGCAGAGTCACCAATTTTGGTTAGCCAAACGGATAATGGCCGCGGCGTAAAAGAAAGTACGATCAGGAGGCCTAAAAAGGACAAGGGAAGGAGAAAAAAAAAAGGAAAAAAAGGGCATTCAGTCTGGCTGACGCCGCCGACTCGGCGGTCATATACTCGAGTCAGGCTTGATGCCGACGCCTCCTCTCCCAACAGCGGCTGGCTGCGACGTGGACTGGGGGAGTGGAAACGTCAGGAGCTTCAAGAGGATGGATGGAATATGAGTGTGGCTCAGCTCGAGTGGTCTGTTTTTCCCTTTTTTTTTTCATTGTTTTTTTTCTGCCTTTGGAAGAAGCAATTGAGGCAGCAACTCTCACTGGAGGACCTAATTGGTGTGCACTTTTGCGTGTGGCAGACGGTGCGGTTATTTTGCGCCACTGAGGCTGTGTGCATACGGAGCCTGAGTTCAATTTCAGTAAGCTAATTCGTAGTTTTTATTATCACCGAATACAGCAGACCAGGCCACGACCAGTGGATGCTGCTTGTCTCAGTACGCGGGCTGCAGATGTTGACCCCTCGATTGAGCGAATTGAGCGAATTCACAACGTCTGGAGCAAAGGAAAGCCCACCTGGTTTGTTTGTGAGACCTGGGCGTTGCTTGTTTGGCGGTAAAATAGAACTTATGCGTGTACCCGTCCGATGCTCCGATGCTACTAAGTTGGGCGGTATCACACACGATGCGAGCCACACTTCGTCATCGTCCGTGACACCATTTTATTCCCACGTAATTCTTGTACACTTTGGGTTGGATCTTTGTACCCTTCTTACGTTCAATTATTTGTGTTTCTTCTCATTGCCACAAACAGCTGAGAGACGACTTGTGGCTGGGTACTGGTGCGGCCTAAAATAACCTGCCTGACTAGCCCTAGCACGGTAAGGTACCTGCAAGCTTGACTGTTCACTAAAACGACAGGGGAGCCAGCTGTTAGCGCTATGCTTGCACCCACTACCAGAGCCTAACGGCAGAGGTGGAGCCCGTCAACCAGCCATTCTGCATGCAGCGCAGCTCCCGCGAATGTGTTAACATGATCTGTAATAATTAAGGAGGGCGTTAGTTAAGTGCCCATGCTTAAGATGCTCTTCCAAATCTATTACTCCATATGGGTACCGCTGGCCACCTAAAAAGAAGCCGCCTCTTGGCTGGCGACGCCGCTCTTCCCCTACCAGTATCCACTCTCCCTGCACTCCGCAAAACGCCTTCTATTCCTCCAGCTCTCTCTCCTCGCCTCTCCTCTTGTCCCCCCCAAAAGAGTCCAAAGCCCAGCCCCAGTCAGCCAAGTCTATTCGTACGCCATCATCCATCCATCCCTCTCCCACGGCCACCAGCGCCGCCCCATCCGCCCTCTCTACCTCTACCAACCTTCTCGCCCACCCGCTCACCCGTTCCTATACATCATCTTTCCATCCTCCATCCATCAGCGTCGACGCAGATCCCGTTTCTGCCCATCCATCGCCTCATTTGTCACTTGCTGACGCTTGTCGACAACGTCCACGATATTTATTCACCTCTCCGACCTGTCCGCCGCCTCCGACTTCTTTTCTTCCGACCAACCTCGACACCACTCCTCATCTGTCGCCAAGGGACACTGCCACGACGCTACATCTTCAACGTTCCCTTCCAACGGGCGCTTGGTTGGTGCGCCGTGCCCGCTACATTTGCATGAAGTCTCCCACTTGCCGCCTTCAGGCCCTTGCCCACCTCCTCACGACGACTTGATTCAACAATCACCTCTGCGATTGCCTCCCAGTCCTACTGCTCCAATCTCACCTTCTCACCGTCGCCATCATGACGATTCTCTCCGACTTCGTCATCGAGGCTACGCATATCGCTGTTCGGGCCGCCACCGATACCCCGTCTCCCACCGCCAACTCGTCCACCATTTCAACCACATCGAGCCTGCCCACCGATTCCAACTTTCAGAACAATAAAAACTCGGACAACAACAGAGGCAGTTCGCCGCTCCTATTCTTCGTCGCTCTAGGCTTCGGTGTTGTATTCACTAACCTCTGGTAAGATAAGCCCTTTTCGCCCCTCTCGATATTGGAGTCCACTGGGTGCCAACTGTGCCAACACGTCCTAACTCGTGCCACAGGATCATCGTCGGTGTCAAGTATTGCTTCCGTTACAATGCCCGTAACCGCGCCCGCCTTGGTGAAGATGGCGAACCCCTGCCTCTGGAAAATATGCCCAGACCTCATCGTCGTCGTCGCGAAAAGAAGCTCATGACCATGGACGAGGTCAATGATAAATTTCCTATGATGAAGTACAAGACGTGGGTTATTGAGCGTGCACGAGAAGGTTTACCCACTGCTGGCGGCGTAGACTTGTCCGCCAGCAGACCAACCAGTATCCACAACGTTGAAGCGGTTTCATCGGTTCCCATCACAAAAGAGCGCCAGTCGACAGACGAAGCAAACCCGGCGCCAAATAGCCATGAGCCTGTTGCTGCGACCGAAACTAGAGCCGATGAGAAGCCAACTGAGACGGAAAAGGATAAACCAGCTAAGAACACTGACGCTATCGAATCTGCCGGACAGACCTCGACCGCTGCACTTCCCAAAACTGACGACGTGCAACGCGTTGAAAGCCACGAGGACGACCAAGACGATGACGACGAACACATCAACGCCGCCTTGCCCCCCGAGTGCCTTGCTGCGCCCGGTGATACCTGTGCTATTTGCATTGACACGCTCGAGGACGACGATGACATCCGTGGCCTTACCTGCGGCCATGCCTTCCATGCTGTTTGCGTTGACCCCTGGTTGACGAGCCGTCGTGCTTGCTGTCCGCTCTGCAAGGCAGACTACTACACGCCCAAGCCTCGGCCCAATCAGGATGGCGATGCCGCCGCCCAGACCAACCCCAGCTTAGATCCGCGCAGCAATACGCGCATGAACATGCCTAGTAGCTTTGCGTCTGCTTGGTTCCGCAACGGCCCAGCTCCTCCCCTCCGCACGAGCCGACGCTCAAGGACCAACACAACCGAGACACCCGCGGATCAACCTACCGAGTCTTTCAGTCGCAGCATGGTGTCATCTATGCGATCCGCTATGCGGTTTGGCCGCAGGAATAATGCCGCCCAACCCGAGGCACCCGCCCCTGCCGCCACAGCAGAACCAACGCCGGCTCAATTAGAGTCTGGCACCAGACCTCACGTTGTGGCGTAGAGTCGCTGCGGTCTGCCCGCCCAATACCATTAACGACATCCTCATTACGACCTCTATTCATCACCTCCATCGCTCCCACAAGGGGAGCGTTGTCCCCAGCTCAAAAAATCCTCACAACAAGACCGGGTCTGCGCCTGTACATCACTACGCCGCCTGCTCCTACTTGCATTTTCTCACACGTCACATATCCCACGGCACCAAGCCACACTAAAGCGGGAATGTCTTTGATTGGCGGTGTTAAAATGGCTTTGCAATCGATGACTTGTTGGCTGCGGATTTGATTATACCGCGGAATCTTGATCTCTGCGGCGAGGCATGTTTCACTCTGGAGAGTGAGCCGACATGCCCATCCACGCCTGTACATGAAGCACGCAAAATGCGCTTGGGCTGAGTCGATTAACCTCGGTTCTGCTCTTCTGTTTATTTATTTTCAACTTGCATTGTCACTTGGAAGGATACGGCAGCAACGGGTTTGTCCTTGCTATTTTTTGTCTCTTTCGCTTTTTTTTGGGATTAGTTGAAATCTTTGTTTATTTTGATAGCGGCGGAGTTTTGGCTTTGATGTGGCATACTAAATAGCCCCTCGGAGGTATATATACACACGTGTTACATTGTGAATGCCTTTGATCCCTCGTGTGTTTGGAGAAGTTGTTGCTCGCGAAGTCCCAGCTGCAGATGTATTGTAAACAAAGGGTGTACCATGCTATTTACGAATTGTTACCGTAAAATACAAGGCCTGTCTGTCTGTTACAAAAACGAGCCCTTCTGGAAACGCCCACCAAAGTTGGCGCTTTTGGCGACCAACTCCCTGCGCTGCGCCGAGCCAATCTTGCTCCCGAGCGCCATGTCCTTTTCCCTATCAAACGCCCTCTTGCTCGGATCATCGTCCTCCACCTTGGCCTTGCCCCCCTTGTTCGCACCGCCACCGCCCTGGTGCTCGTCGTACAGGCTCCTGCCTCGACTCGCCGCGATCGACGCCGAAATCTTTTGATTCCGCGCCTCCTCCTCGCGTGCCCTCGCCTCATCCGCCGCCTTGCCGCCGCCCGCGCTGTCGGACGTGCGGCCGAGCACGGAATCCTGCAGGCGCTTCAGCTTCTCCTCGGGCGTCTCCGTCCATATCGCCGCCAGGTCCCCGCCGGAGGACGAGGAGGCGGCGGCGGCGGCGGTGCCGGGCTTGGAGGCGAACTTGCGCGCCTTGAGCTTCGTGGGGTCGCGCTCGGAGTAGCCGCTGGAGGTGGGCGGCGCGAGCATCCACGAGTCGCGGGTGGGCGCGGAGGGCGCGTCTGAGGAGGAGGGCATGGAGGGGCCGATGGGGGCGCGGCGGCGGCCGGAGGCGCTGGGGAGGGCAGGGCCGTATTGGTCGTCGGAGTCGGAGGAGGAGTCGGGGTCGGGGTCTGCTGCCGATTCTCGGACGGCAGGTGCTGGCGCAGGAGGAGGAGGGGCGGGACCAGTGTCGGAGGAAGAGGAAGAGTCGTCGTCGAGGCCGATCTCGTCCTTGTTCTGCGCACCGGCGGCGGAGGGTGGTAATGAGGGACCGAGAGATGGTCGGGAGGAGGAGGAGGCTGTGGGTGCGGGTGCGGCGCGAGGACCGTAGGAGTCAGAGTCGGAGTCGGAGCCGTCGAGGTCGATCTCGTCGTTGTTGCGGCGGGTGTGCTTGGAGGAGGAGGGGGACGCGTCGCCGGATCCGGGCGTGCGTTTGCGCTTGGCAGAGGGTTGGGGTGGGAGTTGGGGGCCTATTGAGGACATGTTGGGCTGTATATGTGTGTGTGTGTGTGTGTTGGTGTTGGTGTGAGCTGAAAGGTTAGAGGGTTGTCAGGTGAAGGAGGATGATGGGTAGTTGGGTGAAGAAATGCGCTTGTGCTGCGATTGGGTGGAGTGACGTACTTGGGCGATCCTAGGTAGGTATATAGCATTGATTTTATATACGCGGCTTGACTTAACTTGCCTAGATTTGGAGTTTGTTTAAAAACTAAAAGTAATGTTTGAATCCTTCTGTCCTCATATTTCTCTTCATCTCGTTTTCTCCTACGCTTCCCCTTGTCCTCATGCCCAATAGGTACCACGCATGCAGCCTTTCAGCTATTGCCTAAGATGCTGGGCGCTGTAGGTACATAGCCGTTCCAGGGCCGCCTTGCTGAGCTGCTTGCACCACCACGCCCCAAGAATGAGCTGGGCTCCTTGCTCTAAATTCCAACTCGCTCTATGAATTGCAGCCGTGATCGCACAAATATATTTCGTCCCTCAGCTACTGCGGGGTGCAGGACATCCTCGTGGCGGAGTAACACCGGACCGCCACCGTTGCGCGAAGCTACAGTACAGTGGGATGTACACAGGCTAACAATGAACCCACGCAGGGCTGGCAGGAGCTCAGTAACGTCGTCAAAGCTCCCCCCCAAAACGCACCCAGCCTCCTCTCATCTCTTCTTCCTCCTCATCCAACCACGACAAGCAGCCGCCCAGGCATAGGGCCAGCTATTCCTGGCTTCAATTCACAACGATACACCGCCCACCGCATCCCAGTCCCACTCAGGTTTCCAAGCTTTTCGCAATTGTTGCTCCACGCTCCACGCTCGGCCGAGAGACGGGGCCTCCTCACGCCACGCAAGCCCTCCCCCGACCGTACCGCCCTCCGGAAACCATGAAGTAATGCGACCGGCGACGCCATGGCAGATTCAGAGAACCAGCCGGCTGTCCCGTCAGAGCAGCTGGGCGACATCCCCGCGACGCCCGATGACGCAACGGCCGTCATCGTTGATCCGGTGGCCGTCGTCAACGGGGACGGCAAGGTTGACGAGCACGACGACGCTGATGTGCCCCAGCTCGAGACTGGCGACGACGGCAACGACGAAGATGCTACCAATGAAGAAGCCGTCGCCGAAACCGGGGACCAAGACGCCCACACGCCGACAACACCACTGCGGCCTCTTGCACAGCTGCAGGAAGGATCCGAGCTCGGCTCCGCGGACGCCGCCGACTCGGTAGACCTCACACCAAGGCGGATGCGCAGCCCGGTTGACTCGCTTACCTCTGCGCAGGGCATCTCGCCTTCTGTACAGGTAAGTAAATCCCCATCGTAACTGTCCTCTGGCCGTAGCGACGGCTCTTTGCTAACACGCAGGAACCAGGGCTCCCGGATATCCTCTCCTAGCAGCAGCGTGCTCCCCTCGGTCGCCTCCCGCGCATACCTCGGCAGCCCGACACCTTCCTTTCGCCCCTTCGACCGCCGCTTCTCCTCACGCATCGCGTCCCCAGGCACACACAGCCCGCGCTCCCCGTCGCCTGCCTTCATCGGCGGCCACTCCCGAAACGTCTCCCTCAGCTCCAACTTTCAAGTCGACGCTGGTGGTGGCCCGGACACCGAGACGACGACACCGCCCTGGGAGGTGGTCCGCTGGACGCGTCTACAGAAGCTCAACGGTCAAGCCTTTTCCGAGTCGGGCCGCCGCACCTTTGGCTCGCCGACGTGCCTCGCCGTCTCGGCGTCCATCGTGCTCGGTACCTCCAAGGGCATCATCCTGGTCTTCGACTACGGTCAGAACCTGAAGCTCATCATTGGTCCGGGCACAAAGGCCGTCGAGTCGGGCGCTATCACAGCCATCGCTGTCTCCGCCGACCACACCACCATCGCTGGTGGCCACGCCAACGGCAGCATCTTTACCTGGGACACGTCGCGACCCTCGCGTCCATTCCTCAGCATACCGCACCTGGAGCGCGGCGATGCGCCGCACCGCACCGCGGACGGCCACGTCGCCAACGTGTCTGTGATTCACCTAGGCTTCCTGGGCACGCGACATACGGCCCTCGTCTCGGCTGACGACCGCGGCATGGCCTTCTCGCATCTCGCGACCCGCGGCACGGGCGCGCTCGGCCGGACCGTCAAGACGACAAGGATCCTCGGCCGCTACCCCGACGCCCCGAAGCCAGCCGGCAAGCCAGTAAAGCCGAGCACCGTGCTCGCGTTGGCCTCGCTGCCTCTAGGCAACGTCGAGTGCGCCACGGACATCCTGGGGCTGACGGCTATGCTCACGCCGTATCTACTTGTCATAGTGTCCACCACGCCGGTCGCGCAAACCCAACACAAGTCGGCCCGACCAAAGGACGTCCCGGCCCACAGCACAATGACTGGATGTCTGGCTTGGTTCCCCGCTGTCAGGCTAAAGACGCCGGATCCCGTCAGCGGGAGCGACATATCGAAAGTGAAGCTGGCGTATTGCTGGTCTAACGTCCTAACGGTCCTCGACGTCATCGAGGTGCCCAGCGAAGACGAGGACCAGCCGCCGAGCCTGCGCTTCAAGGCGCGCAGCAGATGGAAGTGCGAGGAGGCCATTGTTGCAGTGCAGTGGCTCAGCCGCTCCGTCATCACGGTGCTCACCGTCTCGCAGCGCCTGATCGTGCTCGAAGACAGGACCATGCGCATGGCCGAGGCCTTTGACCTGATGCAGCGCTACATGTACCACAAAGACCTCTACTCGAAGCAGCTGCACAGCCTGGTCGAGAACCTGGACGAGGAGGACCCTTCGATGCACGGGGTGGTGGCGGACGCCTTCTACATGAGCTTCAAGGCCTACAAAGGCAGGATATTCATCCTCGGATTTAACGAGGTCTCCTTGGGCGCTCTTTCGAACTGGGCCGACCGGTTGATAGCCATGATGGAGCACGGCGACTACATTGGGGCCATCCAGCTTGCCACGTCCTACTACACGGGCGACGCGGACAAGCTGACAGTCGGGCTACCAGAGGATCAAACGCAACGGCATAGCATGGTCAAGGATAAGGTTTTGGAAATCATCAGCGCGTCGCTCAAGTACGCGTTTTCCCAGCGGCAAAGAGATAAGAGCGCCGCGGATGATGCGCATCTGAAGCAGCTCGCCCAGACTTGCTTTGTGGCGTGTCTCAACATTGGCAACGATGACTTTTTGCTCGACGACATGTTTGAGTGGTACGAAGAGGCCGACGTAGCAGGAATATTCCTTGAAGTCCTCGAGCCGTATATCCTTGATAGGTCCATCGTCTTTATCCCTCCTGTAGTGGTCAAGGCCATGGTTAACCACTATGCCGCGCAAGGCTGGGAGAGCAGACTGGAAGAGATGATTTGCCACATGGAGACGGCGACGCTCGATCTCGACCAGATCACACTCCTGTGCAAGCAGCACAGTCTCTACGACGCCCTCACCTATGTCTGGAACCAGGCGATCCGCGATTATATAACCCCCATGATTGAGCTTCTGAGTCTGCTCGTGCCGATCATGGCCAACGGCAGCTATGACAGCGATGCCGTCGGTGAGGACTACTTCAGCATCAACGCTGTCAAGATATTCCCATACCTTTCTTACACGCTCACGAGCCGGATATACCCAAATGGCGAGCCGATGAATGAGGATACGGCGAGTCAAGCCAAGGCTGAGATTTACTGGTTCTTCTTCTCTGGACATACGATAACCTGGCCCAAAGGAAGCGGCAAGGTGTTCCTCACACGGCCTGGGATGGACTACGAGCCTTCCTTCCCGTACTTGAGGCTTATCCTGCGCTACGATGCGCCGAGCTTCCTGAGCGCGCTCAACGAGGCGTTTGAGGACCCCTTTCTCAACGACTCTCCAGATAAAAAGACAAATGGAGGCTCAGCGGTAGACATACCGGAAGAGCAAATCTTTGGGCAGACGATCAACCGCCAATACATTCTGTCTATTCTCTTGGACGTCATGAACCCCGATGATTTCGCCGCGACCGACACCATATATCTAGACATGTTTATCGCGAGAAATCTACCTAAGTTCCCGCAGTACCTGCTCTTCTCCGGATCGACGCTGTCCAAGGTGCTCGAGGGGCTCTGCAACTACCCCGGCGAGGACTTGGCAGATGATGCGCAGTTGAGTGCTGAATACCTGCTTTCCGTCTACCATCCGACCGACATGACGGCCCTGCTGCCGCAGTTCAAAAAAGCTGGATTCTATCGTATATTGAAGCGCATTTTCAAGGTTGACAAGCAGTTTGGTACGTTGATCCGCACATACTTTGAGGACCCAGCGGACCAGGACCAAGTCTTTGAGTGCCTCGCCAGCTGCCTGCGCCCTTCGACAAAACTGGGCTTCCAGCAGCGTACCAGCATCCATGAAGCCATCACCGATCACGCACGGGACTTACTGGACCTCAGCCCCGAGAAGTCTGCTGTGGTGCTCGCCGGAGAGACGAGTGAAACGCAAAAGCAAATTTTGGAAAGCGCATCAGATGCACCAGATCTCCAGTTTGCATATCTCAAGACTTTGCTGGACTCGGAGCGTGAAAAGCTGCCAGAGGAGATGCCGCCAGACCGGCATCTCATTGAGCAGTATGTGCGTCTCATGTGTACGTTTGAGCCATCACACGTGTCAGATTACATCAACCGTGTCCAGGCAGGGGATCTTCGGCTTGACCAAGTGCTGCCTACCATGGAGGAGACTGGTGTCGTGGATGCTGCCGTGACAATTCTTACTCGTGACGGACTGGTGGAAAAGGCCATGCAGCGCCTGGTCGCGCACTTTGACACGCTCGAGTCGGCGCTTCAGGGCGTGCTGTCCGGTGCAGCGGACTGGCAAGAAGACACGGTCGATCTGCAGGCTTCTATTGAGGAGCTGCTTCAGGGCTTGCAAAAGTACATGTACGTTGGTATTTGGCTTTGCCAAGGACAGCAGAGGCCGGCCAAGCGGGCCACGCACGTTCAGAAGCGAGCAAAAGACGCCCAGGCAGCGCTCACCACGGACGAGTCCCTGTGGTTGCAACTGATCGAGGCAGCAGTCAAGCTGACGAAGCAAATATCATCGCAAATCCAAAAGGCCGTAGTCGAAGCAGACTTGGATGGCGAACGACTGCTGACGCTACTGAGATCGCTGGTGCAGCATACCTTTACCGCTTTCCTGGCGTCGACGTCCGGCCAGAACCCGGGCCAGTCGGCGTCTAAGCTGCTAGCGGCCGGGGGCACCAATATCTCCTTCTTGAGAGTCCTCCGTGCGTTCCTGGCCAACGCGGCGGCTTCATCCCCGAACCTGGCCGATTTGCGAGGCGTCCTTGCGTCCATCTTTTCCGCCTACGCGTACGAGGAGTCTATCCTGCGACTCTCCAACCGGCTGCTGGATAGAAGCCTGTTCGTCAACGTCAGCCAGTCGGTGGAGCTGCGCCAGCGCGGATGGCGGCCGCGCGGATCGACGTGCGAGCACTGCGGCCGCCGCGTCTGGGGCCCGGGCGTCGCGGGCGGTGCCGTCTTTGAGGCGTGGGAGACGAGGCAGGCCGCGGAGGACGCCAGACGGCTGGAGGAAAAGAAGGAGAGGAAGAAGACGCGAGCAGGAGGCGAGTCGAGCGCGGAAACGGACGGGAAGGGCAAAGGTAAGAGCCTGGACACGCGGCCGGTAAGCCTGTTGGTCGAGGACAAGGAGCAGGCGGCGGCGGCGGTCGCTGGCGGGACGACGACGGCCAAGGACGCTCCGCTCGGCCCGCTGGTGGTCCTCGCGTGTCGACATGTATACCACCAGAGCTGTCTGGACGCGGTGCAGGATAAGCAGGAGAACGGCACGGGACCTGCGCGGGACAGGGAGTACCGATGTCCGATTGATGGATAATGGGGGACGGAGGTGGTAGACTAATGATAATTATGTATACAGCAAGTTATATTTTCACGAGTTGAATCCGGGTTTTGCCCGTGTAAATAATAAAAAGCAAAAGAGAATTAATTATTCTTGGGAGTTGCGTGAACTAACTAGAATCATGTCTCGTCACAAGCGACAATAAGCGATAAGCGATACGTTAGGCGATGATGTGCCCGGAGTGGGTCCGCATAGCTGTCGCATCATAGGTAGCTTCAACCCCCGTTCAACATCACCACCAAACAAACACCTTGTTCCTCACCACAACGCAACACGCGCGCGGCGGGCGCAAACCCACACGTCACCAAATGCAGGCCTCATCCGACGACGAAGGCGTGGACTACCTCTCCGACGACCACAGCTCCTCCGGCTCCGACACCTCGCCCCCCCGTCCCGCCGGCCCGCCCCTACCACAAAACTTCTTCGCCCCTCCCTTCTACGGCCGCCCCCCCGACGCCTCCGACGACGAACACCCGCACTCGCCGCCGCCGATTGTCCCCTCGGCGGCGCCGCGCGTGCCGACCTATGAATACTACGGGTTCGTGCTGTACCTGCTGAGCAGCCTCGCCTTCCTGGTGTACTTGCTGTGGGCGTACCTGCCGTCGCCGTTTCTGCACGGGCTGGGGATCTACTACTACCCGGACCGGTGGTGGGCGCTGGCGACGCCGGCGTTCCTGGTGATGGCGCTGTGCTACGTGTACGTGGCGCTGGCGTCGTACAACCGCGAGGTGCTGACGCTGGAGCTGCGGAGGGTGGAGACGGTGGTGGACGACGCGGGGCAGGTGGCGCGCGGGGGGGGGAAGGAGGCGTGGAGTAGGGGGACGGATGCGGTGCTGGATATACCGCTGGCGGGCGTGTGCGAGGTGCTGTACGGGGAGGGGAGGGAGGGGGAGGAGGATGAGGATGATCTGTGGACGACGACGATATGATGAGGGATGAGGACCGGTTTGGTTGTTCTTGTGTTCTTGTCTGCTTCATCCTCGGAGCGAGCGAGCGTGGCATACCCGGCTTGAGTGGCCTTGTGCATTTCTGGTGTATTTCTATTTCCTTTTAATACTTTCTTCCCTGGAAGCAGGGTATACGATGAGACCCTGCGACATGGCAAAGGGCGCTGTTGTTAGGATCAAAGAGGGCGACAGGACTGGCCTTGTGTATTATACTTGCTCCTACTATTCAGACTCTGCGGTGGTGGCACATGCATACATACCCCGGCACTAAGCAGGGAGAGATACCAAAATGAGGTATTCAAAAGCTTTGTTCATCTTCTCATAAAACTGGTTTTCAAGGCTATGTATATGACCCGACACATTCTCGAGGGGAAGTCAGCCTTCATCACGAGAGAGTGATTGCACTGGCTACTGCGAGCAGACGGGGTCGGCAACGCAGAATAGGTGCTATTCAGGCTGCAACCTTGGATGAGGATATTGACCAGGTTATGCAACAAAGGAATTTTGCGTTATTACTTGTTGTCTCGACGGCACGGGCCATCCCAAGTCGACCCCCGTTGGTTGGTTGGTTCGCTGAGGAGAGCGTGGGGAAGACCCCGAAACATGAGGAAGAAGCCCGATTTATATTTAGCTGCTATATCGGTCCAATAGCTTCATACGACGACTTGGCAGGCCCCTTCCAAAATGATCCCCCCCCCTCATGATGCAGAGCCACGACAACCTAGCTAGGGAAGACCGAGTTATGGCAGCTCGCAGGGCCGAACATCCCCTAGTATCCGCCCTGTATCTTTAACGTCCGTGATGCAGAGCCCTGAGTAACCCTAGCGGGTGCTTTCGGTGTGCCTCTGTGCGGTTCTGCCGTTCCCATGTCAGACTTGCCCCTTACAGCCTCCTACATGGTAAGTGTAACTCACTTGACACACAAGGCGTCGGCTTGAGAGCTTTACTCCCGAGTCGTTCCCTGGACCGATTTAAGCTTTGGCAAGCCCTGCCGCTCCACGTCAGTCTTGACTGCTTGTCTATTTCTTGCTCTCGTCGGGTAACTCACAGTAGTGTCATATCCTCCGCGTCCGGGTGCGGGGGCCGCAGCGACAAAGGCGGCGAGGGTGGAAAGAAGAATGACTGAGAGCTGCATCGTGTTGTGTGCGCAAGATTGGTTATGTGTGAAAGTGCTGGGATTCTTGAACGGGCTGTAGAAGAGATGATTCGCCTCGGGGTGAACTGGGGTCCAAGTCCCTTTATTTATACTTGCGTACTTTGCATTGCTGAGACGGGACATGCCGCCATTTCATATCTACTCACGTCATATGAGAAGCTTTGATACCTTTCTCTAATGAAAGGACTCACCGAATCTGCAAGCAACTTCTGTGGTGCGGGCCAGTACCAGGCATTACTCGGTTGCTGGTGCCGCTGAAGGATCCGGGCATGGAGCCTGGCAAAGCCTTGTTTCCTGATGGGAAGAGCCGTTAATTGAAAATCGGATATCCGACTGGCCCAATTCCACAAGATAAGTGCTTGTCTCTGTCCATGTCTTGTATGCCCCGATGGAGGCATTGACAGAGTCATAGACCATAGCGGTCAATAGAATAATAACACCAACACCAAAACAGCCCTGAGATGTCTCTCGTGATGATGCCTGTGCCTACGTGTATGTTTGCAGAAGGAATCATTATCGGTTCATAATATCAGGCTGTAAGAGGGGCGCGTAGGATTCAATTGCGGTGCAATGGGCAATAGCGCGGCAAGTAACAGCCGACATGGAGAGCCGATTACCCGGAGCCGCGCTTCGCATGCAAAGGAATATTGACTCTTGATGGGGCGGTTGATTTCGGAGGCGCAGAATGAAAGCCTCGTGTGGGCGGTCAGGTCCTTGTCTTTCCCCGCTCCAGGCTGCAGCTCGCAGCCTTCTTTTGACTGCGTCCACAGTTCAACAATTCTACTGACGCAACGGACGACGGCCGGATGTTCCTTTGTGATGACCGCCTAATTCAACACCCACCCTCTTATTGTTGTGAAAAGAAGCCGGGGGACACTTGATTTCCGACAATGTCCGTCGCTCACCTCTCGCGGCTGCCCGACGACGTGCTGCTGCTGCTCGCCGACGAGCTCGGCGCCGACGCCGCCGACGCTTCCGCCCTCTCAACGCTGTCCCGGACGAGCCGTCGACTGCACGACGTGCTGGGCCGGCCGCTGTACGCGCGCAACGCCCGCCGGGCCAACAGCACGGCGCTGCAGTGGGCTTCGCACCGGGGCGTCGCTGGCACCGTCCGACGGGCGCTCGCCGCCGGCGCCGACCCCAACGCGCGGCGACCACCCCGGAGCCTCCATCGCAAGCGCCGCTACCCGGGCGACGACGACGACGATGACTCGCAGCGCCTCCACGCCTTGTACGTCGCGTCGCCGGCGACGCGGGATCTGCCGTGCCACACGCCGCTGACCCTCGCCGCGCGCGGCGGCCACCTCGACGTCGCGCGACTGCTCCTCGCCGCCGGCGCACGCGTCGACGTGTCCCCGCGGGAGAACGCGAGCAGCGCGCCTCTCCTCGCCGCCGTCGAGGGCGACCACCTCGCCATGGTGCGGCTGCTCACGGATACCGGGCGCGTCGACTTTGACGGGCTCGTCGCGCACGGGCTGAACCCGCTGGCGCAGGCGGTGCAGAGCGCCGGCGTGGAGATGGTGAGCCACGTGCTGGCGCGCGTGGCCAACGGCGACCTGCGCGCGCCGATGATGCCGAGCCCGCTGATCCTGGCGGTGCGCGAGCGCCGGCCCGAGGTGGTCCGGATGCTGCTGGCCGCGGCCGGGCGCAACGTGACGCCCAGGCTGGAGGACGACCACGGCCGCACCGCGCTGTCCTGGGCAGCCGCGGCAGAGCCGCCAGGCAACGGGATCGCAACAGGCATGTTTCAGCTGCTGCTGGACTCTGGCGAGTTCGACCCGGACGCGCCGGACCGCCAGGGCCGGACGCCGCTCGCGCTGGCGGCCGGGGCCGGGAACGAGGCGATGGTCGCTATGCTGCTCGTCAGGTCGGACGTCGACCCCAATCGGCCGGACAGGGACGGGTTGGCGCCCGTGTTCCACGCGCTGCGGCACGAGCACACGGCGAGGCTGCTCATGGGTTGCAGCAGGGTGAACGTCCCGGCGGACGCGCTATTCCGGCTCGGCTGCGAGAAGCGCGTCTCTACCGGCCTCCTGAAGCACTTCATCCGGGCCTACCCGGAGCACCACGACACCGCGGACGGCCTCGGCGCCACCTGGCTGCACGTCGCCACCGCCGCCAGCCTCGTGGGCGTCGTCAATCTTCTGCTAAAGCAGAAGGGCGTGCGCGTGGACCGGCAGAGGACCGACGGCGCCACGCCTCTCCTGTGCGCCGTGCAGGCGGAGTGCAGGGGCGGCAGGGGCGTCACCAGCGCGCTGCTGCAGGCCGGCGCGGACGTCAACCTGACCACGGCGCGGGGTTGGTCGGCGCTCTGCTACGCCTGCCGTGACGGCAACGTCGCGCTCGTGGAGCAGCTGCTCGAGAGGGGAAGTGATACGACAACGGTCACAGACACGGGCGAGACGCTGCTCTACTTGGCCTGCGAGGGGGGGCAGTCGAGGATCGTGCGGGCACTGCTGGCGCGCGAAGCGGATCCGGTGCTGGATGCCGGGGGCACCGGCCGAACGGCACTTCATCTTGCATGCTCTACTGGCAAGGGAGGCATCGTCGACCTGTTGCTTCTTAGAGTTCCCCGAGGACATCCGTCGCTGTCCGCGGGTCGCACGCCGCTCCACGACGCCTGCGAGGCCGGTTTTGCCGGTATCGCGGAGCGTCTCCTGGAGCACGGTGCCGACCCGGAGGCCGCGCTCGAGGACGGCACCACGCCGCTACACCTGGCGTGCAGGAAGGGATCGTGCGACCTGGCGACGCTGCTCCTCAACACAGGCAAGGTGGATGTGAATCGTAGGGATGCCGTGGGCAGGACGCCGTTGAGCGAGGCAGCGGACGGGCCGGCACAGCTGCGTGTGAGGCTCCGAGAATGGGGTGCGGTGGAATGATGGTACATCCATGGCTGTTTTTACACTTCTGTACACAAGATGTAGCCAACCCGCGCTTCCACTTACATACTTCGCCACTTGGACATGCCGGTATAGGCTACCAATTCCATGGAGTAAAGCTTAGCTTGGGGAATAAGTAAAGTAGTATAAAGGGATAAAAGTATAAATATTTAAGAATATAGTAAAATATAGAGAGGGGTAGGACGACTAGGAGGGGGCCCTAGAGTAAGGCCGCTTAGGGCCACTAAGTATAGCCCTAGTTAGAGGAACTCACTTATAAATAAATACTACTACTAACTATAGTTTTTAACTAGGATTTACTAGGGGACCTTTTATATAGACCCTAAATAGCTACTAGTATAGTACTATAGTAGTATTAATATAAAAGTAGGGGTTTTCTACTAGAACTTAGTTTTTCCCTCTTTTATTAGATTTATAGAAGGACTAGATAGGTTAGACTTAATTAGAGTATAATAAATTAATATTATAGAGGTACTAGATAGGTAGACTAGTCTAATTAGAGTAATATAATTAATTAATATAATTTAATTTAAAGGTAGTACTACTTAGGAGTAAGCTATAGTTAAGTAGTATACCTACTATACTATATAGATATATGTATGCTAGCTAATTAGGAGAATCCTAAGTCTTATTTAAGTATACGCCTATCGCTGATTTTATACTAAGCTAGTCACTTTATTGCCCCTCTAGTTGTAGCCATAGCATACGCCGACTGGATTCTCAAAAAGGCACGCAGAGCATCCGACCTGTTGACAAGTCGAGTGACTGGTGCAAGGGATAATCAGACTCGGGCAGCCGCGCTCCGCGAGAACGTTGCGAGTTTCGGATCGCAACTGCTCGGCGGGGCCAGACTGCATTGCAGCTACTACGGCCGGATACGCGAGCGAGAGCTCGTAGCGCAGCTCGGCCTCTTGCTGCCACGGAATGGCCACCTGATCAATCACGTCGTCTGCCCCGTTGAGCGACAGCAGCTGCCCGCCGTCGCCGTCGCCGTCGCTCAGCTGGGTCCAGCCATCGCCAGTGGGATCCAGCGCAAGTCTCTGTGTTTTTTTTACAAAAAGCTGTCAGTGGCTTAAAACAGTGTCGTTCGCGGTAACGTCTTTCGTCTTACACGCAAGGCGTCGCTCAGTTCTTTGCTGAACGCAGTCGTAGTTGGAATGTGTGCCGCAATGCAGGCGACGACGATAGCGGATTCAATAGAAAATTGCATGTTGTATTTTAGAGAAAACTTGGAGTATGCGTTAATGAACGAGAAGAAGAAAATTGTTCAAGGGAGAACGGGCAGGAGCATTCGTTGGGGGAGTCTTATCACACTTACCATCTCTCTCACTCCCACTCTCTCTATATATATGTACAGTACGTGTATGTACGTACGCGCGTGTGTGGGGAGCAACCTTTGGCTATGCTTCCTCTACGGGGTAATTGTGGAATTCAATTGAGGAAAGCGATTACTGCCTCTGGGTAAAATGGAAGCAAGACTTATAACCTGCACCTTTTCTAATAGCCTTATTGTACTCTGTGTAGATCTATTTCGGTTTAGGGAAGCAGTAATTATCTGCACAAGCGGAACAGCATCCTTCTCGCCAGCCTGCAGCCTTATAACGTAACGGTAGCTTTCTGAAGCCTTCTTCCTCTAACGTGTCAAGCATCTGCAGGTTTCAGCTGAGAAACAATTGAGCCGTAAAGGGGAGGGGTATAATTCAGAAAACAACGAGTACGCGTATAGCTACCAACGTCAACAGTATCAACAAATATAAAATACACCAACTCTATATCTAAACCAGAACAGATTGGTCGACCTTTGTCTCTCTATTCTTAACTCTCTCTATTACGACATTGCTTTCTCCCACACATTCTACAAAATATCTACTACTCTTCCATCATCCGTCTTACAAGATGAAGTTTTCAACTTTTTCTTGCGGCATTGCTGCCCTCGCCTCGACCAACTTTGCTTTCGCCAGGCTCTCGTACGAAGTAGCCGAAGCGGTCTGCGGCGGCCTTGGTGTCATGAACACTACGGCTCTTCCAGCTTCCATCAACGTTGAAGACGCTCGAATTTGCGCAGACCATCCCCTCGGAAGTCCTGAGCTCCCGCAGCAGCTGGACAAACGCAAATGCTGGTACGGGCAGCCAGTAGGGTGTAACCGCCACGGTTACTGCTACAAGTCCTGCGGGCCGCCCGGGACTGGCATGTGGTGCTGGACCGCCCAGAGGGATGGGTTTGGACCTTGGGAGAGGTGCTCCAAGGGCTCTGATTGCTCTGGAACCATGGGTTGCGGTGCTGGTGGTTGCAAGGGCTGCGGCTGCGGCTGTTAAGTAGAACAGTCTATAAATATGATTCCTCGTTAAACCTAGATGTTTGGTTTCCTCGTGATTCTTCTTGTAGCACATAAGCTATTTTTGAGCTTCCTAGGATCTGCAAGTGACGTAGCATACGATGACTCTGAAGCAAGCTACAAAATGGACTTTCCTTGAGCTTGATTAACGGTAACAATGATGCTACAACAATGGTATTACACGTAAAGCTCTTTCAAGCCTCGCGTCAGCCTACAACTCTTCTGGTGCTTCCATTTACCTTAGATTACCTAGCATACACCCCTTTCATCTTTCCAGGTTACGCGTAAAGGGATACGGTATTAATAATCCTATTTCGCGTGGCAGCCTACAATTCACCTACAGCACACTAGCGAAAACTGCATGAAAGTTTTTCAGAATGATTATGCGCTGCAATACTTCTACAGCCTTCTTTACGGAAGTACAGTGTTTCCCTCTACGCATTTAAAAGCGCCGCCAGTCCGACTATAGTAGGTTCATAAAAGTTTCGATTAGTTTAGTACTTCCTCTACTAAATTATATATAAAGGCATATAGTTTTCTACCCTTAATAACTAAATACGTACTAGATAGATAAATAGTAATTTAAATCTAATTAATTCATTTAAAGACTTAATTATCTCTATCTATCTACTTTTTATTTTTAAAAGGTATATTCCTTAGGATTTCTATTAGAAGTTAAAAGTTTGTTTTTTATACTAAGTAGGGGTAAAGTTTACTAGTAAAAAGTAAGTAGCTTTTAATTTTAAACTTTATTCTATAATATTTTAAGAAATGAATTTTATAATAAAATATTAAAGTCAGTCTATTTATTATTTTTATAAGTATATTTAATTAGACTTAGTATAGATTTCTAGAATCTATAGAAGTATAGTTATAAGGGTTTAAATACAGAGTATTTAGGTGTAAAAAAGGGTACTAATCGAAACTTTTGTCTACCTACTGTAGCTGTACATTGAGTTAGCGCCTGGTATAGCTAAGCGGGTGATATAGCCGCACTTATTTGAAGCCACTCGTTACTGTCTAATCAATAGTGTACATGAAAGGATCTGTTTGCATATGCATATTGACTGCAGCCTGATTCCATTTTACAAGGTTGCGCTGTGACGTGTTTCTGGCGTTGCCAGGAGTACGCGTCGTCCGTAGTTGGTGAGATGTACCGCCGCGACAAAATGGTAATGTATTTTTGACCTCGTGACAGAAGCCCAGATCCGTAGCCTCGTCCAGGTGAAATAGTCCTATAGCCCGAAAACCACAAAAGAGAGAGATACGTCGCCCTAGCATTACCCCTTTCTCTTTCCCTCAACTTGCTGTCAGGCATCTCAGATATCTCCAGTTTCTTATTACATTGACATTCTTGAAACACTTCACCATGAAGCTCGTCACGTACATCTACGGAATCGCCCTACTTGCCTTGCAGCGTGTCGACGCAGCTCAGCCCAACGACGACGAAGCAAAAGCCATCTGCGGCAAGCTTGGCGTCATGGACACGACGGGCATGTCCGAAGACGCTGCGTCTAAGACCCGACTCTGCGCGGAGCATCCTCTTGGTCATCTTGATCCCTCGGATGACTTGTCGAAGCGACGCTGCTGGAACGGCAAGCCTGTTGGTTGCTCACGTGGCTATTGCTGGCATACTTGTGGCGGCGGCGGCCAGTGGTGCTGGGCGGCCGAGGGTGACGGAACTGGACCCTGGATTACTTGCAAGAATGACAGCCAGTGCAGCAGCATCATGGCATGCGGCGCAGGAAACTGCAAACGCTGCGGCTGCACATGCTGAGCGGAAATTTCATTCACGAAAGATGGTGCATAGATGGAAAGTATTCTACCTGTCGTGATTTAAAGACGAAAATTAGTATTTCTTTATATAGCATCACTATTTAGAATGTTAAATTGCCATCTAAGCTGAATTCTAATAACTGGCGCGTCCTATGCTTGCTCTTTCAACCTTGTCCTTTAGCTATAAAACTAGCTCTATGCTAGGGTGGAGGGACTAATACACTTTAGGGTCACATAGTGAGGCCTTAGTTTATAACGTTAGCTACTAATAAGCTAGTATTAAGGAGGTAGTAATAACCCTATTTACTATTCTATACCCTACTAGTAGAGTATAATATTAAGAGTTAAGCAACTAATTTTTAGTTATTAGTCTTATAAATCTACTTATATATCCTTATATAATAATCTTAAGTTTATTTTTAATAGGATACTTAGAGGTAACTTAGGAACTATCTATATAAAAATCACACCTTACTAAGATTAGTAAGGATTTATATATAAATCTTTATAGCTTTTATATAACTTTTAAATAAGGTTAGAGGTTATATATTAAGCTAATAGGGGTCTTAATAGACTATTAGACTTATTAAAAGAAGTAAAAAGTCTACTTTTTTGTTATAAATATACTAAAGTACTATAGATAAAGAGTAGAGTAGTCTAATAAGTAACTATAAAGTGCTTATAAGGGTATAAGAATAAAGGAACTAGTTATATACTTAGATTATTAGGGATTATAGTAATCTAGTACTAATCTAACATTATTAAGATTATAGAGTAAACTAAGTAATCTAAGTAATATAGTAGAGAATAGAATAAATATATAAAGAAAGGGATTTTTAGTAAATAAACTTATTATAAATACTATTAGTATATATATAGAACTAAGTAAAGTAGACTAGTGTAACGGTGGCTCTTCTCTAATCCACAGTAAATCTGTTTCTTAGGAAGTGAGTCAGGTTGAATGCACCACAGGTGCAGATGAGCAGTATCGTAGCTTGAGTCACGTTTAGGAGATTACTCCCAATAGTAGAACTATTGCTTAGATTGATCAGTAGAGATCTAGTCTGGCTATCTACTGGGAATCCCCTTCCCTATATACCCTTCCTATCCTCTACTGTGCTACCTGGATCACTGGCTCACGCTGAGGTCGTGATCCTTTCTTGGCTCACTGGCTCACGGTGAGCCCGTGAGCCTATCGTGGTCACGTGACTTTCTATCCTGATCGGGCGTCCTGCAGGCGTCCCGCCTGGCCTCCTTCTCGGGCCGCCCTCTAGGGTTAAGTACACTAGTACCTAGATAGGATAGAAAGTTATATAATAGCTTAATAGATTACTATAATAATCTAGTAAACTAGAAGGATTACTAGGATTATAGAGTAAATGAAATAATTTAGGTAATAAAGTAGAGAATAGAATAAATATATAAGGAAGGGGATTTCTAATAGATAGTTAGACTAAATATCTACTAATTAATCTAAGTAATAGTTCTACTATTAGGAGATATCTTTTAAAATAACTTATACTATAATACTATTTATTTATACTCTATACTTTTAACCTAACTTACTTCTTAAGATATAGACTAGGATCTAGTTACTATTACACTTAAGAACTAGATTAAGTATAGAGTAGTAAAGTTAGGATCTACCTATTTAAATTATAGAATAACTAATAGTATTTATAATATTATTAAAGTACTTCTATTAGCTCTAAGGCTATTAAGTCCCTCTATAATTTCTAATAGTATAAAAAAAACTATAGTCTAGCTATTTATTATAAATACTATAAGACGTATAGGCGGGGCTAAGTGAGGTAAAGCGAAGGCTTATTATACTAGCCACTAAAAAGGATAGGAGATCACATAATCTCCTTAGGATTAAGGACTT